AAAATGAATTATATCTGAAAGATATCACTGGTACACTAATAATCAGGTGACCAGTTTGGCATGACATAGTATGTCACAGGACATGAGACAAGCTGGGAAATGAGTGGCATCACCAGAGGTCAACAAAAATATTCTCCTTTTACTTCCCTCTTCTGATCTTCAATGGAAAATTACAAATTAGTGGGCATTAAGTTAAACTCATCCAACATCTTCACTGGAAAATCATCCCTTGTCACTTGTGATAACATATCTTGTAATCTGTGGTATGACACCTTTTAATGTGAGAGTGGATTTATTAACATTTTTAATGGATCCCATTAATATATAACATTAAAAATAAATAAATATTTGTCAACTTGACAAATTTTCTGGCTGACTTGATTTTTTTCAATAAATGAAACTACAGTATTCATAAAATGAAGTCAAGCACTTAACAGATGATTTGTCTGAAAGCATGTAATTTAATAATTACCAGTACATACTGGTTATTTATCAGTGTAATTTTGCAAATCCTCCATATCAACATCAAAGTCTTTATAATTAACTTGAGGCCATGTCTTGAAATCTTTCCAGGAAAGGTCACTCTGTTGACTGAACATTTTCACTGGAAAATTATCCCTTGTCATTTGTATTAACAAATCTTGTGATCTGGGATCAATCAATGCATTTCCTCTTAGTTCCTCAAGAACAACATGAAGGTTAGACAAGTCAACAAAATTTGACGAAACTGCTAAAGAATCTTCCAAGTTTTCCACTCTGTGTGGGCAGCCATAAGGAACAAACAACAGCTCACCAGGTTCTAGAATGCATTGACGAAGCACTGCTGACATCAACAGGGGAAATTTATCAAGATCAGGACAACTCAGATCTACATCAAATGCAAGGTCAAGTGAATCCTGGTAGTGTGGATAAAGTAATGGAATGTCTTCTCTCTGGAAGAATGTCCACCTATATTGAAAAGAGATTATTGGTCATCATAAAACAAATTGGTGAGAAAAATAAAAAGAGCCTTCTTCCAGATCTCTTGCAGACTTGACCCAAACTTCAACCCTGGGCAAAGAAACACTTGTGTGGCTGCATAATGATAATGAAGGCCTACTCCCAGCCTATCACATGATATCACTTGCAACTATCCCAATTATAAGCAATTTTGAGTAAGTATACCTTACCTTTTTCTGCCCTGGAAAAGTGCCATCCAGAAATTTGAACCAAATGCATCAACATGAAGGTCACTGTGCAATCCTTTAGGTGCAATAAAAAGACTTGGCCAACTATCTCGGTATAATGATCCTGGGGCAGTTCTCTGCAAGAAATCTCCCGCAAAATATTTGGGAATCTTTAGTTCTTCTGCTAAGTCAGGAGCGTGTGTTGGTATGCTCCAATCAAACAAGTAAAGTGGTTCCTTTAATGTTTGCAGGGAGTCGATAAACTCAGATACTTTCATGTTACCAGCTGGTTCAAGCTTTGCCCATTCTGTGGATTCTTTCACCATTCTTTTGAGTGTTGCTGTCTTGTTTCCAATTGCCTGCAATAGCGAGCATGTAAGATGAGTCTAGAGAGCTTTCTCTAAATAAATAGATAACAAAAGGTAAAAAACATCCCTTCTGTGGGCATGAGACAATGATGGGGGCTATCACCGACAAGCCTACTTACAGCGCATAGCAACTGAATATTTTTTTGGTTTCTTTTTCGCCGTGTGACAAGCACGTGCTACGCAAGAGACGCTCAAAAGTTGCTGTTTGTCTAACACTTTTATTTCTTTTCTTTTTGTGTTCTAAGAAAACTTAGTTCCTCTCTCCACTTACAATCACAACTTTCAAATCTGACAAGTGACACTCATGCCAATATTTATTTTATTTTATTTTTCAATAAAAATTCTTTCAAGAGCATGAACTGTTTTCTACAAAGAGTGAACAAACAAACAAACAAAAACATCACGGAACGCGTTCTTTTAAAGTTGACACTACTTTCTAACAATAAATGTTTTATTTATCATGTTTCCAGCCGTTAGGTGGCGAGAACTTAAGACATATCACAGTTTCGTGGTGTCTGCCGAGAAATATATCGGAGAGGTTGAGTTATCGGAAATATTAAGGAGTGAAACGGTGAAGAAGAAAAAATTATCATTTCCATCCTGATACGTCAAGAAATAATTTTTGATCTCTGAAGAACGCTTGATGTGTTAAGAAAATTCGACCATAATTGTTTTCCTTTATGTTGTTCAAACACGTTTGAAAAGTCTGTCACATGACCCTGACATGTTCGTGACATTTATACAACGCGTGTAATAATATCAGTCCAAAGTTTCATCTTCCGGGAAAACAAACGCATCGTGGAGTTGATTCAAAATGGCAGGTGTTTGGGGCCCTTTCCTGTTTCACTATTTGTGTTTTATGGTGCATTTGATTGGAGTAACGTACTATATGACAGAAATTCACCTTCCAGTTCACCAAACCTACGGAGGAAGATTCAAATTCTTAACTTTTATCAACATGCTGTTACACTTTGGGTACTTCAACATTGCCGCTGTCACAGAATTTCACGAGATCATTAAGAAGCGAAAGAGCCACATCTTCGCGTCCGTTTGCGACCACATGTTTACTTGCTTTGTGTTCCCGGTCGGAACGACAGTGAGCTTGTTATTTTGGGGTCTTTACGCTGCCGATCCAAACTCTTGTCAAACACCAGAAGAAGCGAAACAAATTCCCGCGTTGCATAATCATTACATGCATACATTCCCTTTAGTGACAATCTTGGAACTATGCTTTATTCGCCACGAATACCCGACTAAGAAGAAAGCTATGGTTTCTGTCGTAGGATTTGCAGCTTGTTACATTCTCTGGGTTCTGTGGATAGCATTTGCAGCAGATATTTGGGTGTATCCATTTTTAGAGAAGTTAGATGCGCTCTCTATTGCTGCATTTTTCGCGTTTTCTGTTGGAGTCTTCATATTCATTTACCACATTGGAGAGTGGGTGGCTCAATGGAGATGGGGACAAGGTGTTTCAGTGGAAAAGAAAAAACTCTAAGTAAGCTGTAATTAAAAACATTGTAGGGATGAATTTTTAATTGCGTTATAAAAAAGACATGGCGTGACACACTGTACCCAAATTAATTGATATTTCTTGGAAACGAGAAGAGGGAGCGGTTTTGGATCATAACAGCAACCTCTGACGGATACCTTCTCCGCTCGAAAATGAAAAGAAATGCTAATACTAGATAAAGGTCCTGTAAGTAGTTATTGCATTTAATTGTCAGTACAATCTAAGAGAAGTAATTTTGCCAAAGAAATGTTACAAAAATAAATACATAGCATAGAGACCAAGCCATAGAAAGTCATAGATTTTACTAATACAGGAATCATTGTAGCATCTTAAATAAAACACAGCACTTACAGTTGAAGTTCTCTTTCAATATGCCCCTGCTAAACAATTATGAGAGGCAGGAAGGCATTTAAATCTCAGTGGCTGTGGAGTGTCCACAATTTCTAGAAAAACATGCCCCCTGTTACCCTCAGAAGCTTTCACCAGAAGTAGTTGTCTTTCTGCCCTCCAACTGAATTTTTTACAAATACTAAAGGGAAACTGATTTTAAAAGAGATGCATTTATTCCTGGAACAATTTTAAACACATTTTCATCTCTGTCAACAAAAAGTATTTATAAAAACTTAGAGCTTACTGCATTCTGAGATTTCAAAGATAAACATAACACTTTGAAAATTGCCTTTGGATAGGTGTAAATTTCAAGTATGAATTTCTTATTGCTAATAGTAAAATGATGGGGAATTGTTTTAGTCCCTCTAATTGTATCACATGAAAAACAGTGTTGAAAATAACATTCACCTCTTTTATATGCTTAAAGTCCCAAGGGGCAGTAGTCATGGTAACCACCAGTCCTGTGATAATAACAGGGGTACCAGTCATACAATACTCAAACAAAAACTGTTTTGCTCCCAGAGTATTGTAGTGACGCCTCTCTACCTGAAAAGATAAAAAATAAATGAGTTCAAAGGAAGAAGGGGTACCTGGAATTATGCCCTATGCTATATTTGACGAAAATATTCCTCCCTCTGGTATAAGGGAATAAAGAACTGCATGGAAGCAGAATCTAGCTCTCGATCAAGGTCACTAAGGCCCAATTTACAGTTAAAAATATATTTTTGAAGGAACCATGACTAGCTTATTTGGACATGATTTTAGAGGTGGATACAATAAGAACTGCCAGCACTAGACAAGCAAATCACCAAATTTACACTCTGTGCAAGGCTTATGGTTCTGAAAGATACCCTTGACAGTAATATATCACACTCTGTATACCACTGAACACCCCCAAAACCACACCCTGCTGGATATCACATATCTGTTTCCATCCTTGAGGAAGATCTGCTTACATAACCTAATTAAGGGCCTTTACCCTTTAACTCCTATGAGTGACCAAGACAGAATTTCTCCTTACAATATCAATAAAATATCAACCAGACAAGTGATGAAAATAAAGAAAAATATCAATTTGGGGATAATTAGTTGATCCAATACTAAATTCTTTGAACAAACATAAGAATTGTATGGTTGAAAATAAGGAGAATTACAAATTTAATCTAGGAGTTGAAGGGTTAACTGCTAAATGACATGGCTTTTTAACTCTCTGGCAGAAAGATGTTTCATTGTAGTATCATAAAATAGATTCCATGTTGCTACCTGTGCATTTGTCTGTACAGCAATAGATCATAGATGATGTCAAAATGTGGTAAGAACAAAAAATGTGGCTCAAGTGTGTCACTGATGTACTTATTACAAATTGACATCTTCTGTGATCTTTTACTGTGCAGACCCAAGACAACATAGAATATATGTGTCTGATGTGATAAAAAAGCAAAATGTTGTTAGTATTGACATCTCCTTAGCATCTGTCCTCCCTAGACAATATAATTATGCTAGAACAACTCAAAATAACTTTACATTTCAGCTTACCATTTAAGCATCATGTACTCAGTGATCATAGAATTCTCAATGTAAGTATACCAGCAAGATAATGTCACTCAGTCATTTTCATTTCCATCATCTTCCTCAATATCTGCCTGGAAGGCAGCCTACTAATTGGGGGCCACAAAATAGGGTTTTGATGTGGTGTAGTCTCCAGACCCTAAGAAGCAGTCAGTGACTACAATTTTGGTATGGTTGTGATCTGAACAACTTTGCCGACCAAATTCAGGTCACAAGGCTCTTCATTTTTTTCCCCTGTCAAGGCATCTCAACTCACCTCGACTGGCTCAGGCATCTTATGATCAGTAGAAGGATGTGGTAAAAAATGTTCCTGAAGACTTCTTTTTTTATCCTCCAGCTCTTTACTTCGTTGTACTTTCAAATACAGCCATGCTATATTCTTATCCAGTGGATCAAGCTTTGTGGCGACATCAAGACTACTCAGAGCTGAACAAGTGTCTTTAAGCAAGTCATAGTAGGATGCTAGTGCAGCATGATGTGTAGCACTTGCAGGATGTAATATTATCTCCTTTTTCAGCAGGTTGATTTGCTTCTTTAAGTATGCTTTTCCTGTGGGGAGGCTGTTCGAAAAGAAAAAACAAAGTCCACTACATGATGGCAGATGTATTTTGTATGCATACATTTTAGCCTTGCTGGCCTCACTTTAATCCTTTGACTCCTGAGAGTGACTGGCTTCTAATTTCTCCTCACAGGATCACCCTTGAATTGCACATTACCATTAGGAGAAAAGGAGAAATGATTGCCATCTAAAGAAGCTCTTGATTGTTAAGCAATTTCTCCTTGCCAGCTCCTTGCAAAATGTAGAGAACAGTATGGAGAATAAGCATTCTGATGCTAGGGTGTAAAGGGTTAAAGGAAAATTTTCAGTTTATCCAGGTTGACATTGTCAACCTTGATAAACTGAACTGTTCTCTACATTTTGCAAGGAGCTGACAAGGAGAAATTGTAGACTAGGAGGGCTACTTTCACGGATAAAAAAGGAATAAAGTACTGCTGCCCAATTTTGAAAGAGGTCTGTAGAACAAAAAATATAAATGAACGATGTGGAAATCTTGGAGTAGGGCAAGTTTTGTAAAAGAAAGCCTATAAGAAATGTTACAGCTCTTTGATTTCAAATCTCTCTTTTTGTTAAAACAGTAGTAGAATCCTTTCAAATACCAAATAGTAACCACAATTCTACTCAGGAAATAAGCAGCATGAAAATTTGACTTCTCAGTTCTGATTGGTAGATCCTCATGTGGTAAGTGTTTGTATTTTTATGTCAATCTTTAATTAAAGCAAGTAAACTAAAACCAGTATGTCTAATGTTATTTATTGTATTTTAAATTCCACTCTCCATACCCATTGGTAAAATTGAACATTGGGAATGTTACCCCTTTTGGACAAAGTCCATTCGCACACTCCATCAGAGAAACCCCCCCGCACCGCACCGCATCAACCATCCACCCATCCAAATCACCCCGTTCTCACCTCAGACTCCCATAACTGGCCTCATTATCGTTTTAACAAAACCTACCCAGCAACATATTTCAGAAGTGTATTAGGATTAACCGATTTTGGAATGCTTGTTAAATCTTTTAATCCAGGCTCCTTTTGTCTTTCTCTCCACCACTTTGCCAGAGCGGGCCGAGCCCATAAAACTCTTTCTCCCTCATAACTATCTTGCACACTGGGTTGTCTTCTGTCCTCTGCACGATCCAATCTCTGTCTTTTTACCTGAATTGATTGTTCAGATTCTACTCTAATATCATTTGCTGGAGGCCATTCGCTAAGATATTCCCTGTCGTTTGAGAGATCAACCAATTTTTCAGCTGTCAAGGAGACGAGAGGATCCGCCATCTTGAATATGTAAACTTGGTTTCAGTCTACGTCGGCTTGTAGGACTAAAATACCTTAGCCACAAAATCTCTGGTCAAATCCACGTCATCTTGCGTGTTTGACTAATAAATGGATAATTTTCAAACAGGACAGAATTGAGGTCAGGAAGAAAGCAACACATCTCGTCGCGTTCCATGTTTACAAGTTAGAAACGAAAGAGAGACCTGATCCCTTCCCCAACCCCGACAAACATTGATAATAAAGAGCCCTGCGAGCGAGCCCACCCGTTAGAGAGCTTGCTTGCAGGCTATGTTAGGGGCGCTTTACATGTTTGTGTATTTTTCAGCGCAGAAAGAGAAGACATTAACAATGACGAGCAGAAAAAAAAAGGAAACCAAGTTACAAACTCAACAATTTACGCCAGTAAGCTGCGAACGAAGAACTGATTAACTCTTTCTGTAGCCGTCTATCGATAGTTTGGGTTCAAGTAGATCAGTTATGTAAAGTCTTATTGTCTGCAGTTGTCGCCTCTTGAAGATTTGAGTGACGCCAGCAAGAATTATGTGACATCCCATCAGTAATTCCTAGTTCATATTGAAATGTCTTTTTCACGTACGCAGTTTTTTCCTGAATATTTAGTCAAAAGATCATGGCTTAACACTATAGTCATATACATCTGAGAAGAACCGACCAACCATCAAAAGAAACCTAGGACACTTTTCCCTATGAGGGAATACGAGGCAAAATGTCAGGAAACAGTGGGAAGGGAAGAAAATTACTTTTGAAAAACAAGGACAAAATTCAATTTTTTTAAGGAAAAGGTAACATGAAGACTTTCTGAGAGAGGGGCTGGGAACGGGGAAGTGTGGAGCTACTCTTGTAAAAATATTTTTTTCATCACTTGCTTAGGGCGCCTCGAGTTAATTTTTTGTTTAGTTACGTCATTGCTAGTGTTTCAAAATTATTATATAAATCACACTGCTATAACCATTACATTCTTATGGCTTTAGGTTGGTCTGAGAAAAGGGATTCCCCTGAATTTAACAACATAAGAAGCATACCTCCCATGTGCAGGTATAAGGAACAAAACGTTTTGATTTAATTTTTCCAGAACAGTTAGATGGCCCAAAGCGTTTAATTTGCTTAAGTTTTGTGAAACCAAAACCTAAGTTACCTGAACCACCAATCAGTGCAAAAAAAAATATTAGGAGCCCATTTGAACAAAAAGCAAAAAAAAAAAAAAAAAAAAAAAAAAAACAGGCAGTGTTTCAGTAAAGAAAAACGTAAATGGACACGTGCTGTTTACTTTCCTTTCTACATCTTGATTGAGAGGATGGCAAACTTTTTTAAAGGCCATCCCGATGCAAAAGTGAAGCAATACCAACGTTTAACCCTTTAACCCCTAAGAGTGATTAGTAACTATTTTCTCCTGTCAGTATCACTGCCAAATTAAACATCGAGATCATGAGAATATAAGAAAATGATTGCCAACTATAGAGGCCCTTGATTGTTAAACAAATCCTCTTTGTCAGCACCATAGGAAATACATAGAGTGATTAGTAACTATTTTCTCCTGTCAGTATCACTGCCAAATTAAACATCGAGATCATGAGAATATAAGAAAATGATTGCCAACTATAGAGGCCCTTGATTGTTAAACAAATCCTCTTTGTCAGCACCATAGGAAATACATAGAGAACAGTATGGAGAAAATTTATACTGATGTAAAGGGTTAAACCCTGGATAGTTTTCCATACTCAACTCAAAATTGCTTTGGTAATTCAACAAAGAAACTGAGGGAGAAGGTGGAGTAAGAAGAAATTTTACAGAAGGCTTGATTCCCAAAACTACTATCAAGTTTTGAAATGACAGCTGTTTTTAATTCCTCTCTCTCAGACTGTCTTGTAATGGACAACATATCTTTTGACATTTACTCTGCAATTCTTAGAATAAGAAGTGCTGATAAATACACTAAATGTACACCCAGCACGAAATGTTTGGACCTCCAAGTTCAAAATAAATTCATTACCGAAAAGGAAATAATATTATTAATAATAATAATAATAATAATAATTTGAAATGAAACAAGCATTCATAATCCCTAAGAAATATTCTTTGAATAATATATGCATTAATAATTATACCTTAAAAGCTAAATTCATAGATTTCTAAACATCATATCAAGTCCTAAAAGGGAATAATTGAAAACAGGCTAAACACTGCCTAACTGCAATATATTACGTCCTCAAATGGGTATATTTATCAAAGTTTTTTGTGTGATTTGAACAAGACACACTGGGCATTCCAATCTTTGTGAAGCACATGCCTCACACATCGTACAATGCGAACACGGTGCTGTCATTATGCATCTCTGTTGTTCCTCACAAAGACTACAAATTAAAGCTACTTTTCTATACATCACCTGCAAAGGGAAATAAACAAGCTCTGTTAAAAATTCTGCTCCAACTTTCCACTAAGAGTACATATGCCAGTAGTTCATTTAAAACAATTTCATGGAGTTATCACAGGTAAAGGCATTGGGATTTGAGTTTGACTTCTAAAAGTGTAAACACATGCTGACAGATCAACTCAAGTACTCCTTTAAATTTTCTCTTTCAGTTAATATGCAGACAATGGGAATGTTCATTTGACATTAAATAACTCACACTTGTATTTCACCCATTTTTTCCTGTTGTCTTAAACAATGATTAGGAATTAAACTACAAATCATACTGGCTAAATGTAATATGGTCACAACATAAACATTATTGATATCACTACCCACCTGATTTAATTTTTCTAAATCTGAACTGAGCTGTCGATGAATCTGTCTCATTTCTAACAGAGGTAACTCCCCTACATCATCCACTGTGTTGAGAGTGTGAAGATGGGGGCCACCTTTAATTTCTTCCATTTCTTTTCTCAAGCTTACCACTTGAGATTCAATCTAAGAAAAAGGAAAATCAACATACAATTAAAATGTAACTACCAGCTTGTTACTATTCTTATTAAAGTAAAAAAAAAAGTTTCTTTTATCAGATTTTTAAAATCATAATATCATGGTGTAAAAATTATTGGGCCCCCCTCCCCAAAAAAAAGAAAAAAAAATTGTCAAAACTTTTTTCAAAAATTTGATCTCGCACTCTAAATTATGAAATTATTTGGAGTTCAGGCCAAAAATGGATATATCAAGCACACTAGGGTGGATTATTGAGTGGTTGCAGTATATACTAAGTAGCACCCCAGATGACATCATAGGAATACAGGACATTTTGCAAAAAAGACTTTTTGCACAAGTCTTTTAGCACAAGTTTTGGACTGTTCGCACAATTCTTAGTGGTCATTTCGCACAATAATTTCAAGTGAGAAACATCAATACAAAAGGTATACTAATTGATACTGATAAGACATTTCACCTTCACATATCACTTTCAATAAATCCAATGGCAAGAACGTAGACATTTATGTAATAACTTCAACTAGATCGAAATGCTTGTGAACATGATCACTATTCTTACTTGAAGAAAGGAACAAATCTTTCTCTCTATGAAAATGTAAAGAGCTCCCTATTCAAACGATTACTTCTTTTACTTTTCCTTTGTTAAACAAAAAACCTTTTAGTTTTGACAGTAGATCATCCACTACAAACAAACGAACATGACGACCCAATGCTAAGGACGCCATGTTGATTTCGAAAGTAATTGTCACCAATCCGCCCTCCTCTGAAGTCAAAGTAAAAACCTGCAAACTGTTTCACTTTTTATTTAAAAGGAGAAATGACCTATCTACAAAATTTCTGTGTAAATATATAAAATTCAAGTTCACGGCCATGTTAGCCAAGGAATTGTGCATATTTTAACTCGCTACTTGGTCAAGACTCGTAGAAATTTAGCCCTTTCCTACATTCATTTAAGCTATAGTACATCTAAATTTCTTTATTTGTTTTGATCTTAAGCTTGTATGATTACTTATTGAACGGCTAGCATATAATCTTTGAATTATTTTGAATTCTTGAAACTTTCATGAAATCATTTGTTTACATCATGGTTGCTATGACGCTTATCGATCAATACTGAACTCTCCATTGCTCAGGTAATTGTTATTAGAATAATTTGAAAGGTTACTACTTGATAGATGTATTAAACTTTATGATCTTTAAAATTATTACAGATCAAACTTGCCTTTCTACAAGATCACTAGTTACTACCTACGCTGACACATTCAAGTTGTCAAATCACAACACTTGCACGTGCCGACATTTGATCTGAATCACTCTCTGAATATCGAGTTATTAATGTTGAACTGTTTTTGCTGTACGTATTACCAGTATGCCTAATTTTCATTATATAATGAAGATATAGGGAGCAAGTTTTCAATAGCTTTATTTGAAACTCTTACAGATCGATAAAACATGCTATTTGAAGGCGATCAAACAAGGAGGGAAGACTGGTGACAATTACTTTCGAAATCAACATGGTGTCCTTAGCGTGGGTTGTCATGTTTGCATGTTAACTTTGCAGTGGATGATACTGTCAAAACTAAAAGGTTTTTCATTCAACAAAGAAAACATAGAAGTAGTTGATCGAATAGTGAGTTCTTTACATTTTCATGGAGAGAGATTTGTACCTTTCCTTTCTTCAAGAAAGAATAGTGATCGTGTTCACCAGCATTTTGATCTAGTTGAAGTTAATACGTAAATAAATGTCTAAGTTCTCGCCGTTGGATCATGTGAAGGTAAAATGTCTCATCAGTATCAATCAGTATACCTTATATTGATGTTTTTCACTTATGATTATTGTGCAAAATGACCACTAAGAACTGTGCGAACAGTCCAAAACTTGTGCTAAAAGACTTGAGTGAAAAGTCTTTTGTGCGAAATGTCCAGTTACCCATCATAGACATTCCAAGAGGGATGGGCAAGTTTAACTAACATTTAAAAGTTAAGTTTCAAATTAGGAAATCATGGACTTTTTTCCTAAATACTAACAACAAATTCTTGGTGGATATTCTAAATACCACTTCTGTTCAAATTAATTTACCTCTTCCTTTTTCATAATGGCTTCTACTTTTCCTTGCTCGGCTTCCTTTGCCTTTTTTGCTGATTCTTCTGCCTCCTTCTTCCAGGCATCACAAGCCTGCTTTGCTTGAGCCCAGGACTCTTCCCATGAAGCCAGCTTGGTTCTGGCAGCCATGAGATCTTCACTAAGTCGCTGAATTTCACTTGAACTGTTACTGAGACCCAGAGGTGATGATAGCTGGGGAGAGCCTATTGATTTGGGTGAGTGGAGCTGAGCTGTAAGTGGATCCAAAACAGAGGAATGTAGACTACTACCCCTTACTAATGGACTGGCACGGTAAGGATTACAGCCCTGTGCAAAAGAAAAATAACACATCAAATTACAGCATCAACAGAATTGCATTTATCTAGGACCTGCTGTGCATATTTGAAGACTTCATCCCAATGAGTACCAAGTTAAATGAAATATTACCACAACATGCATCATATAAATCCAAGTCACTCAAATTCCATTGTGACAGTAAATAAGTTTACAAGACTTTATGTCAACAGCAATGGTGACCTGAATGTGTTTTCTAGGCAAATTTCAATATTATTTTCTATCCTAGTTTTACCCAGTCACAGTGTAATATGAATGACTGGAGTCCTGTTGGAATACTTTTTAACTTTCCCATGATCATTTTGTCACTCTTACATAATGAATTCCCGTAAACACTATCAGAGAGACTAAACAGCCTTGTTAAAGAAACATAATTAATTCAAATTGTATCCGATACAAACAACATTTTGTGCTAAACAGAAAAAAAGCACCCTTCTCCTCTTAAAGAGTGGAAACAGCTCTTAAAACCAGGTCCAACGCATCTGCAAAAGTTACCTGGAGTATAGCCCTTTTCTAAACTTTTTTGAGGCTTTACTTTCTTTTCATCTTTTCTTAGCTATATTTTTTTGCTATAGACTGTTAAATGCAAGTACCTTTTGTCCTGATATTAACTGTGAGGTGGAACCATAAGATGAGGAAAACTGTCCTAATGGTGAAGTGGGTGATTGAGTGAATGGTTGGGGTGAGCCTGGGCCTGTATCAGCCCCAGGTATGGTAACAGGTGCTGAGCACATTGGATTTATGTTAAGTGCTGACAGAGAATCTCCTATTGTTGATGACACTGGTGAAGCATTGTTGAGCTCTTTCTCTAATTCAGTAACATCAAAGTCATCTAGATTAAGGTCATCAAGGGCACTCTCCACCACAGACTCCACAGTGTCAGCAGCAGGGTAGAAGGGTGGTGCACTGGCTGATACTGATGACAAATTGGATGAGGCAGAACTGGCCATAGAGAAGGAATGTCTTGTACTAACTACATTCTGAAAGAGAGAAAAGTTGTAATCTGCAGTGCACATGTTTATTCCAATAACACAAGGATGCCCTTATCTACATGATGATTAGTGGTCATACCATAAAAAAATTTTCATATTAGCATGTGTTTATATCATTAATATACACCCAGTTCACAACATTTCACAAATAAAAGGCAAAGTTCATAAAGTTTGCTTTGATTCCATTTGAAAGCAAAACTGACCTAGAAAGAACTTTAAGTGCATACCTGCTTCCTTCGGGCTTTCTCTATGTCATCTAAAGTAGGGTCATTTTCGATTGATAACAGTTGTTTTCTTATGAATGCCTAGGGAGAGAGTATTACATTGTTACATAAAAAAGAAAAAAGGTTACATGAGGATTTTAATCATCACCTATAATGGAAATTAGCAAAAGGCACTAAACATTATTATTTACAGTTTTTCTACTAGCCTGATGTTCATCTTCTCTACTTCCACTTCGCTCAGAACGTTCTGAACCAGGAGCTTTAGGATATAAACTACAAGGAGTGGATGGTTCACTAGAGTACGACCCTCCTGATGATGTTGACATGGATCGTGTAGGTTTGCTGATAGTCTGTGATAAACTTGCTATAAATCCAACTCCATTATCAACAGGACTTAATGGTGATGGAGGCATTGAATAAAACTGTGAAGTAATCATGAACAGGATACTGTTACTTACCAAAGCATTATTTTCTAACCAGTAGCCACCAAACTTATGCAAATCAGGTACACTAAGTTTGCAGATGTGCTAAATAGCCCACAAAAAACATAGTTTTTCTACATTTCCATAGCACAAAGCAAATGGGAGTCTCACTGCTTCCTTGACTCTAGTCTATCACAGGTTACTCAATCACTTTTTAAATTTCCCTTGACAGTTTGCAGATACTTACTGATAAATTTAACTAATGTATGTAACAAAATTACCATAAAGAACATAAAACTTTGACAACCATCAAGTGCAAAGGCTTAATCCTATATCTCTTGATGTGTATTCTCCAACTATGAGTAAACCATTGGGGTAACAATGGTTTACAAGTAATTGTATTCCATAAAGAGGAAACAAGATGACCCTACACTGTAAAACTTTTTTTGCATTTTATGATCAGTATTTAGTACCTGACTAAAACCTTGCTCCCCATTTGCTTCTTTAGTGGTAACAGTATCCTCTGTGGACAAACAAATCATTTAAACTTAACCTTTTTTATTAAGTTTGTTTAATCTTGTTTGCTGTAAATGCAAGACCAAAAAAAAAAAGACAAAAATATTACATAGCGATTTTAAAAAAAGACTTCTAGATAACCTTGTGAGAAAACAATTCAAGTGCATTGTGAGAGAACATTTCAAATTAAATATTGCCTGCCAATAGACAATTGAGCCAAACCAATAAGCTGTTACAAACTGTTTCAACATGTGACCTGTTTATTTAAATCAGATGATTATCTCATGATGATTTAAAATAAAAGTAAATGTCTGGTGTTGAAAACTAAAGTAGATGACATTTAAAAGTGACTCATTGGTCATTTTTGTGAGAATTAAAAAAGAAAAGAAAGCGCATGTCAAGCCTAAGTCAGGTCCAAATACTTACGGTCTACATGTGCAAATGCACAGAAAGGTCCTCTGGGACAATAGCCTGTCTGTTGCATATCATTACATTTTGTTGACTTGTAAATCTGTCACAAATATCATAAAATAAATGACTTTCTTATATATTATGTAATTAGCCACCTCTGTGCTGACAAGGCGAACATAATGCATGCCAGGAAAGTTTAATGTTCATTTTGTGAAAAAATCTGTCATCAGTTCAGCGAGACAAGAGCGCTTGTTGATTTTTTTAATTATACCTAATTTCATCAAGTCTTACTAATCTTAAAAGACACCGTCATCTTACCTGAGCAAGAAAAATTATTGTCAGGCATAACATCTGACAATCTTTTCAATTTACAAGCCACAATAGCACAAACAACTGAAAGTAACTTTCATTCATTCTTGAAATCAGTTGCATCTTTAATGACTATCAGTGCAGACCTTAACTACATCATTCAACACTCTTCACTAGTCAATCCAGGAAACTTTCAAAGATTTATTAACAATAATGTTACAACACACCTCTGGGTGAAATTGTTGTTCTGTTCTTGTGTGACAATAAGGGCAACCATCTCCACTATCACAATTTGTTGGCTCTCCCCATTCATCACCATGCTTCACATGAGGACAAGGAGTTGATCTTGAAATCAAATCAAATGAAAGAAATAAACTGGTCTGTTAATGGTTATACTGGTCTAAATAATAGCTGCTTCAAAATACATGAATACTGAGAGACAGAGAGAGACCATTGTATTCATAATATTTGAAAAAGAGACTACATGCAATATCAAGAGCAAAATTATCCCACTTTCCAACTTAATGATATCACTCTCCTAGCACAAAACAAACCACTTCAGAAGCATTTTGAAAGTTTGTTTTCTACCTGTGGACTAGTTCTATGTCAGCAGTCTTCAAGTGAACAAATAATTACACCAAGTGAAAGACAGCAAAATATTAGTTGAGTCTTAGAAAGTCAAATACATACTTTATATTACTTTATATTGGTTGGACAAACAGATGTTTATGTCCTTATCGGTTAAAGCTTAGCAGCAAGGCTGCTCTGTGTTGTAAATTTGCTTGCACTTATAATAAATGTTGTTGCAATATTCAAAGTGATGATCCAAACTGAAAATTAACTTGAAATACAGCATGTTTTGTAATTGAAAAACTACAAAGCTTCACTCGTCTTTAATCAGAATTACAAAAATAGTACTTTCTCTCACATTTTGAGATAATTTATAAGTATCTCAATTTTTCTTGGAAAATATTATGACAAGTGCTCATTAAGAGGAAACAGGAAACAAGACAAGATGTGTCTCTCTCAAAGGCATGCTTTAAGTGGCTTAAAACAAGCACCTACATGCCTTCAAAGGACTGGGTTCAAATTCTTGAAAGTTGTGTTGCTCAGACACAATCCACACCATTCTATCTCGTATCAAATTCCTTGTTAAAACTTACTCAAGAGTCGAGAGAAAAAACTGACTAAATTTCATGTTTTGCCAGAACTTTTGTTTTCTAACAATTTAGTATGATTTAATGACAGAACAGAGTACGTTCATGGCATTAATGGTTGATTAAGACAACTTTGAGAAATGGGGAAACCAAACCAATGGCCAATTAAAAAATTTATAATTTTTGCTTTTATGGCTACCTCTCAATAACTGAAAAAAAATTACATTTGGCACTGGTGATGAAAAAAAAGACCAATTTTAAATCTGAAAATCACACTTAAAGAAACTTGGTCAAGTATCAGGAAAAATAAAACAAACAATGTACCGCTCAAGTTGCATGCATTTATTTTGAATGTGTTCCAGGTTAGTGACAATGCAAAAATGTCTTCCTAGAAAATTTCAATTTTGGCTATTTGCATGTATTTAAATTTCATTTACAGCAAATTTTTCTAAGGAAAATATGAAGCACAAGAAGTATGTCTAGAAGGAAGAGAGAGATTAAAACTTAAAACCCCTTCAAGGTGGGAGCATGGATATTTAATGGAACAACATAGATCTGTCCTTGCATGTGTGTTTTCCAGAGCAAAGGTGAAAAATTGAAACATTTTTCACTTTCCTTTGCTTGCATTTTTTAATTTCAACAACCAGCATTTGTTTTTGCATTGGCATTGTATGCATACATAAGCTGGCCTTGAGGACACTAGTACAATACCTGTATCTAAATTTCCTTGGACTGCGTCGCCTATCCCTGCTATTGTGATAGTGAGGGCAAGCATAGCCTTGTCTGCAAAGTCTTGGTGGCTTTTTGCATGGTTCAGTCTTGTAACTTGATAAAACATAGTTGGTATCTAAGAAATATCAGATAATATTCTATCAACAGCTTGTTGCCTTTTGTATATGTTCAAAAGGCTGAGATAAATTTACTGTTTACCACTATTTCACTGAGACACTGATAAATAATTACCTTGCACACAGCTCAATTTTCATCACAAAGGACAGCTACTACTTTGAGAAGGAAAACACCAGCTTCCGACAGGACACAAATTATGGTATACAATTAACCAGGGAAAGCACAAATACTTGACAGTAAACGATGTTACACTGGAAATTCCTCATCCACGAACAAAGTGGAAAAGATTAAAGATTAACTGCGATCAGATTTTAACCGTAAAGACAATAGAAGAATCCATAAATAATGAATAACTCTGTAAGAACCACAACTTTGTTAAACGGAAGAGAAATCTCTCATCACATTAGCGTTTATTAACATCAAGGAAACGAATTAATCGCCATATTTTTCAACGAAAATGAGGTTCTAACGGTGAGACGTTCGAAGATTTTGTTTTCAATGCGAATATAAGGCGAAAATATAGTAAACTCCAACGCAATTGAATTCTTATCTCTGTTTCGAGGTCGTATCATAGGGCCTCGAAGGTTACGGTCATTTGTTACCTTTAAATGCATAACAACGCGAAATGACAACGACTGTATACTTTACGGTTGCGACCAAATCACCATGAAAGTTTAAATGAAGATAGCACTGTGTACATTTAGAGCAACGTACAGTACTACACAAACCTTGCCAGCGGGGATCTTCTAGAACTGCTTTGTTATTCTCTATCCCTGCCTGACCTACTTCAGTTTCCTCCTTCTCGATGGCTTGTAATTCTCGTATATCATACACTGGTTGTCTCAGATCGAGTGGTCCATGAGCGAACGCGCAGTGTGGGCCATTTTTTACACAATATCCTCGAGTATCGGTCTCATGAACACAGGTTGCAGTTTTATAGTAACGAAGATGGTATCGACGTTCCACATCGCCAGCTACGCGGTGTAAATAGGGACAGCTGAAAGAGAAAAGGACTTTAAGTCAGCAATTCATCACCCGTACCAAAAATAAACAGTATAAGGCCTCCAGTCCGTAAATAAACGAGGCAGATGCAAGCAAAAATCCCTGGTACGTACTCATCTCCGGACGGGCAAATCCCTGACGTTTCATCGTACTGAGTGCAGTAAACATCAGGACTATAATTGAAGGTGCCATCCCTTTTCTTTTTCGGTCTCCTCCTTCTTTGATTCATGAAGTGCCAGTGAAAACAGGTGAAGGGTCTGTGAGCTGTACACTTGTGCTGTAGAAATAGTGGACATTGCTCGACCCGAAACTCCTTCAGGTACCTGGACGATTCGAAAGGAAAAAAATTATGACAACACGTAAAAACGTTCGCAAAACATAGAAAATCACAAATACACCTACGTGTAATGGAAAGGCTTCTCCGGCTGTGTTTGAGAAAGGGCAGCTAATTTATTTTCGGAAGAAATGATGGTACTGGAAGAAGTCATTACAGGATCAGAGGACGACATGTTGTTTTGGGGACGTGAGAAAACCAAACGCGCGCGCATCACAACATAGACAAACCAGTGCATCATGGGAACTACTAGTCTGATTGGTCAAAATATATCATGTGATTTATTTCGATCGACTCAAGAAAAAACCGGCAAATGTTTCGAAATATGCAAATACGTTAAGGAATATTTATGACCTTGGAAAACTTCTCGAGAAAATTGATCGCCCGAGGAAAGTTAGAATTATTCGAATTTTTTAAAAATACGAAATTTATTTGTCATTTTTATTTCCTTGCGATATGGTAAAAAGCTTAGAAAATCAGTCTATGAGTACAAGAGATTCCTTCGAATTCAGTTACTAGACTCGGCTAATCAACGCAAATCGTTACATTGTAACATAACGGAGACAAAATGCTGTATTAATTTACGTGACCATATAGGCCAAATAACCCTCGCTTAACCCCCGATTGAATGTCGTCTAAAATTACAGGAATGGCGAAGGTAATATTCCACGTCGATTAATACGCCGGTTAGAACACAAAAATTGACCGGAAATCGAGGGGCGATTTTCCGGCCAATACATCTGCAAAGAACAGATCGCACTCTAAGAAACCGCTGTTAAAACGCTTCTAGATTTAACAACGACTAGAGCTTTGCACATGTGCTACCCGAGCGGAATTTACCTACCTGATGTGATCAAAAGTCACCAAAATCTAAATCATCTGGTGAGTTAATGTAACGAAATGGCCATAAAGTAAGCTGCAAAGGGCGTAGTGTCGATAAGGCTGCCAAAAATTTCAACAAAAAAATCGGCATAATATATTTGACATTTAACTTCGACCTTCAAATACTCACCATCCATGCATCGCGAGTCATGTTATCCCGTGCTGAGATGAACGATAAATTTTTTTGCGGGGCCTGGCGCTAGGAGGCTATGAAATAAGCCACATGCTGTTTCTGCTGCCGATATTTATTTTTACATATTCTGTGTATTATTAGATAACGTGTTCTTTGCGTTTTGTGCTCATAACGGAATAACTCTAGGCCACTTTTGGCCATTCATACAGTCTTTTAGGTTTATCAGAGAAAGTGGAAGTGACCTAGAAGGGGAGGGGCAGGGGGGCGGGTATGGGTTGTCGGTATTTGGGGTCACGGGCTCGTGACAAAATCCACTTGTTCGCATTGCGATAAAAGGGACGTCAACCGAATGGTTTTGAGAATTTTCTTCTTTGTAAAGTATCGATTATAACAAAACGTGAAAAAGGAAAAAAATGTTGAGAGCTGAGTGAGTTAAAGTTAAAGCGCACCAATACAGGAAACTATTTTCTCGTACAAAAGAATTGGACAATCAATTCTTGCATTTCTTTTGCTCAGTTTCTCGGTAAACGCGAATATTTTCTGGCAATTCTTACCGGTCCAGATTTGATATTTCATTTTGCAATATTCTTCAACCCCGTCCCCGTCCCCCTTCCCTCACCCCGTGGGCTTTTTACCAAAAAATGCTTTTTCTCTATTTTTTTTTTTTTGTCGTTGTTTTTTTATATTTCGGAAGTGAAAACCCTTGTCTATATTTTGACTGTTTTTACCGGACATTGTTGCGGGTGCAAGCGAAATCACGCATGCTATCTATCTTCAATACAATTACAACCCTCCTTTTTTGCATGATTTCCTTTAAGTACAAATATCGTCTTGAATAAATGAGCTTCGCAATTAGTCCATTTTCTTAGAAAGGTTTGTGGCCTGCATGATCAGTCTCATACTAACATATAAAATTCTGACGAGCAAAAAACAAAAAAACCCATTTGAGGCCCAAAGAAAATGGGCAACAGAATGCATGCTCGAAACACCAGATAATGTCGACTGGAAGGCAGTTTACAGAACTCCTTTTCTATGCACAAAAATCACAAAATTTATTGTTTTTCAATTTAAGCTACTGCACAGAAGACTAGCCACCAACACCTTTCTTACCAAGGTAAACCTTAGGGACAATGAGTAGTGCACTTTTTGTAAAAGCGATAAAGAGACTCTCATCCACCTATTTTGGACTTGCAATATATCCAACCGTTTCTGGCAAGGTCTTAAACAATGGATAATTAGCCTTGGAGAACCTTTCGCGGAAATTTTCAATCTATCGCCATATATAGTACTAGGGCTTAAGCCACACAAAAACAAGAAACTAAACTTCCTTTTTTTGGTCGCAAGATATTTTGTATGGATATGCAGAATGCGCAACATCTCTCCGGAAATAAAAAACTTCCCCCTCTTCTTCTCACATTATAATGCATAAATCATTATTATAAAGAAAAACCATGCTTACAACAAGCACAACATGCATTTACTTAGTGTTTTCTTTAATTCTGTTTACCTATAATTTGATGTTTGTATCATTTTTTCCTGCACTTTTTTGTTTTCTTTTAAACTACCTTTTTTCTATAAATTGTAAGTAGTGCACGACATAACTTTGCTTGGTATAAAGCTGACGTTTACGGTTTTGACCTCTACAAATGACATCGCGTACTTCACTAGGGGCTGCGAATACGACACTCTCAACACGTAATTTTAGAATTGCTATCCAATCTGCGACAACCTGCTTAGAAACATATGATTATCTTTAAAGTTTTGGAATCGCTTCCTCCGTTATACTGTCTACAATCTCACCATTTTCTTTAATAATTAATCATTCACATAGTACACTTATAATTAGGTACTGCAACAGTGGTATTGACTTCTTTCCTGATTTACTCGCTTCATAAACGCGAGATAACCAAACGCCAACTTCGTTTCTTCCTGTCCTTTCGTCGAATATTCTTCCCTACAACACAGCGTAAACCCTTTTCGTATTCTTGGGCAACGGAAACCAACAAAGATGTTCATCGAGCGCCTTAAAAACAGCCAGCCACGCAAGCTACTGACTACTTCAACCGAAAATTGCGTTACATAATAAGCTCCAAAGAACAATTTTCAATTGAGTGTCCAAAGTAATCCGGAATTTCTTTGGTTTTGTTTGACTTCGCTCCGTGATTAGTCCAGAAAACCGGCGCCATCATATAACCCAATCAGATTCATTACTAAAACCTACCTACCGCGATTTGGTCACTCGCGTTTTCCCGCGCTTCAGTCAGTTTGTTTGTTTATACCTCAAGTTCTGATTAGCTCCTGGTGTTTTTTTTACTCGGTACGGTTGGCTGTTGTGATTGTTTTCGTTTTTGTTTATGGACACACAATCGAAAAGCACTCTAATTGCTTGAACTTGCGTCACCTTCCTTGGCGATCAGATTCAACTCAAACCAATCCAATTGTAGTCAGTTGCATGGCAACTGCGCCAGTGTCATGTAATTCGTTGTTACTTTTTTCTTGATTCATTAATTTATTTTTATTAGTTGGACCAATGAGTTTTCGTTTCAGTTTATAACACAAATGAAAAGAGCACAATGAATGACTATTTGAACAGCCATAGGATGTGTAAAGACTGCTTCGTATACTAGCATCTGTATCTGAAAGGAGGGCAAACCACGCCTGTTGTCACACACATTAATTTTGCCATAAAGAAACAAATAGCAGCAACAAAAACTTTAACTTATCAATTACTTTAGTTCACGTGTGAAAATCGCAAGAAAGTAGAAAGTAAATTTATTTCTAAAAGAATGTTTTCCACTCTTTTGTGATGGGTTTCTGTCTTTCCAAGTGATAAAAGTGGAACAGAGAGCGACGATGAGAGCAGGGGCTGAAGTACTTCCATTCCGCCACAGTCATTGTAACCTATAGATAAAAAACTGAAGACTGTTTAACCACACACCCTGTGTAAATTCTCTCTATTGAAATTCAATTTTCTCAAAATCGTTTCCATTGACGAGACTAATCTTCCCACAGTCTGTCATTTAACTGCTTTCATTTATAACATCAATTAACTGACACTAATACATCCCAAGGCCCTGACCAGAGGCCCCTGTCCCAGTCCCCTCGTTTGCTCCTCGTCTTTCCCAGTGTAGCACTGTCCTGCCAAGTTGTCTATCATTTACACGGCAATATCGATTGAAGAGAAAGAAATAGGTGAACCAATGGTGTACCAGTCTCACTGAGTTACTCGACAAGAACAGGATCAATCATGGAATTCCACGGCACAACAGTCTGAAATGCAACGTTCAAAATAAGAACGTAGAGAGTAATTACATCATCAAGTATGGCAACTTCTCTTAGACAAGAAGAGAGTCCATCCCAGATTACCTCTGTTTTTTTTCAGCTTTTCTCGAAAGCTCAATTGTACTTTCGTTAACTCTGCATACACTCGATTGCAAAACGGTGTGACCCAACGGCTGTATGGGAAATGTTCGTACAGTTACATGATCAGTAATTCATTTTTCTCATTTTTCATGAATTTCTCCAAACAATATCACCCCTACATCAAACGATAAGTTCACGAGAATAAGAGAAATAAAAACCATCTAAAGATGCTTTTGACTGTTAGACAAAGTCTCCTTGTCATCGCCTTAGGTAATGTATGGAGAACTGTTTGAAGAATATGGCCGGATACTGATGTTAGGGTGCAGAGAGTTCAAAAACAGAATAATAGATATATAAACAGGACTCTCACCTCAGTTTCTTCCACTTTATCGTTTCCGTTTTCTTCACTTTCATCGTAAACCAAATCAAATTTTCCGGTCACGTTTCCGTCGCCTACAAAAATTTGAAACAAGAACAGCTTTTAATCGGGTAATCTGTTCATTCAATTATTTCCCTGTATCTAGTTAAAATGCGCCTAATTTATAAAGGACGAGCTTCAAGGCAACCTTATGAAATACAAAGTAAAACGACGCAGTCGCCCCGAGAAGCCGTTCGCTGTTAAGGAGGTGATGCCTTTCTTCTCCTTTGTTTGTTGAACGTTATTATTAAGCGTGCGTTCCGCGCCTAGTCCCGGCTGCATGTTTTCCCGCGCTTGTCGCCAAATCGACCTATGCTGGATCAGGTCAGCGAATGTTTGATTTGATTTGGATGTTTCAAAAATACTGAATTAAGACTGGTGATGAATTAAAATAGTAATTTTCGAGCTGAAAGCTGCATAGCCAAGTCGTCAAAATTCAAAATGAGCCCTTTCACATTAAGTTTAGTGTGATTAACACTAGCCAACACCAAACTGATCATCTCAGCCAATGAGGGCAAAGGAATAAAGGGGAAAAATTTATAAAGAAAATGTGGTGCTACGTCGGTGGGAGAGTATAACACTGTTATTTAGCATTATCAGCTGAATTAATAACGTAAATTAGCCACCGTAAAGAGTTTCAAAGCTTAACTTTCGAGCGTTAGCCCTGCGTCAGAGCGAAGGACGAAGGGCTAACGCTCGAAAAGTCAGCTTTTAAACTCTTTTCGGTAGCCAATTTACGTTATCAATTCAGTTGATGTCCCATCAGGACAAAGGTCGACATTACACGAGAGCTCACAAGAAACAGCCTCAAGTCACAAGACCTTTTAGCTTTGCATCTGTTTGGTCAAAAGGATAACACTAGTTCTCTTAACCAATCACTGACCATGTGAAGCAAAACGGAAGTAACATGGGATAACTCGTGATATTGAATCCAAAGTTAATCTAATAAAACGATTAACCCGGAGTATACCTAACGACTTCTTTAGCGACTCCTTTGAGAGTTCCATCTTAACAGTTCCACTGCTTGGATCAAAAGCAAGAACAGTACCTTCCTGCAAAAAATTACAAAAACACGCATATGTTAGGAGACAACTGCTTTACGTGAATTGGATACGCAAACACAGAAATGTTCCTCTTTTGAGACAAAACGAAAATCATCCGGCAAATCTCAACGAACAGTTGTAGGAGATCAAAGCTCTTACATGCGATCGGTGCCCAAAGTAGGTTAATACGCTAAGCGCGTCAAGCGTAGGGAAACAGATAACCTGTGTTTGACAAGCGCGGGAAAACTGTCTTTGTTTCCCCAAGAGTTTCTATCACCAGGCAGTTTTCGAAGACGACAAAACAAAAAAATAAAATTGACTCGAAACAAGCACCTTGTAATCTGAGATTTCAGGAGTATAGGAGGCGGATAGTTCAAGTATCTGTTGAACAAGAAAGGAAAGAAAATTACCGAGCAAAAATAAATGGACAACACTGCTCTAAACATGACTGCTTAAAATCATGTCACGGACGAAGGATATGGTCACACATTGTAGCCTAACCCTTTAACTCCTAAAAGCGACTGGCTTCCAGTTTCTCCCTACGGATCTCCCTTACATCAAAAATAAAGGTCATGAGAATAAAGGAAATGATCACCGATTTAAGACGCTCCTGATTGTCAAACAAATTCTCCTTATCATTGCCATAAGAAATGAAAAAGGGTCAGTGTGGAGAATGTGAATACTAATGTTAAGTTGTCAAGGGTCAATAAATGAATAGAGGGTCAGTGCGTTTAGTATGACAAGGCCGCCACTAAAACTTGTGCATAGCAGGGTCCAAAAAACTAACAATATTCTGTAGTACAAAAAACCTAACGGGTTTCTTGACCAGTCCACTCTACAAACTACGACTTTAAACTGGCTGGTTGGATGAAGCACCAAAACTAATATCGAGATCCTTCGGAAGGCACTCTAACACTCGGCTAGCATCGGATCGGATTAGGAAGTATCGGGAAGAAGCCTGGCTCACACTACAAGACTCTTTTAAGAAGGTGACAAAAGCCACGAAGACGTGAAAACTTAGCTAAGCAAAAAACGAAAACCACGAACAAAGACAATTACGTAATAACATGTCATTCCGGCGCCTACAAAATTTGTTATTGTTGTTGTCGCATGAAGTTGAGACCTGGTGTTACTCTTTGTCGATAACTCCAAACGAAACGAGTAATCTTGTTCACGTATCATTAATCATTGTGTTCGTTTTCCTGAGGCGCTCCACTTAGTCGTTTCCACACTGGCTTCTCGGGGTATCTGAAATCAAGAGGCATGGAACCGAATTTTCGCGATTTCCACGAGCGTCTACGTCATTAGGAGCTATTATGACGTCAATCATTTTCTCCACTAGTTTTCGCGGAAAGAGCAAGTTTGTAATTTTCGCGAGAGAATCTTTTTGTTACAGATCGGAGATAAAGTGGGTGACTACGTTAATGGCGCTTTCACTCGCATTTGTCCTATCAAATGCTCTACATGGTGCTAAAATGGAAGGTAACTTTTCAATTCTATGTCAGTGTGCTCAAAATTGAAAACGGATTTCAGAATGTCAAACGTTGCGCCATTCCCCCTCTGAAGTCAAACAGATTTCCTTTGTTCATTTTCGTTCGTCAAAAGTGTGGATAAAAGGGATTGTACAATGGCTAAAATATCAGAAAAGCACATAGTCCCATGAGAGAACTTGGCCACTGGTATGAAGACTTTCCAAGTTTCCCGTTGTTACGACAGTCCTCATAAACATGAGCCGCGTGCGTATCATTCTTAGCACGATCCCTTTAAATCTTGCAAATTTACCAACCTTAATTCATCCTTACTTTTTATCAAAGGCTAATGTTGTTAACTAACCATCTCCTTTAGAAAGTAATCCAAGATTGTATTGGTTTTGCTTTACTGCGCTCTGCGATTGGACCAGAAAATTCGCATCATTCTCTCAACCAATCAGATGCAAAACTAAAGCCAATCACGACTTGGTCACCCGCGTTTTCCCGCAAATTTTTTTTTCAATTTTAGTTCTTATTGACTCTTAGAAAGTGGTTTCTTTTTCTCTGATTGGCCACAGTGATTTTTTTTGGGATTTTTTTAACTCAATTGAAAAGTGCTCTATGAAGATCTAAAAGCAAAATGTAAGGTGCTGAAAGAAGGTTGTCACAGTTTAAACTACAGAATATCGCTGGAGCTTAAACCTCGACCCTTTCAAAAATATTGAAAAAAACCAACGAAAACAAACAACAAGCTAAGAGAGACTAACGCATAATCTCAAATTTAACCTTTAGAGCCAGAGTATGCCTGATTATAACAATATAAGCAGAGAAAGGGATATTTCAACAGAAGCTGCACACAACTAAATCTTATTGGATTTCAGGAGCACAGAAATATGGCCTATTGCTAATAATCCCTTTGTTAAAATAAGGGGGGGGGGGATGGTCAAACCATCCTCCCCAGCTGTGCCCTAATCCTTAACCCTTTAACTCCCAAGATCTGGGAGTTAAAGTTTAAACTAATTAAACTCCCCTCTGGTTGCTACACATTTCCTAGTAAATAAGTGATGAGACTTTGGTGTTAGATCAAGATTACAACCTCTACCTGATAAGTTTGAGTATTCTCATAACCTGTTTGCTGAATGATGTATGGATATAATAGGAAGAAGTTACATGTTAATCACTTCTGGGAGTTAAAGGATTAACTCGCAAAGGACAAGGAATTTTCACAAATATCACTCAGGACTTGGCAGTGTAGGATACATTATCCACTACTTTCTTTAAGATTTCTTCAGAATCTTAGTCTTTCCTTTCACTTTGTTATTAAAAAAATAAAAATAAAAAACAACATGATTTGCACTTTACCATGAAAATGTACATTTAAAAAAGTATTGTTACCATTATTACTGTCGTCACTATTATTATCAATATTGTGATTTTCTTTAACAAGATAAAAAAGTTGTGTTCAGATTTTAAGGAATTTTACCGATCAATGAAAACCATAATAGTTTTCAGCCTATAAAACAAGCAAAAAACTATTATGCTAACATTAATAAGGCTCCCATCAGCATAAATGTGTTGTATAAACTCTTTTGGATTTTCTCATTTGTTCATGAAAAAATGTAAAATGGTTTCCGTGTTTACATAGCCATAGCCTAGCCTTCTTATTCCATTACTGTACTCAAAATAAACTTAAAGAAACTGAGTTACTGCTAAATAAATAGCAAGGAGAACTCTGCAAGAAGATTCAGTATGAAAACCGTGTTTACATACACTCATGTAAAATGGTTTTATAGCCAATCAGAGTGCGTGTACTATTTGAATTATTTTATAATTTTTTATGTTATAATAATATATAAATATTGTATATAAATGTTTTCATGTACATAACCAACCTTGTAAGCTATCTTATCTCTACTTCTGGGAGGGCCATGAAGTGGAGTACAGAGACTGTAATCTTGCATTGTTGTCTCCTAAACAAAATAAAAAGGACTGTAAATTGTTATAAGAGGCGTTTCTTCACAAAAATCTTATAATGAAGGATGTTTTAATGTGTGGGCTATTCTTCTGCTTTGTGCAGTGCTTAAGTGAATTGTCACACTGCATAATTGAATCATCAACTTTATAATATTATGTATTTAGTAAGAGAAATTTGGAAACAGTACAAAAGGTTCTTCTCTAAGGAGCTGGGAGTCATGATGTAAAAAAAAAGCGTACATTTATTCCCTCAGGAAAGGATAATTTTACATCACATGTTACCCTTGCCCCAAACATTTCATCAGGCCCCTGTATCATAGTGTGCAACCTTGACTCTGGTCTTATAACAGAAATAACAGTGATTGCAAAGCAAGCTTGAAACAGCAGAGAGTGCCACAAACCACAATGAACAGAGAATGCCACAAACCACAATGAACAGAAAAGGAGAGAGAAGTTTTATTGTTAAGTGTAAAATCTTCATATTTTGGAAAGTGCATTTGTAAATCTACCATTATATTTCTTTCCCCATACTATTCCTTTTTAATTAAAGTTTTCAACTTCTCAACCATTCCTTGTGTAACTTAACATGATGTCATAACGTGCGACACTTTCATGAAATTATGAATCTTTTTCTTTTTCTCGAGATGTGAGTTTGGGATGCTTTTCAACTGGTACAGAAGGCAAAAACAAGTAATATTAGCCCATTGTTTTAAAAACGACTGTAGAGTGTATCCTGTTTATAGGAATTACCTTAAGCTCACTGACAGCTGCTTCTGGGGTCTCTGGTGGCTGATTTTGTGTACATGGTGGAAAATATGGGGTTAAACCTGCATTGGTTAATAAGTGCTCTGAGTTGCCATTAGTCAAACCAGTGTTTTCCTGTTGTTTGTCAATACTTTCTTCTTCAGACTCCTCTGAATCAAATCTGATGTGGCTGGTTTCTTGACTGGATTCTATTAGAGAGTGAGGAAGGTGAAAAGTCTTTGAGAGTTCCACAAAAATAACATGGACACTGAGAGAACCCCAGTTAATAACTATATTCACAGGGTGTCTGCAAGTGTTACAGAGTACATGAACGAGAAAAATTTCAGCAATGTTCCAATTTCTTTACTCTTAATCCCTTTCACTCCCAAGATCTCTTTAGTAACTCTCTTTTCTGTCTGCAATACAATTATGATGTCAGTTTAAAAAATTTTGGCAATGGAACCACTAATAGTGCCCCAATTGTAATGGTACACAAACAGTGAATTTCCATTATCAGAGCTGGCTTCTTATAGGAATTTGTATTAATAGGAGTATTTTAAAATGAAATCTGTCAAGTGTATCCATTACAAGAGCTTTGACTGTAATAACAATGACTATACCTGGCTTTTTGCTATGTCTTTCATTTGCACTTGATAGAGGCCATACTTGTCCAGTAGTGTTCATTTGCTTGGTATTACAACAAGTGGCAGATTGCTTGTCAGATGTCTCAATTTTTTGTCTTGTTAGTGTCTGACTATATGCAGAATTAGGTGACTGGAATGATGTTCTGGATGACAATGCAGGGTTTTCTAAGGATGAAAAAGTGTTCTTGCTGGTGCTCTCAGTTCTTGAATTCACCTTCCCACTTCCATGAGAAAAAACAGAAGAGTTCTCTGACTTTTCCACACCCCTGGAAGATTCTGATGGTGATGAAAAAGATCTGTCATTTCTTGTTCCCTCACTGACATCCCACAAAGTCAAAGATGATTTAGGAATAGAGTTACATGTATTCTTTCCTTGTTTTTCATTTGTTTCTTTTGATGTTATTCTGTGAGCATCTTTTTTCGACTCATCAGAATCAACCTTCCTTTGGGTGATGCTTGTCACTTTTACCTGAGATGGTAATCTTGTGGGTCTGGATTCGTCTGCTGAGCTGGAGCTATTAGAGGTAGTACTGTCACTATCAATAGCATTTCTATCACCCCCAAGTGTTACTTCTCCATTATGCTTGCCTTTTTTTGAACCTGTTTTCAAAAGCAATGAGGCAGCTTTCCTTTTATTATTATTGCCTTGCAGAGATACCTTAATTCCATTAGTTTGCTTCTGCCGGATTGTAGATTTTCCTTTCAAAGGTTTATTCAATTTTTTCATTTGGGAGCTTGTTGTAGATGAAAAAGCTTTAGTAGAACTCATCTTCTCCTGTGATAACAAAGCACCAACATCACTCCCCACAACTGAAGACAATTTTGATTTGTGTCTTCTTTTAGCTTCCTTTTTTGGCTTTGGATCTTTTCTTGCCACTTTTTTACTATCCTGTGAAGATACCTTGTCTCTCTTGGCCTTCTTACTCTCCATAGGTATCTCATTGTCATTTTGTACTCTTTTCTTTGGCAAGTTATTCCCTTTTATCTTTCTATCACTGACAACCTGTTTGTTCCTGTCCACTTGTTTCTTTTTCGGTTTATCTCTGAAAGATTACATAAAGTATCAGCTAAGGCTGATTTTTATGTGTCATACAATCTCACACAGATGGGGATTTCAAAATTTTCTGACAATCCCAGATTTTGTCACTTTATAAAGACATGAACTGTAGACATCCTGATCATCAGGGATGGAAGGGGAATAAATTCATATTACATCTATTTTCTTGATGTTTCCCAATGACATTTTTCCAATGGTCAGCCATCTAAATGATACATGGTTGTTTTGAGTTGGCAATAGTTTTTAGCTCTTAGCAGTCCTCAATTGCTTGGCTTCAGTCCAAGGAAATATAATATTGAGAATTTAAATGTGTAACAATGACACCTAAATATCATTTTATAAAAACATCACAAAAGTCTAGGAGAGAAGGAAACAATGAAATCCTTGATCTTTGGGGGTTTAACATTGCATTAAAACCAGTTTTAAAGTAGAACATGGAGCAAACCACTGTATGTTCAGTTCATCTCCTTACATAAGTCATGACCTCTAGTTAGGTAAGGTATATTGTTGCAAGAACTGATATTCTTCCTTTCAGAGCTGACACAAAGGAAAAAGAAATAATGTGAACCTAATTAAGAGCTCAGCCATTTGAAACTTTTCAAATTTACTTTTCATTGTATTCTGTAAAATAAGTCAGCTGGCTGGTCAGTTGATAACACACAGAGTAGTTGTTCAGTCTCCTTAGCCAAGGGCTTATGTAAAGAAGCACTAAAAATGACATATTTTGGTACATTTTGCTGAAGAAATGTTTTTGTTAATTTTAATAAAAAGAAGAGAGGTTTGACAGCACTGATGATACCTTGCATCTGGTAAGTTGCTCTTCTTTCTGTTCCTTTCCCCTTTGTTTTCTACTGCTGTAAACAAGTGTCTGCATGAGTATTATTGATGATAAGAAAACAATCTCTAATAAAATGGTTCTATGCCTGTTTTTGATTTACTACATTCTGCACTATACAGTCAAACCTGAATTAAGCAGTCAGTTTTCAAAGTCCCTAAATTTTTACCACTTAAAATACATTAATTTTTTACCTCTAAGAAGCAGCCACCTCAATTACATGGTAGTGATCACCCTGTACTTACTCCTATTGTCCTCTATTGGTGTTGAACAGTCTTTTAAGCAGAACCACTCAAACAAAACTTAGAATAATCTTTCAAGTAAATCTTATCTATGTTTGTCACTCAAAAATCAGTAGTATTTTTGAGCATGTTTTTGCCCATTAAGTGGTCATTTATAGCATATAATAGCATATTATATCATTTTTTTTATAATACCCCTTTCCTGTGGAACCTGTATCAAGAAGTCAGTTTTAAGTGGTTACACTGCCATTTCCCATGAGTGACTGCTAAATACAGGTTTGACTGTGGTTGTCTGTAAAGAAAATTATGCATTTAGTCTTTTTATAGAGACTAAATGTGAAACAGCCATCTGAAATATGGTCCATTCCACTCACCTTGTTCATCTCTCTCCTTTTTATCTATCTGTTTTTCTGTTGTTTGTTGGATCTCAACCCTGTCAAATATGCAGACCAGAAGACTTTGTAAATGGGTAAGTTGAGCATTATCTCATTCCCATATACTCAAAATGGTGCCAACTCTGTGACGAGTTGTATGTGAGAGGTAAAAAGCAAAGGATTTACAAGGAAAGGAAAAGGAAAAAAAAATTAATGAGTTTGAGCTTTCGAGGAGAGAAGACCAAAAGTATGTTAGAGAAGCTAACTCAATTAAAAGTTGACAATCTGCCGTTGTGGACCGACGCACAAGCCTAGTAAACTAAATTAATACCAAACCCACAAGTTAAATAAATTAAACTTAGGGAAATAGACACCTTATGTGGTCATTATTTTGGATGATCTCTATCTTCTCTTGTGAAGGAAGAAGGAAATCGTCGAGGAACAATTTCACCGCGTAACAACTCTTCGAAGGTGCCTTGAATCTTTTCCTAATCAAATACTCTAAGTCAGCGACCGTGTTACACGAGGAAGTGTCAACGAGAAACCAGCAGTTCTTGAGCTCAGTATGGGGCAGAGAGTGTTGAAAAGTGAGACGGATTCGAACGAAGGACATTTTTAACTCAATCTTAGCAAGCGCACGAGCTCGCACTCCGCCATTACTATATGCTCAAACCGCTGACACAATCCGACGGCATTTACAACGAGCCTTGTGATTGGTTTTATCTTCCCCGCGAAAATCCGCGAAAATGAAAAAAACCAATAGGAACTGTCCTTAAAAATCGTTTCCATTCTCATATCGTCCTTTGGTTGAGAGGAGCTTACAGTTATGGGCAGCAACTCTCCAGCCTTTCGAGTTGTGGCTTGTTTACTGAACATCTCCGAAGCGCGAAATAAAGGAATAGTAGAATCAGTTGCTAATGCAGCTCTTAACTTTCCCTCCAAATCAAAAAGCTTTAAGTGTTCTTCAACAGTTCTGAACATCTTCTCAGACTACGATTACAACAGATCAGTTATAACCATCGCTGCTCCGGTGGAAAACATAGAAGAGAGCGTGTTCCGTGCTTGCCAGGTGGCTTACAAAGAGATAAACCTGGGAAAACACAAAGGAGGTCATCCCCGGCTTGGATCTGTAGACCTTATCCCTATCCATACCATAACCACAAGTGTGTCTCTTGCAGAATGCGGAGAGATAGCCCTAAACCTTGGGAAACGGATTGTTGGCAATATAAAGGAGACCTCTGTTTTTTTATTCGGTCATGCGGATCAGCCTTTAGTCAGAGGACTGGTTGAGAGGCGGAAAGCTGTTAACTGGTATCAAGGAGCATACGATATGGATTTCAGTAGGGTAGGGTGGGATCTTGGCTCCCCTCCCTCGCAGAGGTATGGTTGTACTGGAGTTGGTGCTATTCCGTACATCACCAATTGCAATGTCACTATAGACTGTCAGGACTTGCAGCTAGGAAAAGAGATTGCCAAGGCTATCCGTGCAACAACTCCTGGAGGTTTGGCTGGTGTGCAATCAATGGCATTTGAACATGAAGGAAGAGTTGAAATTGCCTGTAATGTTGAAGCTTCAAAGGTATGCATTTAAAGGGGGGGGGGCAGGTAAGATCAAGAAAGCTCTAACTTAGTGTGACAGGTATCAAATGAAATGCAGGTCTATACAGATTATATAAATTTAACTTTCTTCTCCCTCATTTCTTTGCCTTTGGCTGGCACCTGGTGTTGAACCTATACTCTTTGATTTAAGTTTGGGACCCCCCAAAAAAATAACTTTATGTATCCCCCCCCCTCTCCCGTTATGCTTTTCTATGGGTGTAGCACTTTGAATGTGTATTAGCACTGTAATTGGAGGGGGGGGAGGGGAGGGGAGGGGGATATTCATTGTTACTTCTCATTCACTGAAGGTTATCCTCCAGCATTTCATCAGCTTCACTGACAGTTTGCTAGCACTCACTTAAACTCCTGGGTGGAGAGAGACACTGTGAGAATCAAGCGTCCTGCTTTAGAACACAGAACAACGGCCAGACCAGGGCTTGAACCACTACCTACCTTTCTGAAAACACTATGCACACCACAAGCTTAGAAGGCTACATATATGATCAAGTCCACCATTTACTTGCAGGAACTTTCAAGTGAAGGAAATTTTCAATACACACATCCTGAAGAGATTGAAAATAGAGTGAAAGAAATAGCTGCAAAGAAAAATGTCAAGTTATATGGGACAAAGCTTGTGGGATTTACCCCAGATGAAGCCTACAGAAGAGCAGTTAATGCTCTTTGCAAAGACAATGCCACTGCTTGGAAATGTTGTACTGAATACAGAATGTGAGGTTTATTTGTGAAAACCTTTGTTCTTCAGCAGAGTATTTCAAGAGAAAGGTGTACATAGTTGTTGTCCCTTTGTTGTGGCTGAAAAGAGTCAAGAAATAACATTCACATTTGATTAGAGATTAGAAATGAGAATGGAAATATGATATCAAGGATGGTGATTGTGTAAATGGAATTCCTGTCAACTCTCACACACTCTGCAGGATTCTTACACCTGCAGGTTGAAAACTCCCATCTCATCACCTGAACATCTTCAAAAATATCAGGAACATCTTTGGAAATTTCTTGATTATTTTAGATATGATAAAATCCCCTATAAAATGCTGTCGGTCTAAATTGAAGATAAAAATCTCAAACAGCATTGATTTCTTGATGGAGAACAGTAACAGAAGAAAGTGATGGCTATACTATTATCATCTGCCCAGTGGATTGACACAGAGCAATGTTCTCATCAATGTAAAATACGTACTTTAAAAACCATGTTGCCGTATGAGCAAGTAGAGAACATGACTGGTTATTAGATAAAACCACGAAGAGTAACTTGCTGTTTACTTTTGTAGCACTGCATTTATATGTCTTCTATTGCAGTTTTAGTGTGCAGTGAAGGCATCTAATAATAGAAAGAATGAGCATTAATTAAAAACTTACCACTGTTTATCTGGCCAGCCTGTGTGATTTAGACCCCCTTCCCCCCTCCTTCCTTTTGACCAATGCTCAGCCATCAAAACGTTTTTTATGTCTCCCTAGCCTTCAGCTGCTGTGAAAACCAAAGGTGGCAGATATAATATTTACCAGGAAAATACTGAGCACTTGCTTCCCAAGATTACATCTGCTCTGCAGGCTATAGCAGTTGTGTCCTCACACCTTCTGACTAGGAGAATGTATTCTATCTGACACTGACAACAGGGGGTGCACTGATATATTTTGTCTCCTTTGACCAATAAAAAGAGGGAAAGGATTATACTGTGGACCCCCAGTTACTTTGAGAAGTTGACAACTTTATTGATGTCTCCATAAGGCTTTAAGGTCAAATTTGCATTTTCCCTACCTCCTTAAGCATCAAATGTTACTCGAAATAACCGCTTACAGATTTTCTTTGTCTGATCGCAATCATGTTTGTTTACCAAGCTTAAGTCAATTAGGCTGGAATGCGCTACAACGGAGGAAGTCTGGGAACTGAAAGGAAATCAAGATGGCCGCCAAGCCGAACTGTTTAATAGTTTGCAGTTCTGCAACTCAAGGTTCGAAAGAAATTTTGCGTTATTCAACTTAAATACATACAAAATAGATAGATAAATTACCCGAGATGCTGAGGGTGTTTTTGCAGCATGGTTATACGGAGAAAGTTGATATAAAACATGCGGAGGGTTTTCACAACAAAGTACTACCAAATACCATTGCTTTTCTTCTCGGCTTAAAAGTGAACTGAAAATTTTCATTTGACGTTCAACAGGCGTGTCAGCTCAATCCTTCATTCATGCATTTACTTTGACGCACTCAGTATTCAATGTCCAGATCGCAACACCACAAGTAAGTAATGTGTGTGGTGCATGTGCCACTTGTCAGTTGTAATTTATTTTTAAAAATTCTCTCTATTTTAATGCTTTTGTTGTTGTTGTTGTTTGGAATTTGAAAAATTTCTTTCCAATGCGTGTTACGTTTACAAAGCAAGCTAACTAACTGACTAAACATCCACCAGATTCACTGCTGATTGGCTTATTGAGTGGTTGATCAACTCGCGAGTAATATGTGTCTGTCGATCTGTCTGCAGCTCTTTCTACATAATTTTGTTTTATTAACTGATTTGATAATGCAAATTGGCCACTGTTATGAGTTTTTAAAGCTGATGTTTCGAGCGTTAGCCCTTCTTCAGAGCCAATAAAGGAATTGTGGGTTGTATGTGTGTTCATATGCAGAAAATGGAACGACACGTTTTACATAAAACTAGACTAGTATACTATCTCAGTGTTTTCCATTTTAGGCAGTTAAACTGGTAAATTCTACCCCCTATAGTACATCATTTTACCACCTAAAATTCAGTTGGTGAAAGGATTGATCTACCAGTTTGAAAATTTATTTTACCTGTTATGCTTAAAATAAGAGAGAGTATTGCTAGGTTTGACTCTTCGGTACATCGAAAAGGGTTTGGAAAATTGATCTAGGCCAGCAATTCTGACAGGTTATTCATGTATAGACTTTAAAAACCATGCAAATTGTAAGCAGGAGTCAGATGTTCAGATTTCCTCTTTTAGGGTCAGCAAATAGATTTTGTGAAATCAGATGATAACAGCAGGAAGTGGTTGAATGAGTTTCGAACCAAACCATTTTCAGTCCCTGGAAAACTTGAAAATGTTGATGGTGAGCATGAATTTTAAACAATAGATTTAAATTAAGGTAACTGTCAACTGTCAAGGTCCATCTGCAAGAATTTTCCTATGCAAGCTACCTCAAGCAGAGGTCAACACTCTGCTGGAGGTGTTTCAGATTATGACACCTTTTGCCCTTCTATTCATGTTCCCCCAAAACATTTTTTTCAGCCCTATATCAAGTTCTTAACTTGTTTCTCTAACTAAACAGCAAAAAACTGAAATTGTAGAAATTTTCATCAAAATTTTGTTGATGGTAACCTATGAGTGTGAATGCTGAGCATCCTCTTCATTGTTTTAAAGGAGTCATTGCTGGACTTGCATTTGGTGGCAAAAAGGGTGGAAACAAGCTAGCTCCATCCATTTATTACGCTGCTCAAACCAAAACATGTTAAAAAAAGACGAAAGTGACACTTTTTTTGTCAAATTCGTGACTAATTTTAGAAGCCAAATTAAATTTCTACAAGCCATAGTAACTAGCCTGGAGTGCTCCTTTTTCATACCATTTTCATTTTCCACTGTTTTGTGTGTATTGAAGATTTAAGACAGCTCACTTGGGAGATTCATTCTACACCAGTACCAGCTAAATTCATTTTCTAAGAATAAGTTCTGAGTCGGGACCATTCTTGAGATCATACATAGTGCAGGTTCACCTTTTAACTGTGTGCAATAAATGGAAATTTTTTACTTTTGTTCTTGAATCCTTAGCATCAAGATATGGTGCAGTGCTTATCCCAAGTGCTCCAGGAGCCCTTCATGATCTTGCTCAAGACAGTGAGCTTGCAAAACTTCTCAATACATTTGTCCATGAAAAAAGTGGGTAGACTTGACCATTAATTGATACCTATGCTGCTTATGTTATGAATGCTAGTAAGAAAACTTTAAGAGTCTGAAAAAGTCATTTGGCTCTTCGATGTATTTGTGTAAATTTCAAGTATATTAATTTCAATTTTTTGTTGTATTTTTTTCATAAGTATTGAATAATATTTACTCTGTTTTTGTTACAATCAGAGCCCATCTGTGCCATTGGACATGGTGTTGCTGGACTCTGTTCAGCAAGGAGAGAGGATGGAAAATCTTGGAGTTTCAAGAGCTTTAGTATGACAGGGGTAAGTACAGGAAGTGTATGGTACTTCCAGTATATAATTATCACCCCTCTAAGTTTACATTTAGGGTGATTCCATACAAGCAGAACTTGACATAGACTTGTGGATCAACTCATGAAACTTTGAACATTGTTGAATCTTTTTTTAGGACAGTACTGAAAAAATGTTAAAAGAAAAGGAAAAATAAAGAAAAGCCAAAGAGGGGAAGTTAAATTTTTAGTCATTTTATGCTGAAAGGGTATCATAATTAGAAAGGGCTAAATTGATGTACAAAATACAATTTTTGTCTTGTATCCAAACATATATATTTGTCAGGAGCTATCGAGTAAAAATATACCATATACTATTAGATACAAGACAGAACCATCTGTGACAAAAGCATTGTATGTTATTCAGCCATCAGTTTTTGAATCAGCTCGTTCAGCTGATTTTTCAAGTCTACCTATCATTCTGGAAGACTGGATCAAAGATCATGGAGGAACATTCAGTGGTGGGTTATGTATTATTGAGATTAAACCATGAAGAACATTCTCTCTTTACCTACCTCTGGAAGTGCACTTCTGTTCTGCAAATGCCATCACTGTTTACATTCATTATACTTATTCAGTACAGCTGTGGAACAAAGGAAATAGCAACTCAAACAAGGTTAATTAAAATCATTAATCCTTAACATATCTTTGAGTTAATAGAATAAGAAGGTAAATTTTGAATGCAGATAGAAAATAATAACAGATGTTTTTCATCTCATCACTGGTGTGGGACTAATATAAAATATGAGTGAGTCCTTTTGAGGAAGTGATCTGGATTCCATGTTCTAATGTTCTACAACAGAGCTAACAGGAGCTCTAAGGTTTTTACTAGATTCATACATGAGTGAGTACTAGGAAGGGAATGAGAAAGTAATATAGAAGTGATATTTGCAATAATAAGCAGTTGTTAAAATAAGGCCTGAAAAAAGAAAGATGGTAAATATTTTACATCTCAGACATGATTTCTTTTTCAGCCAGTGAACCTGATGGGATGCATGTCATCATTGACAGACACCTTATAACAGGACAAAATGACACTTCAACACTTTCAGCTGTTCAGAATCTAATTCTTCTGTGCAATGCAAGGTAAGCAAGGATTCTTTCCCGACAGTATGTTTCATTATTAACTCAAGCTTTGAAGTAACACCAAAAATAACTCAACTTTTAAATAAAAGTGTTAAGAAGGCAGCACCTGAACTAGTGTGGCACGTGATCAGCGTGCATGCACGCAGGCTCAAAGATATTTTCAATTTTTAAGCTTGTTAGCAAGGTGACTCATACAATTATTAGTTTTTGAGAGCCATATTTTTGAGGACTTTTTATAAATTTTTATTATTAGCGTGTTACTGTGTTGAAGTTGTGTTGGCCGATTAAATGTGGATTTGCTTTCCAAAGGGTTTTCCATTATTGCTCAAGGACAGTAAGTTAATGTAAAAAAATTGTAAATTTTAAATTTAATTTAAAAATGAAATGTTTGACAAAAGTGGAACCCTTCTTTAATCTTAGCTGATTTTAAATGCCCAGGTTCTTACTAATTGAAGGTTTTTTTTTCTCATTATTTTTTTCAGACAAGGCAAGGCCAAGAGTTGAGGCTGACTAAGATGGACAGCTTAAAAAAATATACAATAACTTAGTCTGCTCAAAAATTGAATGACAGTTGATATGGTTGACATCACTGTTTCTAGGAAACTTTCCAGTTACAGAAGTTAATAAATGGGTGTATGGTTGGTAGCTTAATACAATATTGTTTTTCAGAGAATGTTCTTAATTTCTTGGAAATATGTATTTCTTCAAAACCCCAGTAACTCTCAGAAGTGATTAACAAGTAACTTCTCCCTATAATATTCATACATTATCAGCCAAGCTGGTGATGAGAATACTTGAACTTATCAGGTAATAGTTGTTATCTTGATCTAACAAAAATTTTTGCAACTACTTTACAAGGAAATGCTTAGCAGCTTGAGGGGAGGATTAAAACTCAGATCTTAGGAGTTAAAGTGGAGATAGAAGTCAAAGAACATTAAGAAGGAAAAAACCTAATATTTTCAAATTTTCTAATAGATAAAATGATATGACTTGTAGATGGATGTCTCAATACAGTCAGATTATGGAGAATATGAATTGACTTTTAATTTACAGTGGGTTTTTAAGTTTCACAGTAAGTGATACCGTTTTTTGGTGTTCTTCAAATTTTTTTTTTCTGTTGAAACTTATTTTGCAAATTGACCTGACTATCTGCTAAAATTGAAAGGACAAAATGTTTGTGCTATATATGCAATATAAATAATTTTGTACATTCAACTGTCAGTGAAAATCCAGAGTTTTGCACCCTAACACCAGCATGTTTATTCTCCTTACTGTTCTCTACACATTTCCTTAAGTGCAAGAAAGGAGAATTTGTTTAATGATCAAAAACTTCTTTAGTTAGTGATCATTTTCTTTATTCTCGTGATGTTCATGTTTGATTCAGGTGTGATACTGTTGGGAGAAATTAGATGTTAATCACTCTTAGGGGTTAAAGGGTTAATTATCTTCTTAATATTTCTTTGGTCATGTTTCTTTGGTGGTATCATAACTTTGAAGAAGACAGGAGGAGTTGTAGGTTACCAGGCCAAACACCAGTACAACTTATGCCCTGTTCACACCAATTTAAACAAGTTTCATTAAATGTAGTTTTTTTAAACATGATTTTAAACATGTTTGGCTACATGTGCCTGCAGTGTGGACAGGTAGTTTTACTAAAACTAGTTGATTAAAACAAGATTAATCATGTTTAAGCTTTGGTGTGACCGGGGTATTACTTCTCAGTATCAAATGACCCAAATAACCTAGAATTTACAAACCTATAGAATACCAGAGTGAAAGGTGATGTATGTAGGGCTTAAAAGGGTTGTGGAAGCTAAGACAGCTCTTTTTCATTTGCCAAGAACATGAATTGAAATTATGGAATTCAACTCAGATAAAGAAAATGAGATAAAAAGTCATGCTTCTCAAAGAATTGAGTTTCTTGTTCTGGTTCGAAGAAAAAAAGGAAAAGTTTTTACTCTAGAATATTTTCATTGGTGTCTGTTTCAAAAACTAGTGGCCATATGATAAAATGCTTTTTGACAAATGAGTATGGGTAGGCTGGATGTGAAAATATTTGGCTCTCAGTCATGACACAGAGACCTCACTGAACTTGATCTGTATGTCAAAACTTTGAGCCAAATAATTTCCCATTCAGCCCTCCCACTCATTCAATAAGTAGATATTATTGGTAACACTCAAGATTGCAAACTGTTGTTATTTTATTTGTGAAACTCACTCTCACCTAAACACATTGTTAGTTCAAACAGTACTCTGGCTAGATTTAAGATATGTTAATTATTAACAAAATTGACAGACATTATTGCATTACATCTTTTAATACTGTTACAACTGATAGTTTTAATCCACAAATTAAATTATTTCTTGTGTACATGTATGGTTTTCGTACTAAGAGTATTGTTAAACTTGTCATAACTTGTCATAAATCACAACTCCACTCACCCCATGATATTGAAAGAACTTAGTTGTCACTTTACATGGGGTTTCAGTACCTTTATTAATAAGCTGCTGTTGATGGTGCAATAGACAGCTGTTATGTAAAGCAAAACTCAAACACTAAAGTTTGCTCACAGGATGAACAAACGCCAGTTAGAGGTCTTGAGGCAGTGGTAGACTGCTGGTAACTGGCTTTTCTTGGAAACTCTAACCATACACCTGGCCCCAATTGTGTGAAACATGGACAATGTTATCCACTGGATAAATCTCCATCTGGTGTATAGCACAGTACATTTTGTTAACACTTATCCATTGGATAGTGTTATCCAGCCTTTACACAACTGGACCCAGGAATTACAAAGTTTGGCTACAACACTGCTAAGTTGAATACATGTACTTGAGTATCAAAATGGAATGATTACTAAATGACACCTAGGAACCCAATCAGCTTCATTCTGAAGTCATGTGTTCCACTGAAATGTTCTTTGTGAGCCTGTTTTTCTATTATTTCTATTTACACTACAGTTGCATTGTTGAAGATGCAAGTGAATTGCTTATTGACCTTCTGTACAAATATTGCAATTGAAATGCACAATTATTTTCTAACAAAGTTTCCACTATCACTTAACTGTCCAGCTGATTTAACATCGAAAAACCATATTCCATAGTTGGAACAATGATTCATGCCTGTACAAAAATTTTGTGCCATCAAATCTAAAAGACCATGACATATGTAAAGATTTGGGTTTTAAACTTATTTTACCCTAATGTACATGGAAGTGGCTGATGTTTTTATTACCTTGAATTATTATATAACTCTACTTACTGCCAATTTAGTTTTAATTAATGACTATTTTTTCATTAAATTATTTTACCCCAATTGAATATGAAACATGCTGTAATTTAAACCTTGAAAACAGTACTTTGGAAATGGTCAAATTCGGACTAACAAAAATAGCTTCTAGCATGTTTTCTTTTATTAGCTCTTAAGCGCGGCATCAAATATTTATGAAATCTTGTTTCAGTTAACCACTAGACAATATCAAAAGATAGCTATTGATATTCATAAAAGATTACAACCTCTTCAGCCTTTTATGAAGGTTACAATATTTATAACCACAGATAAGAATTGTAATGAAAAGCTGCCCAAAGGCAAATCATCTACCACAATATCCTGGTTAAGAGCCCTCTGCTGACACAACATTTGAGGGATTGAGGTTGGGAGGGGGGAAGACTTATTGCATATCTCTTAAGGAGAGGGCAGGGTCTAAAAAAATAAATATAACAGCATTCACAAATGAGGCATATTAGCATCTAATTACTGACTAACAGAAGAATAATTGTACTACTGTCTACACTCCAGCAGAACTGAGGAGTGAAGGGGGAGAGATTTAACCAGGATTTTCTGATATGTTCTGAGTAATCAGTGTACAAAGTCATACCACAAAGGGAGAGAGAGCATGGTACTACATATTTAAAGATGTTCAACTGAAAAAACAAGCAAAAAACTGTAGACTTCACCAGTAGTAAACCACAAGCAACATAAGTCATAAATTATCCACCAAATTTTCCAGATTTAAAAGAGAAAGAACATTACTATCAGAGATAGCTGCAGAGTAGCTGCACTTGAGGAATTTTAAAATATTCAAGCTGCAATTTTCACAACATTAACATTAATGAGGCCAAACTGCAGTCAGCAATGCACTTATGAATTGCAACCAGCATTTGTGTTGGTTGACTGTCGCATGGATGTGTAAGAAATATGTAAATTAATGACAATTACAGATGTAATCTACAAGAATGAAGAATTGCATTTTCTTTCCTGGCATCTAAATGAACTCTTGTAATTCTCATTAAGCCCTCATGTCTTGTGCAAACATATGAAGTTAAAAAATCTGCTGACAAATGTTCTTCATTAGTATCATCTTAAGATTTACACCTAGATAGATAAAAAAGATCATGTATGCAGGAAAATATGTTTTACAAGATGCTGTTCATAGCAGTGGAACCTTAACACCTCGTTGAGTGAGTCCTTCGAATCTCTTGAATGTGTAGTTTAGGAAAACCCAGTCTTTACTACCTGCCGCATCTGACTTTGTGTCTCTGAACCAGTCTGAAAAGGAATAAAGCATTTTGCATTTCATTTCCTGTGTCAAACTGATAGAGATTTTAGTTGCATACAGAGTACATAGTCCTACATGTAAATTGTGTGAACCCAAAGTAGGCTGCCAAATGCACAATTAACACTACAAAGATCAGTTTAGTCTAAATTCCTCGCTTATTACTGAATGGATGTAAGTCTCCATACTTAAAATTGCCTGATTTTCCCACAAATTATTAATCAAACTGTTCCATTCCCTTAGGACTTTCTGCTTATTAACTCTTTTTCAAGTGTTCCTTTTAACACCCTGACCTCCACCAACTGGAAACCAATAAAATGATCAGTACGCAATGCAAGTACAGGCATGAATGGGGTAAGTTCAGCCCATCATTTGTATTAAATGAGCATGGTGACCTATCCTTTTTGTTGTATTTTTTGAAACCAACATTGGTAAATGGTAGGGAACATTTAAGGAAAGTTTGTTTAAAAAAAACTGTTTGATAACTTTTTTTCCCTGAGGAACACCTTAACCCTTTAGCTCCCAGATCAAATTTGTAATTCTCCTTACTGTCAATCATAAAATTCTTATGATGTTAGTTCAAATAATTTAATATTATTATTTTTTTAAATTAATGTAACTACTGTAGATTCAAAAATAAAAACATTTCAGTACTTGAATCCAGTTCTGATTCCGGGAATTCATCAAAATTAGATGTGTCATCAATGGATTTCACATGTATTGGAATGGCCGCAGGTCTATCCCTGTAGATAGGAAAATTCATTCTATTATCAATGAACTCATAATCAATTTTAATGGGTAGCCAGTATAGATAAAATGGTATAATAGAGCTAGCACTTTGGTGCTGTAGACATAAACAGCCAGTATCTTGCAATCTTCTAACATAGCAGTAATCTCCTCCTGGAGCATAGGCCAACAATGATCTCCCTCCTTCACCTCCTCCTGTCCTAGGCTAGCCTTTTGAGTGTGGTGTACGGCCCTGATTCTTCGTCTCAGCCTAAACATCACCCACAAGTGTTTTTTGGGCATTCCCTGTTCTGTTTGCAGAGGGGAATCCATTTCAAGGCTTTCCTTGTAACACAGATGTTCCCTCAAGGTGTGGTCAGTCAATTACCACTTCCTCTAATTGATTTGTATTTGAATAAATGTATTTTTATGTTGCAGTTGAAGATCCTGAGCTTTGTTCTGTTCCTCTACTACCACCGGTTCATTATAAATTACATTATGTTGTTCAAATTTTCTTCATGTTTTAAGATTTATAACACAGCTTGATTTTTTTGACCTGAACCACTATAAAATGAAAATCAAACAAAATTTGTACATTCTAAACCAAGAAAATTTAAACGTCAATTTACACATACTAGTGATAAAAATTTCAATATTTTAAAATGAAGGAGGAGTATTTTTGGTCTTTTCAGCAATCCATGTGATAGTTAAAATCTCAGAGAAATTGAAATAAAATACATCATAGTACAAAAATGAAATAAGTTACCTGATATTTTGCCAATCTACATCACAAAAAAATGGGTGAGCTTTTATTTCATCTATATTACTGAGCCTTTTATCTGGATCACAGCACCATCTGAAAAGGCAAGCATACAAAGAGAATTTGTAGAATGGTTTAGAATAGTTTAAATACAAAAAATTATGAACAGCAACACAACCAAAATCATAATCTAAATTAAAGTGATATTCTCATTCAATAAAAAAATAACAACTCATTGGCCTCAGACAATTATCATTGGCACAACTATTCTTTTCCAATTTACCAAAAAAAGCAAATGATATCTGTCATATCAAATAAATAACTCTAACAGAGTTGTTACAAAGCGCAAATTTGCCTGATAAAAAAGCTGGCTGGATCTCTGGCTGACAATTATTCAGTAAAGCCAACAGGCTTTCTACAGTTACAAACTTACAATAGGTTGATATCAAACAATATCTTGGAGCCTCCTCACTTGAATTGAATTTAGACTCAAAAGAAATGGATACTAATTGAAGTGGCCAAATGGTAAGAACAAAAGTATCCCAAGGAGCACATAAAACTCCACATAACTACAATTTAACTGACTTAAGCTCAAGAAAATGCAAGTGGCTGAGTAATAATTGAATTTATCCCTTTCACTCCCAAGAGTGACAAAATAGTGATTTCTCCTTACAGTACAAGAAAGGTGGTGAGGAAAGAGAAAATATTCACTGGGGGAATATTGTTCAAATTTCAATACAAAAATTATTACAGTGAAAATGATGAGCAATGTTCAGTAGACAGTACAGAGAATTGATACTTTGACCTGGAGAATGAAAAGGTCTTTTTCCAATTGGCTGAGAAAGAGCTGCAAGTTTTATAAACCAATCACAGAGCATTGTAAAGCAAAAACAAATGAATCCAGCTCTGGATTACCTTCAACACTGACTTTAAAGTATTGTAAAAACATCAAAATACATACCTTTCAATTAAACCTCTTGCATTATCTGAAATGGGCATCTCAGGTGGAAAGATCAGCGTTTCTTTCCAGTTCATAACCTTTTTGTATGTTTCTAAAATCACAGAAAATCACAGCTAGAGTGACAACCATGCAGCTATGTCCACTAATCCATGTATCTACTGATTGCAAGTTTCTAATTGTAATAAATGTGGCATTTAGGCTGATGTCAGCTTAACCCTTTCACTCCCAAGATCTAATTAGTAATTCTCCTTACTATCTGCCATACAATTCTTATGATGTTAGTGCAGAGAATTTGTTATTGGATCAACTAATAATCCCATGATTGATATTCTTCTCTATTCTCATCATCTGCCTGCTTGATATTGTATGGACATTGTAAGGAGAAATTCTGTCTTGGTCACTTATGGGAGTGAAAGGGTTAACACAGTGTTTTCACCAAAACAGGACCCACTCCAAACAAATTTCATGGTATTCTATTTTACACACCTTATGGGCTATACTCTTGTAAATAACGGCTGCAAATAAATCAGGTTCATTAAAGCAGGGTGGTACAATACTGTCAGTCTTAAGACATTCAATAAATACCCAAGCACAGAGTTAGGTGAGGTCACAACAACAAGAAAATAATTTAATGCTCACCTTGTGGACTTTCTGAGCAAAATGGTGGATAGCCTGAAATAACATCATGAAACAAATACAAAAAAAATTAAACATAACAACAACAAAATAAATCAATATTTTGTTTTGGTTATGAGGTGTGGTGGCCTGGCTTCCAGTTGAAACGGTATGAAAGAACTCGATGCAAACATAATTTACCAGCCACAGGATCAAAATAACAATTATGATGTCAGAGGAGTGGGGGAAAAGACAAAGGTTGGAAGATAAGGAGTGAGGAATGAAAGATAAGGTTGGAGGGAGAGTGTTGACATGCTGGGTTGGAAATATGAAATATCATAATTTATTTAACACATTCATACTTATTTTATAAATAGAGACATGAACAATAGTGCTTCACAGTGGAGGGCAAAAAATGGCGTCCAGTCTTTAAGATGTGTTGGTCAGTAAGAAAAAAAACCCTTAGTATGAATGAAATAAAAACATCATACCTTGGAAAGTGCTTGAATGATAAATTTATTCACTTATTGCAATGCATGAAAAAACTAACTAGTTTGCTTTGCTCACTTCTTAGTTTTTTTGATGCATCCCAACTCTATTTACATATTAACAAGCTGAGTCATACAAAAACTACAAATTATTAAAAATTTTCTATATTTCTCATACCATACCTATTAGCATTTCATACATGATCACTCCTAATGACCACCAGTCACAGCTTTTATTATAACCTGTCTGATGAAACACTTCTGGGGCAATGTAATCTGGGGTTCCCACTGTAGAATATGCCTGTTAATTGAATTTTTTAACATTTTATGAGCTTTCTAAACTTATGATCAATCCATGAATGCACTTGCAGCAAGTAAAACTGATCATTTATCCAAGTTTAACTTGCAAATTGAATTGTTCAAAGTTAGATAAAAATAACAATGTCTTTAATAAAATAATGATGTTTAAAATAGCTGCATTACTATCAAAAATCTGACAATTTTCAAAAGATATCATTGATAGTAAATATTCATTATAAATCAGGACGAAACTAATTTATTATTGCTACTAGTAAAACTTTGAGGTGCCTTCTTTATGTCTAATGGCATTTGATTATGTGGTATGATTGTCTGAGAGAGGTAAGTTCCAAAAGGGATTGTGACTGAAATTTACCAACAATTCGAAACCTAAACAGAAGCATTTCACTGATGATAATTCCCAACAGAATTTGGCTCCAGAACCACTTTAACATTTGTGTGATCCACAAGTGAATCACAGGATTCTTCGATAAGTAAAAAGTCATTCTTTACCCCACCTTGAGTGAACAATATTACATTTGACAATGTCAGTGACAGATGGTACCATGACAGACATTTTGACAACCTAAGCAGGATTAATAAGCAGTCAACGGATAAATTCTGGTTATGCTTGCCTCTCTGGTTGTCAATAAACTTGTCCCAATCACCAATGACAGCCCTTTTCATGGCTACCCTCAATCAGATGATCACACAGTCAGATGTTTAACTTCTTGGTTAAAGCCATTAAACTTCATTGTATAAAAGATTTTGATGGACACCTCAGCTTGAATTTTAAAGCTCATTTATTTATCAATATCATCAACTTGTCAACCTTCTTGTTCTAAGAAACAATTTATTTCCAGTTAAGAACGTACCAGTTGCCTCCTGTTTTTCTTCCATGTTGCTGCTCTGCCTTTTGTATCTAATGGTTCAGCTGATGCTAAAGGAAGGATGTACAGCATGTAACTTCATTTTCAGTTTCGGTTTACCACATTCGCTAAGTGTTATGTGTGTGGGAAAACTCACAACTGTAAATTTGAAATGATTTCAGAGAAACACAGGGAGAAGAAAGAAGGAAAGTTGTAGAAGGAAAATTAGATTAAATTCAGCATTTTCAGCACCTCAGTCACATGTTTTTACTACATAGACTTTCCAGCAACAAGTAACTCATAACATTATGTAATTACTACTAACAGTAACTGTTGAAAATTTCTGAAATCTCCCTGGTTGACCAGAACCATTCATTATGCAATTTCTTTGGGGATAACAACTTCCTTACCCTTTTCTGGATGATTCATAAACTGTGAACTTTTTACTTTTCTTTCAAATAAATCCATTCAGATTGCCACACTCTTAAATACCTTAAATGGCACTTTTTACTTACAGAAATCTTTCATATCACTTGGTAAAATTTCTCTGTAAAATTCTGTTCTGTGTGCTTTCTTGAGACCAGTACAAAGACCAAAATCTGCTAATTTGATGTGTCCCTATGAAAATAAAAGTATAATTCAATTTAATTCTTTGCCTCACACTTAGAAAATTAGCTGCCCACATTTCTTCTCTCCTTTGACAAGTTGACAGTCTACCAGAACAGGGTTGTTTAAAGCTGGTTTCAGATCTGAAAGCTTTAAAGAAAATGCAGTATAGTTCTTTTTGTCTACAATCTAATGGTTGGATTCTTTAGAAAAGGTCATTTGAATGTTCATTTGAAGGAACAAAAAAATTTAAGTCTTAGTTTGAAAAAGTAACTGAAAGATGTACATACTTTACTATCTAACAGCAAATTGTCAGGTTTAATATCCCTGTAAAGAACAAAATGGTGTTTGTGAAAAAAAATATTAAATCAGTTAACTGTCATAATAATCAGTGCATTAGTCAGACATCTGCAGATTTAAATAACATCTAATTCAATGAATTCACAATAATTCTACCCTTATAGGTACAACAAGTATAAAAACCAAGCAACAATAAAAAACACTATTAACAAAGTTTTAATATCAAGTCTAGTGCTCCTAACCTATGAATAAATCCAACTTGGTGAATGGAATTTATTGCAAGAACTGATTCTGCTATGTAGAATCGTGTCTCATCTTCAGTAAAAGTGTCTTTTTTCATGAGCATCGTCATAAGATCACCTACAAGAAAAATCATCTTAAAGGTGAGAAAAGTAACTAGTTCAAGCACAACCATGTTCTACAGCCCAAGTATGGCTTCTGGAAGGCAGCTGTTTGCCAGTACATGTATATGATTTTCAAACCTCACCAAAGCCAAGGAAAATAAACTTTATCAAAATAATCTACAAGGTCTGAGCAATGGGAGACCAACTCTCTTGTAGACAAAGGTCATGTGCTTACCACCTGGAAGAAACTCCATCACTAAATACAGATAATGTCCATCCTGGAACGAGTAGAACATCTTCACAACCCAAGGATTTTCTGCCTCAGCAAGAATGTCTCTCTCTGCACGGGCATGAGCAACCTACATTAAAACACATGGCGTAAAACAGATCAAGTTTGGAAAGGTATTTTAGAGGAGTTTGGGTGATATCACAGAATTACCAGATGAGTGCTCTTTCCTGACTAACAAAAAACACAAGTGCAGACTTCACATATCTTTTCCTATGAGCAACCTTCATTAAAATACACAATACAAACCTTATCAGGTTTGGAAAAGGTATCTATTAACATGAGGATTTTGTTTATATCACAGATTTACCAGAGCTCATCTGACAATAACAAAACAAAAAAAACAAACAAACAAACAAAAAAAACAGTGGGGTTATTTATACTACTCAACTTTTTTCCAGACATTGAAGATAATAAGATTAGGTTTTACTTTGTAATTTACCTGTTCCTTTTCGAGCATGTCTTCTTTTCTCAAGATCTTCATTGCATATACATGGCCTGTGTCATGCTTTTGTACTAAACGTACCTACCAAGAATACATGATTCCAACAGTTTTAAACAGTCAAATACAAAATACATGATCATCATTTTTCTCAGACATATGCACACATTACCACATATCTGCATGAATGAACATATTTTTACATCACAATCATGATGTTTTTCAGAGTAAATTTTAAAACCACTTTGTGTAGATTACATGGTGATAATTGTTGCCAGATGAAAAAAACCCCAAGTGAGATTTGATTTCTAAGCTACCATCCATTTTTTTAAAATAAGTGAAAAACTATGTTTTTGATTGAAGTTTTGAATAATTCTTATCTTTCTGTGTTTTTTGTTTGTTAGCATATGAATCACCCTGAAACAAAGGGGAATAAAATTGAGCTAGTTTGAATACTTTTACATTGTGAATAACAAAGGGAAAAAGACACCTCAGTGAACCATTCAAATTTAGTACTATCTGGTAGATCTTAAATTGAGGTTTATTTGATATAGATTTTGTAATACAAATTAGTGATAAAAAGGAACCAGGTCATATTCAAGTTCTAGTACTGGTTTAACAGTATAAAAAATCATAAAAATTAGATACAACATAGGAATAGCATGTTTACAAAAAAGTTATTATTTTTAGACTATTATTTCTAGACTATTCTTTTAAATTCAAATGTTGTTTGTAATTATACAATTTTACACATCTTAATACTTTTTACATTCTAATCAGTTTTTTAAAAACTATCATATTAATTTTTTGGCTGTTTTTTTCAATATTTTTAAGATTTTACTAGAACTTGAAAATGACCTTTGAGAGGTTGAAACATCAAATTTTTTAATCTTGTCAATAAAAATCATTTTTTTGGTTTTACTGACTACATCTCCAAGTTACCACACAAGTGAAAACTAGGTTTTGCTGAGTAACATTTAAGCAACAGTTTGAGACCAGACACAAAAAAAAAAATAAAAAATTTATACTATGGTTACAAGTTCATATCCATGTTACAAGATTGCGGAGGTGATGGCTTCAAAATTTTAAGGCAATAGTAGACTAATGTATATTCTCACCTCGCCAAAAGCACCACGTCCAACCACCTTTAAGGAATCAAAATCTTCTTTCCCAATTCTTGATCTTTTCAGTCTCAAAAACTCTGTTTCCTTCTTTGCAAGATGGCTTCTTGATTCTTTTTTCTAAAAGGAAAATGAATAAAATCCAAGGAATAATTCCCCAAAGATTCCTCTAGGTCAAAATACCAATACCTCTGTTTCATTAAGTTTGAAAGCTTCAATGAGAACTAAGAAAAATACCCTCTCTGTTTACCTTTTTGTAGATTCTTCTTACAAGGATAAACAGTAACCCTTACAATGCCTAGAAGGGTTACCATATCTCCTATAGCTTAAAGATAGCTTGGTTAACCTTTTATAACTCCCATGAGTGACCAAAATAGAATTTCTCCTTTTAATACAATCATGTTAAATTATACAATATCATGCAGGCCAGTAATGAGAATAAAAAACAAATAACAACTAGGGGATTATTGGTTGATCCAATACCCAATTCTCCAAACTAACATCATTAAAATTATATGGCAGACAGTAAGGACAAATACTCATGAGATTTTGGTAATAAAAAGGTTAGAGTATATCTCCTCTCTTTGCTTCTGTAGCACCTGTACTTAATACAGCTGATTTTTTTCTGTGATGTAGCACTTATACATAACAGGGCTGACTTGTTCTGTAAGTTCTATCTCATCTTGATCTGTTTATTAATGCAGCTTAGGAACAGACCAACAGACCAACAGACCAACAGACCATTCACTTCTTGATCTTTTTCCCCTTCCAAGGAAAACTTTACTGTTATCTTGCAACCAGGGTGTTAATTTAGCATCAGTGGGCAGAAAATTCTCTCACCAACTAAACAGAATCCTAAAGTTAAATTTTGATGGCCTAGGCTATTATTCATTTTTAAAGGCATATTGAGTTTGCTCCAGTTAGTTTTCCCTGTTCTCATGCTGCCATATTTCTTTATAACAGAGTGGCTACAATACTTCCTCATAACAACCTTGGACATGTAAGGGGAAATGTGAAATTCATTAACAAAACATAGAAACAACCCTGGGACCGGGGTTACTCTCCCACCCTACCTGTACATGTAACTCTTCTGGGGAGGTGTATGTAATCGGGCTCTTTTCTTGATCAGTGGCTCATCATCGAGCCTTACTTCCTTTAAGTACAGACACCTGAGAGCTACAACTCCCTCTTAACAAGCTGCTTATCCACAACTGCTTAAAGACTCTTATCCCCTGAAAAACTTTATTATTTAAAAGGTCTCTTGTTTATTTGCTGTGAAATGTTGATAGCTCTAATATGCACAGTGACCTCACTTGTCGAAAATTCCCCCCAGGCCTCTATGCACAAAGTTTTTCATTAATCTTTGCCACTTTCTAGTTTAAATGTGGGTGATCTTTGATCTCAGTATTTTCCTATTAAAATTCATCAGTCCACACCATGAAATCATACCTTAGGGATAAAATTAGCTATTCCAATGTAAACATTCTCAAGGCCTATTGAAAAAAATAGAGCTGTGCCACAGGAAACTGACTTTTTTACTTTCTGCTACTTATCTAACCCTGAAGTAAATAAATAGGGTTACACCAACAGACAGTGATTCCTTTAACACTTTATTTCCTAAGAGTGACTGGCATGTAGTTTCTCCTTATAGTTTCACCCTTGAATCAAATATAAAGGTCACAAGAATTAAGGAAATGATCACCAATTTGAGAAGCTCCTGATCGTCAAACAAATTCTCCTTGCCATTACCATAGGAAATAGAAAGAGAACAGTGCAGAGAATATGAATATTAACGTTGGGGTGTAAAGGGTTAAGAGTATAGGTGTGTGAACCCTTGCAAAGACAAGTAATGCTTCGAATATGACATCACCTCGGCTATATTGCTGGTGCAAAACAATGAAACATAGGTTATATTGGTGGTCTGAAACCATAACAGTGGGAGATAACTAAAATGCTCATTTGTTTCTCTTATTTTTGTTTCTTTTTGTTTCGGGAAACAAATAAGGCTACTTGTCACTTGAGGGGCAAAATCTACACAGGTGTTTTAGACAAGAGGCTATTCCACAGAAAAATCATTTCCTAACCTTCTCATAACTAGTCCAAATCCTTTCTCCCTTGAGAAAACTTATATACAGAGATACTAAATGTACAACATAAAAAAAATGATATACGTCAAAAGCAAAACCAAAGGCAACATACAGTTCATCAATCGACGATGTAAAAGTTTATGTCGTCACGTTCAAGTCGATGACACTTCAATAATTATTGATGGCGAAATTAATTATAGTATTCGTACTGTTGATGGTGATTTTTTTGACGAAATATAATCACGTCCAAACCTTGTTTTTCAAACCAGAGAAAATCTGTTTTATTTCGCAGCTTGGCCTTCATGCTGTGTCTTTCAATCGTTAGGGAAAATTTACATGACTCGGTCTGATATGTATGCAAAAACTTTGCGAATTAATTTTCCGCTAAGCTGACGATATTACGACACGAGCTTTCTCAAGTTTGTTTGCGGTTAAAATCCTCTAATATCCTAAATGTCTTTTAAACTGCTGTTGTACTATCAAGGTCGAAAATTAAACAGCTCAAAATTGGATAAAGTCAAAACACATGTCAGCCTTAAGTAAATATTCGGGGCAAAAAACCTTAGATACAATGCAACATTTTAAACGAACCCTCGTAAACGTTCGGATATCTTCGATTATTTTCCAAACGAAAATACTCGCCATTCGTTGCAATTTTAATTTACAGAATAGTAATACTCGGCTTCTCTTTCTAAAAGTAACAATTTGATTTCATGTCAGCAACAACTACTAGCTAATCTAATTCAACTCGGGTTTCCTGTACGTTGTGAAGTTTCGATAGCAAGTCATCGCCATTCATTAATTCGTAAAGTAGACAAAACTTGAAGCACTGCAACGAAAGCTACTAAATGCTCCGAATGTGTCAAAACTTAAAACATATTACTGGAAATACCCTACCAACTCACCTCTTCTTCTGTCAACCCTTGTTGTTCCATATTCATTTCCAAGACTTTCCATCTAAAACAAGAAAACCAATAATTACTTCAAGGCCACAAATTTCGTGAATCTGTTTTTACACAGCAAACTTCTGGCCATGGGAAGTATTTCTGCTATGAATGTACTAAACTCGACGAAGTTGGGACACCAAAAAACACTAATTTACACCAAGGAGATGTTTTGCGATCAGACCTGTTCTGTCTCTCTTGGTGTTGAGTGATCAAGTTTGCGTAGAAACTTTCAATCGTTGCCTTGGTTCTCGCCACCTTTTCAAGAGTATGATTGGAGTATCTATCGGCAGCTCCATTTGTACTCATGGCTGTGTTAGCCAGCAACAAAATTCCTGGCCGGAAAAAGCTTCTTAGCCTTTTAAAACAACGACGTTCCCAACACAACTGCCTGACGTGACGAACAAGTGTTACACTTAGTCACCAGTTCTCCGGTAACGAAAGCCAGACAATCAAACTAACGTAAAAATTGATTGGTTACTGTACATGCTGTCGTTTTTGTATAATTTTCTTAAAAGGCTTCTTCTAATTGGACATAAGATTCTTAACTTTGGCGCGAAACGTCCATTACGTCATTAAAATATTGTAGTTAGGGAGAGAGGGGAGAGGCAAAATGATATTTGTTCGCCGCCTGAAAAGAGGTTTTTCCTTCTGGTCCTGCGTCAAAGGAAGAAAATACACTTGTTTTGTAAAGAAAATGGCTGCTAGTTTGTGTGGTTCGAACAACAGAAGTGCTCTATCTTTAACCAAATGAAAATGACTTATTTGATTTCATGACCATGGATGGATGGGGTGGCTGGGTATAATTTGGTCATCGCTAGCGTGATTTTTGGTCAGCGGCCTCTATAAGCGGCAAAAAAACTCTTCACATACAGAGCCCCAAAAATTCAAAATGGCGACCAGTTTCAAGAAAAAGAGTACGCGAGGTCGTGCTATTTATCCCCCAGGAACAAGGCCTTCTCTTCATAATAATCAACTTCTAGTATCTTCTGGAGTTCCATCTATGGATAACGTTATAGGTGAGACTCACTGACTCAGTCTATTACGGACTGGTAAACGTTTTTGTGTTAAGTTTTTCGCACAGTCTTGGCAATCCTGGCTAATCGTGATTAATTAAAATCATTTTTCCAGGGGGTGGAATTGCCGTAGGCACCGTTTTTATGGTTGGTAGGTATTTTAAGTCTGTTTCTTCCTATATTATTTCTTATACGCCATCTTGTCCGCTTGACTAATTTTCTGGGTAAATTATTCGGAAAATAACATAACAGCTTTAAATTAATCAATCAATCAGCTGATTTCAACTTTAATTCCTGGTAGTTCTTGACCAGGTATTCGATAAGAACAGATTTTTAGTTTAAACAAGTAAGCTAACTTTGTTTATGAATTCGTGAGCCCCAAAGCAGCACCTTTTTGCCTCTGTCTCATTTGTCACCCTTGAATTCGAATGTGTGCTGACATGCATCCCATTTCACAGGCTTCCCTAAGGAGCAGTTGCCTTGCTGTGTGGTGGTCTTTTTTAGTCATAGCTAAGAACACAATTAGTACACAGACTTAAGAGTCTTATTAATTACAAACCATTATTTAACTGAATATTTTACCCTTCCAGATCTCAGATCACTCTGTAGTAATTGTAATGCCAAATAACAACTGTTGCATTTTACACAAAAAAGATATCTTGCATTTAATACAACAAAAAGAAGAAAAATTAGAAGAAGGGAAGTATTCATTTGAAATATAAATTCTTTCTTTGGACACTTTTAATGTCTATCTCGGATTTTCGGACAAGATGAATAGTATTCTGGAATATGGTCAGAGCCCAACCACAAATGTTAAATCACCCATTAACAAATGACATTATATTTTGGGAATCTGTAGTTGTATGAAACTGACTGTTTTATCAGGTTCAAAGTCATTTGGGTGCCTCACTGCTTTTATTAAACTTTTGAGATTAAAATTATCGGTTTACCTTCTCTGTTTCTTAAATATTTGGCAATTTTTTTCTTCTCTTTAGAGGAAGACACTTATAGTTCTTATGCCCGACAACTTTCAAAGTATTTTCTGGCTGAAGGAGTGATATCTGGTCATTCAATATTCCTGGCATCTGCTGAACCAGAACCCAATGATATTTTGAAGGTAATTAACATCTCTGTTTTCCATAACTTAGGTTAATGTTTATTAAAGATTTCTACCTAAGAGAGAAGCAGATGACATGGCAGCTTAGCCTAGTTTTTATACCATAATTTAAATAATCAAATAAGCTCCCATGATGCTTAATATTTGATTTTCTAAAGGGTTAGTGGGACACTAGTTTAAAGGGGTGCTTTTGTGGGGGTGTCTGCTCTATTTTTCAAATTCCAACCTCAAAAAAACATGCACTCTAATTGTAACGATTATCCCAAAAGTAACATAATAAGAAGAAACTTTTGATTATAATTATATATCAATAGGACAAAAACTTAAAAGCATTTTACTCCTAGTTAATCTTTTGGATAGTCCTCTTGAGGAAATGAGAAGTAACTCATTGAGACTCATGGGACTAAAGAAAGGTTTCTGTACTGTTTATATTATAGAACTTGAAAGTATCATTTACACCTCATATATCATAACTGATTCCAGGAATTGATCCTTCTTGATAGATTTTTGAGGGGGGCTTCTTTGGAGATAGGGTTTTGTCATATTTTTGAATTCGGGAACTGGCTGATCTCATCAAATCAACTAAAGAGTCATCTCAGTGCAATGTGAGATAATAAAAAGAAAATGAAAATATGTGTGACTGTTGATTTTTTCCTTCTTTGCTTCAGGATCTTCCACAACAAGTTGATAATAAAACTTATAGTGTAGATGAACCAGGAGATAGTTCTTCACCAATTCAGTCTATGAAGATTGCTTGGAGATATCAGAATCAACCCAAGTTTGAGGTCAGTTCCTAATCTGGATGGTTATATCTTTATATACTTCCTGCAATTTGATCAATTTGGCTGGGATTTGGTCTGATAAAAAATTCCTGAAATGAGTGGAAAAATAGTAAACACCATGAAAATAATAATGTTCCTTGACAAAGTCCTTAAAAATTTGGAAGTTCTCAATCAATTCATAAAACCTTTTTGTCTGGAAAAAATGTTGCACTCCTGCTACAAGGTGAAATGAAGAAAATTAAACTGTATATTGAGGGTGAAAAGGGGAGAAGGAGTGGGTGAACTTCATTAGATTTATTGTAGACTGTTTTACACCTCACCTATTTGTATTGAAAGATCTATCATTTAGCCAGAGAATTCTGTGTAGAGACCAGATAATTTTCTGATATTTGCTGCCATATGAACCAGCAGCCTGATAGTATCACAAACTTCAAGTTCATTTTTCACATGGTTTCCATATTTTTTTCCTTTTTTCATCCACAGTCATCGCCATCATCTGGTTCATTTGGTCACTACTTTGATTTGACCAGAGTTATGGATGAAACTAAGCTAAGCTCTGTTCCTATTCAAACCTTCAGTGTGACTAGTGAAATGGCAAAATGTCTCAGTTGCACAGAGGAAGGGAAGTAAGTAAGTGGGATAAAACCTTCTTCAGTTGACTTCTTAGCTGCTCAAAAATGCTTCTGAAATGAGAAGATATCATAACTTTGAACCTGGTGACTGGGTTCAGATAAATTTTGCCAGAATAAAAGTTAGAAAATCAGGCATAATGCTGGCATAAAGGCTAAATTTGGTATAAATTTCCTTTACATTTCAACAAGAGATAAATTCAGTATCCTGAGTACTGTCAATAGTGAGCTTGCTTTTCTTGCTTGCTCTGTAGAAATTTGATCCAGTAAAATGTTGGGTTCTGAACTTTGGCAAGTTTTAATAGTTTGCAATAGGAATTTCGTAGGGGGGGGTGGGGGCAGAGGGAAGAGGGAGGGGGAGATTGAAAGGCTCTTAAAAGGTATCATTTTGAATTATTAAATCAAGTATAATGAAAAAGTTTTTTCAGGGGTGATGCCCTAAAGGCATAATGCTCAAATTTTCGAGCTTAATTTATCTGACCCTATTGGTTACACCATACTTGAGAACCTGGGTTTTTTTAAAGCTAACATAGCAAGTTCTTATACCAGAATTTTAGGTTAATTATTGATAGTATAGGCTTCAGAATTTCTTAAATAAATTTTTAGCACATCGTTTTTTAAAGATACTTTTAGTTAAAGTCGAATGAACAAGTTCTGATAACATTTTTAAAATACCAACCAGCTTTAAGAACCTACCACTGAGCTTTGTTGTATTGAACTAAATGTAAGTGTTCTCATTCACTTTATTAGATCGAGTGAGAATAATGTTTACAGATCGCTTATCTCAAGAATAAATTCTGCAATCAAGGAAGGAGGATTTACAACTGCTGAGAAAGGGGTATCAGTGGCAATCAATTGATGTTTTGTTAAACTATCTTACGTTTGTATCACTAAATTTTTACACACTTCCCTATTTCAAGATTTACTTTCTAGGGAGTGAAACAGTTTTGATTATAAGATAGGCTGGTTAAAAGAACACTTTGTGAAAAGGCAGAGAGAACCTCTTGAGACAGACTTAGAGGAGGTAACTGCTGGAGATACAGGCTTGTGTAGATAAGAAAATTATCTAACAGTTTTGTCTGAAAATCAAAACCTAAAGTTTTTCTTAAGATAGAAATGCAATGGCTTGGACAAACAGGACTGTCTGCTGTAAATTCCAAGTGGGTTCTCCCAGATTCCAAGCTATCCCGAGGTATACCTTACTTGCCTTTTGCAAGGACAAACTGGAAATTTCCGGTAGTTTTCTGTATTAATGATAGCAGTCTTGTTTTTTGTTTTTCGATGCAGTGCATTTACAATTAAATACACTTCCCAAGGACGTGGCCTCAATGCGGGAGGGCAGACACTCATGAAGCTGGAGATAATTGGATGTTATTGTGTTGACATGCGTCCTGAGAACGTTAAAGTGACAATAAGACGGTTTCTTTTATTATTTTCTCAGCTTGAGAACAGAACAATTCTCAGAATAGTTCTTCATGGTCTTGGCTCGCCACTGTGGGGAGAAGAGCAACACTTCGGCAATGAAATAAGCCCCACCCTGACCAGATTTTTGTTCCAGTTACGTGCCACACTCCGTTCTGCTTTGGCAGTCTGCTTTGTTACAGTCCCTACCCAACTGTTTCAGGTAACAGAGAACAAAAAAAAACAACAACAACAACAGCAATAACAACAACAACTAAACTTTGTGTAAAATGATGTCTGCAGAATAATAAGTACAGATTGTTCATGTAAGATATGTATCATAAAAGGACGCAGTGCGCCTTGAAACTCTTATGAGAGAGGAGTCCCGAAAACAAAGTCATACATCATATCCAGGCTAGATGCGTAAATGACTGAATTTGTGTTCCCAGGCGCTGACTCAGAAAGTTACTGCCAAGGGACTTTAAAGGAAACCCTCCTTACTATTACGCTAGAGTTCCATTCTTGTTCTTTCGTGCCGCAGAAACAGACCAGGTGAACTCCGGCACTTTGGACCATTTTAACCAGTACGAACATTAAATTAATCTACTGGGGAAAATGAAGTGTGGAATCCTAGAGAAAACGATATCTTCCGAACATTATTTCCAAATAACGATATCAGTGCATTTTGATAACTACCCCGTAGGACCCAGCCCTCACTCGGCGAGTAGAGAGACTTTGTGACACGGTGGTCAAACTGGAGTCATTTGCTGGGTCTGATAATGAAACGAACCCAGTTTACAAAGATTACCATGGTGAGCTCTTTTCCTTTTATTAATTTTCGACAGCGCGATGGAATTAGCGAGGTCACTAAGTATTCCTTGAAATACGTTACCTTAGCGCTCTACACTCTAACATCAGTATGTATATTCTCCTTACTGTGATCTATACATTTCCAAAGGTACTGACAAGGAGAGTTAGTTTAACAGTCCAGAGCTTCTTTAGTCGATGATCGTTTCCTTTATTCTCATGACCTTAATGTATGAATCAGGGGTGATATTGTAAGGAGAAATTAGATGCTGGTCACCTTTAGTGCTCAAAGGGTGGACGGATGTAAAGATTAGAGCCTGATAGCGAACAGTTGTTTGGCCTTGTGAGGGCACGTAAACATGAGCGAGGAAAGGTGTAACCAGTGTCTATTGGAGGGAAACTTGTTTTGTACACGAAACTGCAACGAATGTCCTTTTGAGGCAAATCATGGGAAAATATTTGTATTGAAGTCAACTACACGCGGCTGTGAATATGAACAGAAGCTTATAACCTTCATAAGCTTCTGATTTAAATCAATGCACCTCTTGAGTAAAGTGGAGTTTATTTAGTTTGATAAATTGACATCTTTTGAATTACAGGTCTCTTTCATATTGTTCGCCTGCCTCGCTTAAACTCCCTCGTTTGTCACGTGCCTGATTCCTTCGACCTCGCTTTTAAATTGAGGCGAAAGAAGATGACTATCGAGGTAGGTCTTTAATAGACTTCTTGAAGTTTGTTTATGTTTTCTTTTTTCGTACGGTTCTTCAAGTGTTTGGTCGTTTTTGAGTGAGTTTCTTTATGGTGCGCTCCTACAAGCACGGAGGAAGAGCAAACATCTCTTCTTGCCTAAAGCTTCTGCTCCATGTTGAGAGAAGAATAGAAAGGTAGTTTTCTTCATTGATACACTAATGTGAAAATTACCTCTCGTAGACACGCTCGGGACTCCTGTTAATGCCAGGGCTTTACTTTTTGGTTTCCTAGCCCGATGATGTACATCATTAGCTACTTATTCAATTGTTTTGAGCCTCTTCTCTTTCAAAGAAGTTGCATTTTGCGTATTTTAGTTTGTGGTTCACCGTGCCTTATCGATAAGTTAATCCTTTAACCCCAAGAAGTGATTGACATGTAACTTCTCTTTATGCTGTGCATACATTATCCAGAAAACAGGCAATGAAAATACTCTAACTTATCAGGAAGAAGTTGTTTTCTTGATTTAAGACCAAATTCTCGCAACAAATCTACAAGGAAATGTCTAGCAGCCAGAGGGGAGAATTCACAATCAGATCTTGGAAACTAAAGGATTGAGCTCTATTTCGTTCTGTGATGATTGAATAATGTGAACTGAGCACGATTAAAAATTTTTATTTTTATGTTTCCTTAGAAACTTCACCTTCCTCCAGAACTTTCAGAAACAGCGAATAGGACACAGGAAGATTCACATCGAGGGAAGCCTGGGTCCCTCTCGTGCCAGTCCATGGTCACTAACAGCTGTCTGGACTTTTGACTCTCATGCATTAGCTGGGGCCATGTGCCTCTGTTGGCGGAGAATGATACAAGGTAACAGTCAATGCTTGTTTTGGAGTATGTATGCCGTGGATTGCTCACGTTTAAAGTTAATCCAGCGAGCGTCATCTCTGTTGTACAATACATGTACTGTACTTTGAAGAAAAACGGAAATAGTCAATGACTTTCAGGTTGCCACTTAAAAATTTCCGACTCTTAAAGCTAAGTTTTACGATCAAGATACTGAAAAAGAACCAGAAATAGCCCAAATATTCAACGTCTTGATTACGAGATGACTTGGTGAGACATTCGACTCCTGCACTATTTATTGAAGTATAAAAAAGAAGGGATTTATGGCGCGCAGGAAATATTTGGGAGTCTTTGTGATGTTGCTCTTTGCCTCCTCTTCAAGGCTTCAAAAAAGGCTCTCGTCGAGCTGTGTGCCTGTGAATAGCGTCATACAACCTGAGTTGTGTGTTTTTAACTTCAATGTATGGTGAGGAGTTGACCATCGGGAGTCAAGAGTGGATTAATAAAAGTGATTGGTCAGTTTTTCTGTGTTGGTTGATATTGGCTGTGAGAGTCAAGAAGAGGTCATGGTCAGTTCTACGACCGCTGACTGATACCTGTGCGTCCAAACATTCTTTGATCTTTTGTTTGTGATGGATCGTGAACGATTCGCATGGAATGCGATGAAGGAACTGCACCGCTAACTGAAGGCACTTAGAATTCTATGATAATTCGTTAAGAACTCGACTCACTTTCGGATGAAGTTGAAACATTGATACCTTTTTTGCCACGTTTTAGCCTGAGTCGCGAAAGATTCTCATTGAAAGCAATGAATGACCTAGGCTGGAAACTGAAGTCTCTGATGGTGGGTTGAAAATTCGCGTCGAACACGTCTTGACGTCTTTAACGAGTAAAAGCTGAATGCGCTCTACATATCGCACTATACCTGATTTTTTAAAAGATCATGAAAATTCCCTCCTTAAGACTTTGCGATCTCGGCCAGAAGATAAAGACACTTCAAGTTTTCGAAACTTCGTCCATATATAACTTGTTATTGAATGCAAAACACAAGTGGTGAGCTCTTTGTTGTATCGAGAATTTACCCAAATCCGTCGACCTAGCCTGGTGTGGTCTACAACGACGTTGAAGTCATCAAACGTGACGTCACCATAAGCCAACTTTCTGAGCCAGCGGCGAGTGTGTTTCGAGTCAGCGTCAAAGATAGGACTTGGTGCCTCACCTTTTCCACAGCACGGAATGTTTTAGGATTTTACTATCTTTGATTCAGTGTATAACGCCTGAACATGATGGTGACTGTTGAGAGGAACTGAGTGGCACAAATGTATGTCTTGGTGAAATTTCATAATTTTACATAAACACAATTTTACGACTCGTACGCAGAAGAATCATGCGTTCCTTAAGTTATCTTCAAAGTTAAACTTTATTTTAGCGAGATGTTGGACACTGCATCTCACTTGCCAAGGAATACTGAAATTGAAAGCTGCTGCCATTATCTCACTGAGACTCATTTCACTCGCTATTATGTTCCTCTGTAAAGACTATTAAATGTTGAGAATCGATTTTGAAAATCCTAGAAGAATCCTAATCTCTGTGACAGTTCATATATTAGAAAATGTTTATGGCGACAAATTTATTAAGGATGGTTTACTTGTATTAGGTCGTTCAAAAGACCCGATTGATTCTGATTGAAGTAATCAGTTTAACTTATGGAGAAATTATATTTGATTTTCGGACGAAATATAAAAGTAATAAAAAAAAGTGAAAGCTGTCGAAAGGCTCTAAAAGCCTGCAATGTGTGTACATTTGATCTTTCATTCGCATTTGTTTGGTTAATGTGTGGCAAATGGCACGCCGAAATATAATCGTTAACAGACCAGTTGCAGTCTAAACTTTCTCATTTGAAGGGCAAGTAATCAAAAAGTGACCTTGACCCACCGTAATCTGGGTCAAATTCGCCAACCGCTGGGTTGTAAGTGCTTTCAATTTTGTAAAACCATTATAACTTTTATTACTATTGTATTCCAACCCGATGACAAACCACATCCTTTTTTAGCATGTTTGAATTGTGTTGAAAAAGCTCTCAGCCGTTAAGTGCTGCTATTTCGTTAATTTGCGAAATTCTGAATAATTCTTGATAGGATGTGTTCGTTTTTTGCTCGAATACTTAATTTTTATGAGCTGTGAAAAGGCCTACCTTTGACTAAAAAGTCCGTCTGAATGGCAATTTAACGAAAATATCTGCAAATTAAAGACTGAAAAAACGTGAGGAATTGCCCATTGTGTTTCGTTTTGTCAGCCATTGCGGGTGTTATTATCGGAACTTTCAGTGCAATTTCTAAGCTTTTAGGTGTCATTGACGTACACCATTATAAAAGAGGTCAAGGTATATTATGATAAACAGGAAAGCAGTGAAAGGCATTCCTTTTGTGTCTCTTTTCAATCATCGCTTCTACTTCCTGAAACAGGCGTTGATTTTCGTTTTAACTTGTCTGGCGGTGATTTTTTTTTTGTTTTCCTTTTTTGTGAAACGCCATGAAACTGTCAGATTGTAGCGTTATGTTTTTGTTGCCTCTGTAGCGTTGCACCCTTAATTTCTCGCTGATAGAGCGAAATCGCGGTAGGCTACGGTAACGGCCCCTGTCGCATCCAGAAGTAATTTACTTTTTTTTCGTCTCTGTCAGTGCAACTGTTTTCAATAGCTGCTATAAAGTGTATTATTAGACCTAAGCCCACGTCCCCGATATGAACCAGCGAACAATGAATGAGAGAAACAGGAACGCAATGAAAGGCATTCCTTTTGTCTCTCTTTTTAATAATCGCTTCTGCTTCCTAAAACAGGCGTTGATTTTCGTTGTGACTTATCTAGCAGTGTCTTCTTCTTTTCCTACTTTATGAAACGCCATAAAACTGTAAACTTGTTGCATAATGTTTTTGTAGCAGCTGTAGCGTTACACCCTTAATTTCACGCTGATAGAGCGAAAACGCGGTAAGCTTTGCCAGCCACCCCTTTCGCTTCTAGAAGTAAATAACATTGTCCCGTCTCTGTCCGTGCATCTGCTTTCAATAACCGGTATACGGCGAGTTCTTAGAGCTCAACGAGGGGAAAGTAAATGAGGAATAATACAAATACTTGGCAGCCGGCGAATGTTGTTGTGATGCAGGACCAAATTATCTTCTCTGATTTACAATAAATCAGTATACAGCAACTGGAAAGGAAAAGTTCCATTTATAATTTGGAGGGTAGAGAGAAAAAACTACAGCGTTTGTAATGGAAAATACCACTTAGCTTGCATACGACGCAGCGTGTTGCCGGCAAGACATGGCAACTTGTATTATATTGGAACAGTGTCAATGTGACCAAGGATACCGGTTCATATTCTCAGACTTATATGGGAAAAAGGGTATTCTCACGAAACTTTTCCAGTTTTAAAATTAGATTTCTAGGTTGGAAAAAAGAAAAGACTATGCTAAATAAAATTTTGTAAAGATTATGAAATAAGCTGAGATCGTTATCTAGCTGTTGGAGTTTCCAGAAGGGTGTAGCTCGATGAATATAAATTTGAACCACAAGGTGGATAATTCATGTCTTTGTCGCAAAACAGTCAGATCTTTTTGCGTTGCGTGCAGATGTTCATTATATTAATCTCGGTGTGTCTTCATCTAATCTGTCAAAATTCTTTCTCATGTAAATTTTTGAATAATTTCGCAGCTTTTTTATTTCTCTGGCAACTTTCTTGTTAACAAATATTGCGTGGGATTCGGTTTAATTTATGATTATGTCAGTGAACTAATGGATCCATCGGTACCAAATTTCGGAGAATACCACAGGTCCTTTATGTTTTATGGAATTAAAATCTGGAGAAAGCGAAAAACATCAACAACAACCATACATTGCAATCTAGAAAAGGGTATAGAAATTCAGCCTAGACAAAAAAAGATTAAGTATACGCAGCCAGCTTGTCCACCAGCAGAAGTTCCAATATTATAATTTGTGTTTACAGAACATATGTTTTTGTTATTTCTGAAAAGCTATGTAAACTGTTGTTGGCCTTTTAACATCGAACAGGGTTCCTTAGCTTAGCCCTTTGTTTGTCTTAGCAGAGTAAAGCTTCTAAAGGTTCACCTTAAAAGAGCATCGATATTTTTCGCGATTTAATGGCCAAGGTGTAACCTGGTAAGAAGACGTTTGAGGCAAATAAAAATAGAGAAAGTTTTTCTTTTTTTAATGGGGCGTTCCACGCCAAAAATGCTCCACTTTTTCAGCTAATATTTCAGTTATTGATGATAGAAGAAGACGGAATTGGAGATTATAGTTTTCAATTTTCAATTTGGTGTGGAAAGTAATCCAGTATTGCATTGGGTTTGCTTTACTTCGCTCTATGATTGGTTCAGAAACTCGCGCCACTTCCTCGACCAATCAGATGCAAACTAAAACCCATGGTCACCCGCGTTTCCCCGCGTCCTGACACAAGTCTAAAGCAGGTTACCGATAAATAAATGGTATCTTTTTATATTCCTGTGCGCATGTGCGGAACGGTATTGTGAGAATTTATTTTAGTGCCCATGAACACAACAATGACCCAGCGAGGTATCAAATCCCGGTTTTTATCCAGCGGAGAACAGCTTGCTAAGCATTAGACTTCTGCGTCTTTACGTTGCAAACAGAATTGTTTGTTTAGGCTTTTCTACCTATCTCAAAGACCGGTGAAAACCTCTCCCCATTTCTTATCCTTCATTTTCAGCCTCTGGCTGATTACAGCTGAAGGTGGATGTTTTCTGTTTTCGACAGTTCCTTTTGAGCGGAGATACTGGTTTCGGTTCTCAAAATATTTTTGATTTCAACTGTAGATAGCGATGTTTATAAATTCCCACGTTTAATTAGATGCACATACGTGTGTCGATATTTTGGCGATTTCAAAGATGCGTATCAACGTGGTCCTTCTGTCAAAAAATAAAAAATTAAAACAGTAACATTATCATCATGTTTTATTATTAGAACCAGTAAGCTTGATAGTGAATTGATATCGCAAGAAGATGTTGCTCTTCGGTAATTCCTTAAAGTGAAAAGGTGAAAATTTCGTCTCACAAACTCGCCTGGTTATGTAGGTCTAATTTCTTCATGAGGACTTTGTGTTTGGTTCTTTTTTTTTTTTTCCTTTGATTTGTGTTTGTTTGTGTATGTTTTTGTATACTGTTGTTTTGTTCCATTTTGTACTCTGTCAAGAGGTGGTTTATCAAATCTTGAACGCAAAGAATTGCATGATGTTTTGTTATGACTCTCGTGTTCTTTGTGTGGGTATGGTTGGGCCTCCTGCTCATGTAACATTACCCCAAGTGTTGTGTTGGAGAGCTGTCTTGGCCGCTGATAATTTCCTAAAGGCTTTACTTTTCATTTATGTGTCTTAGCGAGTGAATATCGAGAGCAAGCGACACAAACAGGATATAAGTCATTCAATAAAAAAGATTAAATCTTGAAAAATACTTTGGAGAAAAAACCGGATCTTCCCGTCTGTTGTTCTGAGGAGACCAACGTAGGTTACAGAAACAAATTAACGAAATCTGATGATATTTTGAAGATAAGATTCATCGTAAGGTTTCATTTTCTCCCGCTCCTTTCAGCCATTTACCGTCAACTTTTCGCTTCGCTACTCTTTATTTTTCCCCGATAACAAAAGAGAGACATTTTAAAGTGGCGTTATAAGCGTGGTGTTTGTTATGTAAGCTTTCGTGCCCTGCTTGATCTTTGCGTTCAAACGTGCATTTTCCGTCTCATTTATTGCTTGTTAGGTGATTAATTCATTTTAGAAAAAGTCATTTAAGTCTTAGGCGAGTTATTGCGCAATAAATAGTGTTTTTCGTTGAATATGATTAGAATTGTGGTTGATTATGTAATCTTTACATTTATATACCTAGTGCGTTTACTGCTGTGAAAAAAGTGATTAAAAAAGGTGTGCAAGTACCGTGAGGCATAAAAGTTGTGCGGGTTAAGATTTTTTAAGATTATACTTGATCTGTTAAAAGTAAGTTTCCGCCAAAAAAAAAAAACAATCTTGAAACATGAATCGCTGCATAAATTTACTATCTCCAGTCGAATGCAAACCTCTGCGTGCGAATCATGAGTGAATTAGTAGTTTTCCTTCTGTATAACTCGACCAGTAAACTTGTTTGATATACAACTGTATTTTATTTGGAAATTTTCTGTTGCTTGAACTGTTAATTGTAAAAATTAGTTCTGAGTTGAAATTTCAGCGAACTTGAAACGAAAAATTTGTTCCCTAAATCACACAAAAAAATCGCTGATCTGTAGAATCGCCAAACTTCTCGGTTAGTTCGAGAACATTCTGGAACGAGAACTCAGGAAAAGTGATTAGGTGCACGCGTAAAAAGTCGTTTAAGGAGGCTCCATGGGGTTTTTTGACCGCGCGTGATCTGGGCGCGGACATAGCACGAGCTTTGAAAGATTCAACATGCAAAACAAACAAAACGGCTTGATACGATCGCACGATTGTTCTCTGAAAAGGTGAGTTAAAAACCGTTTAACACAATACAGTTTTTATGTGATGGAATCTAGAGTCTCCAGCAACTGCCCTCGTAATATTCAAAGGCCCTCTCTGCCTGAAAACTGAAAAGAGTTATCGTGTTTCCTTCGATGGAATTTCCTAAGATTTGCTGGACCGTTAAACATATTTGAGCCCTTCCTAGTGCCTGTTGATAAAAACAATTCATATGACCAATTTTGAGATAGAAGAAGAAAACACAAAATTGCAAATAGCGAGGAAACTGCCTTTGTAACCCCTATTTTTTTGGTTTTTAAATGATCGGCTAGACAATTTTCACAAATTGAAGAAGATCAAAGGCAAAGCCAAATTATCGCTGGCGAGCGCCTCCCTTCGCAGAACCTTAGTTTAAGAACGGAAATCATTTTGATAATATTTACTACAGCAAATGATAGTCCGAACCTTGCTCATTGCCTTTTGATGGATTTTAGTGACCTTGAAAAGCGAAACATAAAAATTTTCTAGAAAAACATAATGCTGTCGCGCGCGCCAACATTGAGCAAAAACCCTATGGAGCCTCCCAAAGAGTGATAGTGCGATTTACTGCAGATCATTAACGAGAGAATTATCACCAGGTAGCGGGTTTAAAAAAAACAACAACAACAAACATGGGAAAAGTGAACTTAAGACCCAAAGTAAAAGACGGCTGAAAATCGTGTACTACACACGGGATAGGGAACGCGGAAATATTTGTGGAGGTCAAAGTGGGGAAACTCCGGGTCTAATTCGTGTTAAAACCTCGCTAATTAGAGCGGTAAACGAGTGGTAAAGCACGCGGGAAAGAATGGATAGGAAACACATAGAAATGAAAGCGAGTTCTAGTAAAGATGTTCAAGTTGGCGTGGGAAAAAGCTGGGTTAGTTAGCAGGAGAAAAGTGAAACTTTAAAGAGCAAGCGGAGGAAAAGTCGGGAGAGCATTTGCGGGCAAAGTTGTAAGGGATTGCGAAAGAGTTCGTACTAGTTAGCTCCAAAGAGGGAGAGTTTTCAGGCGTGGAAAAATCAGAAAAATCCCTTCTGCTTTCTTGATCTTATGCGTGATCGCTGCAAAGCAAATTACTTCGACTTACGTTTACAACTTCCACCCGCAAACCTTAAAGAGTGCGTCTTTGAAGAATTTTGTCGACTGGGAAAGTGCTTCCCATGTGACCGTATCTCAGTCCTGCGGTGCATAAAAGCGTGAACTCAGTTAGCGCAAATGATTATTATTGAACAACTCGGCTCTAGACGCTTGCTTCTAAATTAGTTATGATGAACCTGCTGACCAGAACTCGAGTGCACGACACGTCTCAGCTAACTATTATGCGATAATTACGTTAGATTAAAACGCATCAAGCGTGGTCTGGCAGCGAGGTGTTGAGTCGCTCAGTTGTCACCTGAAGTAATATAAACGTGCGATTTTTAACGTTAGTTACACGATAAGCCTCGAGCGATAAGACCTACTATAAGCAAGAAACTTGCGTCTCACCTAATGGCTTTTTCCATTAGGGAATTGATTGCTCCTTAGAGATGTCAATTTCAAAGACTGACAGTTGAACTTGTGGAGCAAATGGAAGAAAGTCTTTTTTATCTGGTGGTTATCTAAGAGCAAGTCTTTGCAACGCCCTGCTATAATTTTTAATTTCCTTGATTGTTGCCCTTGAATTTCCAAGTTGCTTTCGAATGCGTTTTTTAACGGAAGAAAAAAATCAAAGGGTATTGCGTCAAATATCATGTACATTAGTCAGTCAGCAAGGAGTTTAGTTAGTTCTTCTACGCGTTATTTTTTGTTTTAAGCGGAAACTATAACTTAACGTTGTGGAAGCATAAATCTCCGTGACTGTTTTTAAGCAATATTTACGAATTCTATTTCAATTTAAAAGGAGGTATTTAAATCTCTGACAAATATTCAAATTTTTGATCGTCGGTGTAAAGAAATTATTTGAAAGCAAGCACAAAAGACAAATTTTTAAAGTGAAGGCGAAAGGTGACGTCAGAGGGATTTAGTGATCAATTACTTGATCATACGTATTTTTCTGCTTTGTTACATTTTTCAGAATTTTTTGGTAAAAACGTGTAGTTCTAGCTTCGCCTTTGTTAACTTTTACCTGAGATTCGTTCTAATATTTTAAAAAGAACGAAATGATTTTCGCTCTATTTAATATCATTGCTTGATCACCCGTTGCGGAGAAGCTTAATTAGTGAAAGCGTCAACTAAATTGCGTAATTGCTTCATTTGTTGGAGGAATCCTTTTTTGCTGGCCATCACCGACGAAGGAGGAGAATTCTCGCTTTGTCTCTCTTGAGCTGTGGTTAGCATTGTTTACTAATATTGAAATACTTGATATTGAACTCGCTTTCACATTAAGAACTATGTAAGGCGAAGACAAAGGCTAGCGTCGTATATCTTCAAGACTTCACCTCTTGAATACGACAATATTTACCAGATGGCCTTCGCCTTGGTCATGCGCAGATCACATTCAACTGCACGCCACTACGTCATGCCGTTCGGAAGTATTGTCATTTTGCCTTTCGTACTTGTCAGAATCCGTAAAAATGCTCTTTATTTTAAAGAAGCCGTCTTTGCTCGTACAGCCTTTTAATGTCACTTTGCGGACACCACCCCTCAGGCAGCGGCTGAGATAAACAGAAATAAATTGCTCCCTTTTTTTTTCTCTCTTCCTACGCTGATATTGTCCATTTTTTAACCCGTGATGATCGCATTGTTTGGCCAGTTCCGTACCTAGTGTTATCATAAAAATGGCCTTTAACTGGAGATACGCTACGGAACTTATTTTCTTAGATGATCCAAAGAATTGAAGAAGAGCTCGCCGATATTTTCCTGTTCGTGTCTGCGAGCAGGTGTCCAGTTATAACGCGTGCGCACTAAATTCGAAATGTTGTTTATAATATGTTATGGTTTCTGTATGAAGAGGAAATATTTTTTGTGAAACCGCAGGGGAAAACAGCGAGCTTGATGGAAATTGTATAGAGTGATCCTCTCAGTTGGGTTACACAGCATCAAGGTTTTTTATTTCACCATCTGTCAAAATCCACTTTATTTCCGATTTTTGTGCCGACGAAATCGAATTTGCATTCACACTTTGGAAAGAAGTGCAACATTTACTTTTTCGGAAAATCGGAGCGCAATTAATGGTGTGTATTATTGACAGTTTGCACTAGAAAGTTGAGCGAGAGGAATCTTCGAGGTCTGGGCAAATAGCTTGCGCGGGCAGATTTGGTATCGAAAAGACGCGCCGTTGTCTTCGTTACTATGCGATGATGTACCATTGGACCAATACTTGCGTTGTAAATGCCTCTTTGTGCTGAGTAATTCGGTTTTTATTTATGGTTTGCGTGGTGCTATTACTGGGCGAAAAATGGGCTTTTTTGGTGTTTCGCGAAAGATTAGATGAAAAGAGCAGGACTATAGCATAACCTTCGTCAACAATGTCATTGAAGGAAATTCGCCTCTCTTCCCCAGAAGATCCGCGAGCTAATGAAAAAGTTGTTATAAACGTCGGTGGTATTAGACACGAGACTTACACTACTACTCTAAAAAATATCCCAGACACAAGACTGTCCTGGATCACGGAAAACAAGACACAACTTCCCGAATATGACCCAAATACGAACGAGTATTTCTTTGATCGCCATCCGACGGTCTTTACACAGATCTTAAATTTCTACCGCACGGGAAAACTTCACTGCCCCAATGATGTGTGTGGTCCGCTTTTTGAAGAGGAGCTTGCATTTTGGGGAATCGATGAGCTACAGGTCGAATCATGTTGCTGGTTGAACTATAAGAAACATCGCGAAGCCCAGGCGAATTTGGACACATTGGACGGGCATGATTCAGACAGGGACAGCCTTTCAGACATGGATATGACGGTGTACGGACTTGTCGCCGACAGCATTAGAAACAAGAACCGCACTCTCTGGAAAAAGATTCAACCCAAAGTTTGGACCACATTTGAGGAGCCGTATTCGTCTCGGCTGGCCCAGGTTAGTGACACGAACGTATATAATAGAAAAAACATGCTTCTAATTTGCGTTTCATTTTGCATGTGTATTGTCAATATTGTTTAATTTCACACGAATCGCTCATGAAGTTGTGTGCTCCGCTTGACGCTTTTGTGCAAATGCGTTTTAGGCTTTGGCCATTTTATCCATTCAGATCTCGTCGATAAATTCAAGTCAAAACGCCCATTACTGTGGTTGAGAAATGATTTTACTACGGTCAGTTTGGTTTCCAAGAGACCTGAACGATGAACGCTCCACAAGGCAAATCACTCGTGCGATTATTTTATTCAAACATTATTCGAGGAAACTCAAAGCGACAGCACGCCAACTGACGGATTACCTGAGTTCCATTTTGCTTTTCCATTAATCTTCAATTTGACATCACCCTCTGGTAACCGCGAACCTAAATTCTTGGCGCTAATTTACAAACGAATCGTGAATCATCGCTACGTTGTTGTGATTCTGTGCGCAGACACGAGAAAACGATTTTGAATGGGGAAAGTAGAATTGATGCTGTGTTTATAGTTAACCGCTCTCAAATAAACAATCTTAAACGTGCGCACTTAGTTCGGCCCTGATTGAATCCTTCACGAATTATTCGGTGAAAATTTTCATTCGCTTTTACGGCGGTTTAAGGATCAGCCAGACATGGACAAAAATCACATTAACAACAAATATATTAGTGGCCACATTCTGAAAGTAATACTTCTGATTCATCAGCCTTTAGCAGGTGTCCCGGCGAACAGTGGAGGTGGATATTAATTTCGGATTGAGATTTTTTGTTTCAAGTCTCATCTTGAACTTTCAAACTTTTCCTGACACTTTTTAATATTTAAATGGAAAAGTTAATGAAAATTTATGGTTAATGACTGTTCTTTGATACAATGGTGAATTTACAAAATACGAAAAGCTGTCTGTTATTTCGTCGCAATTGTCAAAACCTTAATTCATAATTGCAATTCAAATATGTGAATTTTACAAAATAATGAAAATATAGCCAGACAAACACGTTTCATGCCCTTTAAGATATTTATTTCGATCTTATTTGAAAAGCTGTTTCACGGAGCATTGTAGCAATGGGACATGACAGCAACGAGATAGATTTTTCTTTTTCCAATCGTATCCACGCATGCGTAAGTGCCTGTCTTGACATAGAATTTTACGTGATCCGGCCGTTTGTTCGCTGAAAATTAATGGCTCTGACTTTCGTATCTTTTCGAGGCTACAGCTTTTCTCGAACTTTTTCTTCCAGTGATAGGTAAAATGACCAAGTTGGCGATCATTAACTCAACGATTAAAAACCAACTTCACAGAACGTCATTGCATAATATTAATCAGGTTTCGATCAGCAAGCAAAAGGCTGCCTCAGTTCGCTGTCTACAACATAAATAATGGCGAAAAGGCAATGTTTCAAGCGCTTTTCAGGAACTTAAGATAACACATGTTTTCTCAATAATTTTTGCCATTTTGTTGTGATGTTTTTCGAGTAAACCATGCAGTTCTTGATTATTTTTTTTCTCTCCGAACTCTTTAAAGTAAAAATCTATTGCAACCATAATTCTTTCCGTACCACATTGAGTGTATTATGTACACATTTTCATTGAGTATCGAGCGGATTTCACTTTATCTTTTTATATCTCGCTTGGGCATAAGCTAACGAAGGCAAATCACCACACAATTTCGCGAAAGATCTTTTTATTAAGAATCGAAAATTAAATGTTATCGAAATTCGGCGGCAACTTAACTGAAATGGAAAAATATTCATTCATCCTAGACAACGTTAAGTAACAGCTGGGCATAAACTTTCTTCTTTTAAGCCTCTTGTCCTGATAAAATTGGGTCAAAGCTTTTCTCGAAATCGTGCGCCATAACATAACAAATTTTCTGGTCGTTTTTCCTTTGCATCGAAAAACTTTTTGTTACCGTCTTATTCTGTCGTCACTCGTAGTTCTAAAGTAGAAATTTAATCTCTTTTACAACGTAATGATTGATTTTTTTATTATACTCATTATGTAAAACACTCGTCAACGCACTTAATGGTTTCATGATCGCATCCTGCAGTTTTTGTCGTCATTGCTAATTGTGTGCAATTAGTTTTTGGTTTCAAAGAAATTTTGTCAAGAATTGTCATGATTTTAAGACGTCGAAAGCAACGCTTGACGTTTTGTAAGTGCCAAAAACATTTGCCAAACGTCCCCCTTTTTTTATTTTTTATTTCGTTACCAACATAAAAAGGCTTAAGTGGAAAATTTTTTTATCAAATTGCTTTTCATCCTATTTTCTTAGTTATTGTTCATTCTCTGAAAGGCTCTTGTGCACAATTCTTGTAATTCGTACACAACGCGAGAAAAGCGAGCCGGGTTTAACTTTTAAAATCTCTATTGCAAAACGGACTCTGGTTTACCCTTTCAGACCAATATTCCCGGTATAGAAATTATTTTCTGAAATTTTTATCTATGCTGTTTACTTGTTGAGAATACGTACGTGACCTTGGTAAGAATCATAGAAACATGAATAATATAGAGTCTGACTGAATCGGGGCAAGATCGTTCTTAAATAAATATACAGCAGCGCTTTTATCTGTTCTATCAAAGCACTTTTATGCTAAAACTAAAGTTCACCCACTGTCAAAAGTATGTTTATTTTTAAGCTGCGAGCTTTAAGAGAAAGAAAACTAATCAGTTTTGTCACAAGAAGATAGTTGTTGTTTTGTTTGATCAAATAGATTGCAACCTTCCGACAAACAAGTTTTCGCCTGCGGTCAAGTCATGATCTGTAGAATTTTTACAGAAGGGGCGATACTCCTCGAATGTTTTTCTTAAAGTTTCATGTAGCGGTGTTTCGATAGAATAATACGTGTACGAGATTAGGAGAAACCTGCATTGCCTTGGTTGCTACGTACTGTTGTAAAACCACCCAAAAATATTGTATTGGATTCAGTTTGGATTGACTGCTGTACAAACCAATGGATATGTATATTGCTACCTGTATCAACAAGCGAAGCAAATCGTAAATGACTTGTTTCTGAAATAGAGAACAATATTCCAGTGGACGAAAGTTTTCAGAAACCGTAGAAATCCCTTGATAGCCCTTCTCTTATCCCATCCACCCAAGTGTAACTTATATTTAACCTTGAAATAGTCTCGTCAAAATTTTGAGGTCACGCGGACTCTTTTTTTAGCCATTTTTTTCCGTATCACATTCTTAATCTTTAGAGAAACTGTCTCGGGGGTCTTAACGGTTTATAACGTAGCTGTTTCGAGCGAAATCCTTTATGTTTATCCCAAAAAATCACAAAATCTTGGAAAAATGACTATCCTGACTGTAGTGTAGAAAGGTAAACGAGAACTTTCTTAAAAAATAGTGAAGTTTTAGTTCGATGCGGTGAAATGAAGAAAGATCATTTCACGGTTTTTTGTTATGTTATTAACGTGAGTCCTCACAAAGATGTAGGCCTTCAGTTTCTTCGCTTCTACGCCCTCTCATTGAGGCTCTGCGGTGACTTAATCCATTATTAGGTTACACTTCTAGGATTATTAAAGCTTCCTATAGGTCTATTTAGGATAGGAATCAAACACCCATGAAAAACACAGGCAAATACTGCGAAAATTACAGGAATCACGAAGGCTCGTTCAAAGATGTTTTAACGATAAAAATCGTCCAGGCTCGCCTTCATTTTTCATTCAGAAAGAATCAGACTCTCCGAAAAAAGTTGCGAGTCTCGCAATCTCTCAACGTCACCCTTAGCAGTGACCTGCCTTAAATGGAGCCAAGTCAAGAATCATTGCTTGGTTTTCCTCAGTGCACCGTGCAAACTAATCCAAAACTATGGACCAATTTGGAAAAGGGAAGGGAAAAAAACAAATTTAGAAATCCTAAATAGAAACCTAATGAGACGTTCAAAGAACAAGAATGGTTGCGAGTGGAGAAGGACAACACGCGTCACGAACGACACGCTGAAAAATTTAGACTAATGTTTTAGATCCTTAATCTATTACAAATATCCTTGATAGAAAACTGCGACTTTATCCGTACTTTAGGCCCCCTTTTCTGGGCCTTGTGTTTAATTTAAGATTCTCATTTACTTTTTTTATTTCCCATGCTCGTGGACTTGCTTCGATTATGTTCCCTTTGCTCAGTCGACCTATTTAATACCACAGAATTATTCTTAAGCTTCCATCTACGCGTAAAAGGTTTATTTTTTCCCATTATAAAACACTCTAAACAACAACAGTAGACGACAATTAGGCCTATCGCCTTCCAGTGACACTGTACCTTTACCTAGCGAAGTTTGTAGCAACTTTTCTTCAGTGAAAAATGCTAAGTGAAATTCATTGTTTTGTTGGTAGGCTATTGCATTTACCACACTGATCCTCATTCTGACCTCCGTCATAACGTTCTGCCTAGAAAGTGTTCCCTTCTTTGAAGACAAGTCATCCACTCAGTATCAGGTCCTCTACATCACGGATATCATTTGCGTGGCTTGGTTTACACTCGAGTTTGTTATGCGACTTACTTTCTGCCCAAGAAAGCTGCAGTTTATCAAGAAACCTATGAACTGGATTGATTTTTGTGCCATTATGCCGTTTTATTTGGATTTGTTCATCAGCTCTTCCAATATCAAAACTATTGTAGTTTTGCGTGTGGTCAGACTTATTCGAGTGTTTCGAATCTTTAAACTCTCGCGACATTCATATGGTCTTCAGATCCTCGGTCACACTCTAAGGTCGAGCTGTAGCGAGCTGTTTCTTCTGGCCTTCTTCCTTAGTATAGGTGTGGTGATATTTTCAAGTATTATCTATTACGCCGAAAAAGACATACGCGACACCAAGTTCACGACCATTCCAGCCTCCTTCTGGTGGGCTGTTGTCACCATGACGACGCTCGGCTATGGAGACATGGCACCAGAATCCTGGGAAGGAAAAATCGTGGGCTCGTTTTGTGCGATCAGTGGTGTTCTTATGATTGCACTTCCGGTTCCAGTGATAGTGAGCAATTTTTCGTTGTACTATTCTCATGCAAAAGCGAGGCTCAAGCTGCCAAAGAGGAAGAGACCGCTGGTCATTGGTGCTGCTAACGCGCTCAAGGTTGCTCAATCGTTTGTTACGCAAAGCAGTCCAAAAATTTCCAAGGAAATGGTAGCAGATCATATCGAAAGTGAAGATCAAGATGATTCGGAAAAGGATGATTCACGCCCTGGTAGTAGAAACCGTTGGTCGTCACCTTATCCCAGCATTCGCTCAACTCCTCGAGCGACTCCAATGGAAAGGCGACGGCTCCCAAGCGCAAACACTGTAGTCATTCCTCCATCACCAAGAAACTCTCTACCAACGTTAGGGCAAGAAGTAAAGAGGGGGAGTTTGTTTGCAGTTCCGGAGGCAGAACGAATCGAAATAGAAATGGTAGAGTGTAACCCTTCGTGTTCAGTGATAGTTGAAAATATACCAACGAACGTATCCACCAAGGAGAGTGTATCCCAGCAGTCGTCACCATCAGCTCTCAATTCAACCTTCAGAAGCTCTGAAAAAGTGTCTGAAGTGTCCTCAGCAGCAACTGCGCTAAGCCCCAAGAGAAGTGATACTGAAAGTGGTTCATCTGTTATTGAGATGAAAACCCCGCCAAGCTCTCGGCAAAGAAGTACCTCTTCTAACCAGTCCATGTCCATAGATTCGACGCAAGGCTCGCCAAAGCTGAACCCACGGGGGAGGATGGGACGCCGCGGCAGCCTGTATGTTGTTGGTTTTACAGCCAAACACTGGCAGAATAAGGCGTTGAAGAAAAACAAGAAGACCCAATCTGCTCAGACTGACACAGGTTCGCGTAAGCCTTCGGCAACGTCGACCGCAGATCGCACAAGCTCTGCAACCCAGGCTGGTATTGCGACGAGTGGTCGAAGAAGCAGTGGTAAAACTCCTGATGACTCTGGGCTGTCTTCTCCGGAGAAAGTGTCTCAGTTACATTCTCAACTCACTGCTTCAAGAGAGTCTGGAACTGCAACACAGACGGAAGAGGGTAGACCCTTGGCCCAAAATGGTTTGCGAGACATACATGACGGCCATGGTTACCACGGCGTTGATGAAAGAAACAGTAAGAGTGTTCATACGTCTAAGCGATCTAGAAGTGAACCCCATGACAGCTCGCGATTCAAAGCCCTCCCAGTAAATAGATTACGCGACGAGTATCGTAATGGAAAATCAACGGGAGTGTCTGTATCTATAGAAAGTAACGACTCCAGTGCGAGATTGTCCGACGACTCATTAACGATTAGCGATCGGCACCGACAGCGACGCGGATCCTCTCCACTGGTCAGACAAAAGGCCGTATTTACTTTTGATATGCCTGATCAATTAGTGCAGGTTGACCCAAGTGCTGGAGGCCGCCTCGCGGCCTCGAAACGTAAATCAACCCCGTCACGCGCACACGACGACAACGGATTTTCTCTCTCCCCTCTTATTGAGCATAGCGAAAGTGACTTGGCAGAACCGAGGAAACTCATGGAAACCCGAAGAAACTCGTGTATTCCAGCAATAACAACGGAAAGAAAAAGTTCCAACAAGGGCAAGAAAAGCAAGTCTTCAGGGATCATTCCTAACGGTTATGTCAACGGTTCTTACCATTTCGATGAAGACGACAGAAGATTAAGCGAGAGGCGGTTATCATCTGGAACTCAGAACAGTGGTATTTCGAGCGCTAAAGAACTCTTCCTTGATCCGGGGTTAAATCGGTCGCGAAGTGAAACATACCCGGCTTATTTCGCACTCGGTCCAGAAGCGCACCCGTCTATTACCCTCTCAAGTCACGGTGAACCATTCTACACAGAAGCTAAATCGTTCGGGCATTACTCTGCCCTGGATCATCGACAAATTTCGTCAAACTCTGATTCAAACTTACCTTCTATAAGTGAGGAACTCGCTGGCTTTAACTCCAAACAGCGCGGGGTAGACATGGCCTGTTTAGAGACACCAGGGATGCTGCCACGACCAAACTCTCTCCCCAACGCCTGGAGCGGGAATCTTGTCCGACCAGTTGTAATGCACCGTCCACATAGCGACTCCGTCTACTTCAATCATACCGATGCGTACCACTTCCCTTCGGAAGTGGGTAGTTCAATGGGAAATCTTCGACAACCCGCAGGAATTCTGCGATTTCCTGCAGCGAACGTTGGCCAAAGTGATCTAAAGGGTCAACCGGTAAGAAGGCACACTTATGGTTCTTTTGAGGAGCAGAAATTGATTCGTGACCAGGAAATGGAAAGCCTTCTGGCTCAGCGACGCCAGGGGCGTGTACTTTATGTCCACGTGCCGCAAAGTGAAACCACGAGTCGTACAACAACTGATCATGGTGAGCATGGTGACAGAATGACGGAAGTATCACGATATGAAATGTCACAGTCGAAAAATAACACTTGTGAGCACGTTGGCTCGCCTTTCTTTAAAAAGACGGAATCTGTATCGAGCCCAGATTTGCTTTCAATGAAAGGAACTTTACCGCCAGGTAGACTCTCTTCAAATCTATCTAATAGTTGGTATCAATCGGCCAATGAACCTCCAAGAACACTTAATGGTTTTGATGGGATCTTTAGTGACTATCCCAATTACCCATCACACCCTAGCGGTGGAGCGCTATCGACATGTTCAGTTTCTGTTCATTCGGTTCCAAATAGTGTACAAAACGTCTCTGTCAAACATTTTGTTGATGAATCAATAGCTGCTCGGTTGCCATCGACTTCACGATCATCTGGTGAGGAAGCTGCGCGTGTTCAGAGCGCATCATCGCCAGCACTTGAACGTACGGACGGAGAAGTGATGTTCAATGGACATGAGACTTTACAAAAAAGAGACAGTTCAAGCAGGCCTGCTAGTGTTCCAGTATTCAATCGTCAACGAGCTCGTGCAATTTTTGTGGGTGATTCTGGAATTGATAGCGTGGGTAGTTTAACTTCAATGACACATTCGTTGGAAGCCGAGGTGGAAAGCGTGACATGTCCAAGTAACTCTAGAGTCGACATCCTAAATCCAATCCATGAGAATGACACTGAAATCTCCGATTCGAGCCAAGCAGAAAACGCTCGAAACACTGGAACAGCAGTGTCCGTGCAATCCGCGAACGAGGACCATGAGAAGACTAAGAAAAAACAGCTGGTGATGAGCAATGTGAAGCTTAATGGAAACCGTATGTCAGATATTCTTGGTAACTCGGATTTATACGAGTCCAGCTTAGTGTAGAGCAGCTCAGAGGCTTTCGTCGTCATAGAGCATGGTCACAAAGCGAAATCGTTGGTCAAAGGAACTAACAAAGGATCAAAATGCATATAGAAGTACTTACTCATGTTCGATGGCCAGTTCTGTAGGTAAATCTCATGTAAAAGCAGGTTCTTTTACGTTACCTCTTAGTGAGAAGGCAAAACTTGTGAAAAAATAATTTTTTGGTATTAAAAGAGATCATTTAAAAGTAATCCGTCTCCTTTCTTCGTTCTAATTTTTGGCTTCATGCTATGCTGTGTTACGATCAGAAGCAAATTGCTCCTTCTTCCTCATCCATGAGCAGACTGAACTCAACTCCTCTTTATGTGAAATTAGGGTAAAGATTTGCAAGTGTTGAGATATTTCTTAGAGACAGAAGGACGAATCAAAACACCAGTACTGATACGGTAAAAACAAACAGATTTTTTAAGCGGAAAAATAGAAATTGTTTTGATTTTCTGAAGGTGAAATCGATTGGTGGGTGGGTAACAGTGTTCACGTTGCAAGCAAAATCCTAAACCATGAACCAAACCAAAATGCGTCCAACTTAGATATTTGTTGACACTTCTGTCGTTCGCCAACACAAAGAGACCCTTTACCTCTCTTGGCTCCTCCTGAAACAAAAACAAAAGACAAAAAGAAAAGCTGACTGATTCTAACATCCTGAAACCATACAATGAAAAGTCAGAAAATAACGAAGGTGGTTTTTGGTACAAGAGTGCACAGCTATCGGGTGCAAATCTGAAATCTCCTCCCCGCTTCCCGGTCCCCAGTGTCGCGCGATTAAGAGTTTTCAGAATTTAGTTTTAATGAGCCAGCTTTGAATAAGTCTTGATAGTGGGTGCTGCTTACATTCTATCGTGTGCTTCACTCTTTGAAAATATTTGTTATCCTCTACTGAGTCGCGCGCGTTATAAGGTGTTCCCTTAGTTCGGTTTTTTTTTGCTCTATTCGCTGCATTTGTTAGTGATATCGTGGGCAAATAAATCATGTATAATAACCCTTTTATAGCTCCCTTAAGTGATCGATGACTGAGAGAGTAATTATCCCGGCTTACAATATCAATACAAGATCAAGCTGACAAGTGATGAGATTATTATTTGATCCAATACCAAATTCTCAAACATCATTAAAATTGTATGGTAAACAGTAAAAAGGGCTAAAATAGCCAAACTTTAATGTCGATTACTCCCAAATTTACTGACATTGAATTTTTTAAAGTGAAAGCGTAAGGACCAGTTCACGAAAGCAATATTCTAGAGCGCGGAAAATAAAGCCGTGTTGTGCGTCAAAAGGTTGAGAAATTCAGACGAATATGCACAAGACTTGATATAGATTTAATGCTGAATGGTTCTGAACCCTAACTGGATTTTCAGAACTGGGCTTGCGTGTTCGTCATCTCACAGCAAAATTATTACTGTCTTGTGACTGACAGAAACAGGTGATGAGAGAAGCAGGTGGCGTGTAAAACTGACGCTCAACTCGTCATGATTTAGCTGAGTTTTGGGGTTAAGAAATAAATTTTCGTCGAGAATCTCAGTGTGAGTTGAGCTTCATGTGAAGTGAAAGATGTTAATGAGTTCGACTGACGAATTTTTCCGCGAATTTTTTTCTTTAATGTGTATCAGGAACTTCGGGATAGAATTGGCCAGTACGGACTTGTTTCAGTTCACCCGTCTCTGCTTTAAATAGCGTTGGGCACATCTCCACAAATACCATCAACGGTTACTGAAGCGTGTCCAACGATCAAAATATTGACCTTTGTACTGCAGGTTCTTAACTATGGAATGATGAATGCGTAGAAAAGAGCGAAACTATTCGTTTAAGTAATACATCCTTGACAGCAGTTTTATTCCGCTTAAGATCAACTAGAGAGCGTGCGATGCTGTTCGCTAAAGTTGTAAAAACTGATGTATCTACTGTAACCCTCTTTTCCTTAGACCTTCAATTTCCTTTTTCTTTTGCATTGATGAATTCAAACTTTTATTGTACTCTTAAGTTGCACGAAGCATCAGTGAAAGATAAAAATGTTCCGCTTTTCAAATGACAGAAACAAAAAAAAGGTGGCGCCTTCTATCCTTTTCTTTCGTCTTGCTAGCACTGAATTGCATAAAAACTTATTTTAAATAAAAGAAAAGCAATTAAACCTACACCACGACAAAATAACGATTCAACAATCACTAATGAAACTCGGTAAAATGCCTTTAAGACAGCCCAGTTATCAAATATTTTTTGTTCACCAAAGCTGTAGAAAGTTCTAACGATGGATTAGGGCCAGGGAATGACAAGAACTTCTGATGACATCCTAAAACCTGACTTATTACCGTGGTTTGCTTTTTAAAATAAATCAATTTCTGAATGACTTACTATTTCGAATTCATTTTTTTATCAAATGATATGAATTTATGTGAATGCGAATTTATATGAATGCGAATTCATAAACTTTATTTTGAAAAATTGCGCTGTAAATCATTAAAATGTAGGTATTTATTACAATCGTAATTGAACTGCAATATTGAACGGCCGCCAACATTTGCTTTCTTTACTAACAAAATGAAAATTGATTTTCAGTATGTTTTCCAACGTATTTATCTTTTACAAAACAGAATTTAGCTAATGTTTCTTATTTGTTTGTACTTTTATCGCAAAAGGAAGTTTCAGAAAGCTTTTGACTAATGAAAAACAAATTAAAGCTGCAAACCGCAAAGCAGTCAGTGACGCATTACGGGCGCACTGGTAATCTCCCGTCTTGTCTTTCGCTTCTCAGGCAATGAGAATGTCCTCTTCTCTCCTTTTTGCATCATGAAGAGGAATTCACTTCTATCCAATTACGTCCACATTCCTTTTTTCTCCACCACTACCCCCTTGGGCTCCTTGTTTTCCCTTCAGGTTTGTTTGTTGATCTAAAATTTACTTGCTAACTCTCTCACTCCATTCTGATTCCGCTCGTCTCCTGTTTTTTTTTTTTATTATTTTTTTAATTTTTTTTTTTTAGCGACGCACTCAAAGAACCACAAAAAAAGAAAATAAACTACTCTGAGCGGTGCTTATCAACGAATAAACCGGAAAAAAGAGTATATTTATAGAATTTGCACTTGACTTACACCTTGCATTCGCTGAAGGTGTCGTCGAAGCGCAATGCACCCCAGTGGGTTCCTAAGTTGATCACTATACATTATGAATTGTATGCGTCACAGAAATGTTAGTCAGACCAATCGTGCCTGTGTGTAATGTACCCGCGGTCGATTAGTGGTTAGTCGCTCCGATTCATCTCGTTTCTACTCGTGTAGTTTGTATTTTCGAGGGTTAGGGACACGTGTATTTAAAGGCGGCTGAGGGATCAGAAAGTTTAAAAGTTATCCTCACAAAAACACTAAAGAAGAAGTGCGAGGTAAGTAAAATTTCATCAGCTGACAACTTTTATTTGTTTTAGAAAGGTGGTGTACACTCGGTAGGAGTCTTATCGCTTTCTTGTTGAAACAAACTATCTTGCATCAATGTAAGTTAATTCATTCATTGAAAAACATTTGGATATATACTCGATCTTGCCGAATATATTACATAATGCCGCCTTTTATCGTTTAGTTCTGGCATGTTGAGGTCAAAGTACATCATACCCATTTTCACTTACGAGAGTGAGTCGATGTACTCACCTCCTTTGCGTCTTTTTAGTTAAGTTATATCGCTATAGAAGTAGTAGATGTGTTCAGATTTTACGAGTCACAAGTGGTTATGATAGCCATGTTGATTTCGAGACCTTTTCGTCATTCAGATTTTACGGTTTGAAACGTGTTTGAGCGCGAGTGAGACAGATGACAAAGTTCTAGTCTTTTAATATTTAGTATTAGTAATGTTTAACTGATATTTTATTACTTTATAAACAGATTTAGTGAAATCACGTCACCGAGGGTATAAATATAGAGGTGACTTGCGATAAAAGTTTTCCAAAAACTCTCACACTCGTGTCTTCTTACCCTCAACGCAACACTAAATCAAGAACACGAAACCATTCCCACAGCGCGCGACAGCCACAGCCACACTCAACTTGCGCTTTCTTGTGTTGATAGCTTCTCTGACGTTCTCTAGTTAAGTTTTTCATAATATTTCAAGAAAGAAATATGGTCAGTTATTCAATCTTTTGTCCAAATCATAAAAGATGCATGTCACAAACATGCTGTTTTGATCTTTTTACAGTCACAAGCCGACAACAGAAGAGATCGATTATATTACTGAGGATGATCAATTTTTTAATATAAATTTAACTTTTGTTCAAACTTTTGCTTTGTCTTTGTCTTTGTCGTACTCTTCCTCTTAAAGTGAAGAAAGAAGGAAAGCAGAGAATAAAAACCCGCAAAAGACTTCGAGATTTTTAGTTGCTAAAGTAACACATACCATCATAAGAATTCGCTTTTCTCGCAAGAAAAACCATCGTAGTTTTGTATCAAGCACACAAATAACGAAAGCGGGCATAGCCGATTTTGGAAATGACGTTTTCACTTGTGATTGGCTGACGCCAAAATTTCCAGCTGTATATTAGTTTTCAGGGGTGTGTTGAAAAAACGTGAATGATCGGAAAAATAAATTATAACAGATTGTTCCCGCCGAGAGGTAAACGCATACAGTTTCCATGTGCTCACTGATCCTTATGCCTACTGTTTTCAGTTATGTAAACTACGGCCTTCCGCAAATGTCAACAATTATCCTACTTCATTAAAAAAATACTTTCGAATGAACTCAATGTCATCATAACAGCCAAACACGATTTCCAAAATTCAGTGTTGATTCCTTAATTTTATAGATTGAAGTTTACATCCTGCCAGAAACATTGAAATTTTTTGAAGAATGTTGTTTCTGTTCACAATCACAATATGCACAAATATTCTACATTTACGCATTATGAGTTGTCTGTTGGAAAAAAATTGGGAATCTAAACCGTGAAAGAGTCCAATTAGAACGGACTTAACTCTGTAACACACTATGGGCAAACATAATCTTAATCCCTCAGATTCTCGCTCCTTCCATCTCATGTTTAAAGTATTTGTTTGGTCTCCTGGCTAAATTGTTTCTTGGGGGCAAAATTTGCCTTAAATTTCCTCTCTCTGCGCAGCTACAAAGATTAAAAATCAAGTTTGCCTTCCAAGATTTAGTCTCTTTACATTTTGATTTTATCTCTTTATTTCCGTTTACGTTTTCCTTTTACATTTTCCGCCTAAATCAGAAAACGGCCAGGAAGTTGAAGTTTGAGCAGCTAAACATTTATTTTTTTAATCTGGTTATTTCAATAAAACTCTTCTCTGCAAGTGTAAGACTCGTGTTTTATGAATAAAATAGAATTTAGGAGAATCTTTTTTAATTTTTTTGCTTCGATTTTCTAGAGTCACTTCACTTGACAAACCGCGTAAGCGCCGATTTTTGAAATTTCGCCAATAAAACTGACATAAATATCAATTACTAATCATTTATTCTCCGTGTCAAAAGACGTTTAAACCTCTTACGAAAATCAAGCACTTTTCTGTTTGTATTTTCTATTTCTTGAGTCAGCAAAAGCAATTCAGCGTCTTTTCCACCTGTTCTAATTACCATCTTAAAGCTATTCGAGTGGGAAGGGTAACGATATAAATAAGCTGTCATCCTGTGTCATCTGAAATGTCAAACCTAAAGAAAAGAACAAAGCATAGGATGACTATTTATCATTTCGGAGAAGCATCACTCGTATTCATCATGAGGATTCTTGCCTGTCTGAACGTGATACTCAGAGTTTCAGCCATGGCAAATCATTTCAACTCCCGGATGCAGCGAAGTTTTCAACAATCACCTTGACTACAAACATCTCCACCATCTGGCGTTTGTGAAAGCTTTTCGTGAGATCTGTGTTGATAATCTCGATCTATATTGTTCAACACGTTCATTTAGATTTGAGCTCATTCTTAACTTCCCATCAGAGGATTCGCAGTGAGTACAAAGACTCAAAAGCTAAAACCTTCACTGTTAAGCTGAGCTTAGCTGCAAAACTCGAACAAGACCCAACCAACAATAGACAAAGCGCAAGTAAATTGTTGTCAAATTGATTTTAATGGAAATGTGCGATAAAACTACGCACTAGTTACCTCCCTAGAACAGAAAACCGACGCGACAAGGAGAATCAACTAATAGCTGATAATTTCCGTCGTATTGTGACAAGAGGAACAGGGAAACTCAATCACTCCCACGAATTAATCAGTGGGATTGAGCGCAAATAAAGCGAGATAATTCTTAGTTAGCAGCTATAGCCAATTCAGCTGTCATAAACACAGAGAACACGTCTGTCTTCCTCCCCCGCAAAGCAAAGAAAAATATCTCTGTAGTTGTGATAACCCAGCGCTTTAATGAGCTGATCATATTCAGAGAAAGAAACGCTAGTTTAGAATGCGATCTTTCTGACCTTGCGTTGAACTGACTCTCTTGTTTTCCAAAACGACAAATAGTTTAGAAAATAGCAAACTTGTTTTGTTTTCTTTAGTTAAGGGTGGATAACAGCTGAAGAAGTTTCACTCACAGATTCGGGAAGGAGAGAGAGGTTTTAACAAAGAGAGGAACGAGCGAAAAAGGAATTCTCCTCGCCGACATGGCTGTAAAGGTACTACTATTGTATACAGAATTTCTTATCTTCCAGGACTTCAACAGTTTTAATAGGTATTGACCACTGATTTTTTTAACAAGAGTGTTAGCTGCAGTCACGAAAGATAAAATGGCTTTTCAAAAACTAACAAGAAAAGAAGGGTGAAAAACAACCTTAGATCATATCACAACCTCCCGCGCATGTATAAGCATATAATTATTTTCATTCTGGTTTTTAAAGCGCAATGTTTCCACAACAGGAATATGAAATAAACTTAATTTCTAAGAAACTCTTTTAGAGTATATTGGAACTCTGAAGCATTTTCATTTCATGCAAATTTAGTCGGTTTTTCCGTAGGTAATTGCTAGTCATTTTTTACAGGTTTTTTAAGATGCTTTTTTGACACACCGATATTGTAATGACCTTTTGTTTATGGCAACAATCTTCAATGTTGTGCTCAAATATTTATGTCAGTTTTTGTTAAAGGTCTATCTTCTGGACTTAAAAGATCATGTTAGTTGTTCACTTTAAATAATACCACGTACTTTGATAAAGTAAAATGATCGCCAGTGTTTTTTTCTTTGTTTTAAATATTTGGCAAACTGATGTAAACTTCCAACAATATTTTCAATCAGGCAGATTACATTTATGCTAATTTGTCGAATCATACCAAATTTGCTACCTCAGTTTTCCTTTTTTTTTTTTGATTTTTTTCTTCTGAGAGAAGTTTAGTGATACTCTTTGTATATAGAATTGTAGCAACTTGAGTCATCGATATGCCCTTGCGCAATCTTGAGTAGATTAGCCTTCCAAAAACGTGGAGTACTTTAAAAGTTATTAGTTTTTCAGTCTAATCAAAAATGATTTGGTCGCTTTTGAATCTAAATTGCTGTCGGCGATTGGTGTAATTAGACTGCTTCGCTGATCTTCAGGGCTATTAGTACACCCTATATAAATTAGCGCCCGCCTTCATTTTTTAAAGAAAATACACCTTTTATAATTTTTACTGATTTTGTTGCTTCGTTTAGGATCAAAGTGTTTTACATATATTCAGTGGTAACAGTTTAGTTGACTGTTTTTGGTAGTTATAATCGCCATATTTATTTAAAATTACTTGCATGTTTTTTTAAACTCAAAGTACATACGAAATTAACAAAGATAAGTGGATTTCATCAAACAGATGAAGCTATTTTTAACTACTAGGTATGAGTAGAGCATCAATGTGGAAAACTTAAAACGTAGGTGTTGAGGAGCTCTACGTAAATAAAGCACTTTTCGATTGAGTACCGTTAAAAAGAAAAAAACAAAGTAATCACAGCGACCAATCATAAGAAAAGGAAATACCTGTAAGAGCCAATAAGAATCGAAAAGACCTGTAAGAGCCAATAAGAATCGAAAGTAAAATCAAGTAAACTGCCTAAAGCGCGGGAAAACATGGGCAACCAAGTCGAGGTTGGTGTTAGTTTTGCACCTGATTGGTTGAGATATTGGCGCGAGTTTTTTTTGACCAGTCACAGAGCGAAGTAAGGCAAACCAATGCAATCTCGGATTACTTTTGACGCTTAATTGAAGAGTGCTCTAAGTTTGTATCTCATTGATTGACGCGAAGGTGCAAGTTTTCTTAATCAATCAAAGAGCGAGGTGAGCAAACCGATGTAATCCTGCGAAATTTAGATCGCCCATTTCAAAATTGCCCTTAACTACGAATGAAGAACATCAACGGCTCAAACTCTTCGTTTATAAAACGTATCATAAGTAATGGATGTTTGTGGTTTTGATTCCGTGGAAACAGCCACTAGGCTACAGACAGTACAATTCAACTGTGTTCGTCAAAAAGTAACGACAGCAGTTTGGCTCTGTTTAAATTAACCACTTTTTTTTCAAATGCGCTTAGTTGGAACAAGTTTTACTACCATTTTATCAAGTTTTGTTTTTTCCTCATGAACGTTTCTTAATTTAAAGTGTATCTAAAGCACTGAAAAATTGCAACTATCAATTGAAGCCGTTAAAGGTCATTGCCACGATTGATTCAGCGATGGAGGAGGTTGGACGAGGATGATTAAAGCACACACTAGCTAACTGCTTTCTACCCTAGGAGCTAAATTAAGAAATACGGAATTTTCTTTGACGCTACGCGGTTCTACAGACAACTGATCGTTTCATTTCATTCTTGCTGTGTAGATATTGATAGTGTTGCGTCTAAAATGAATCTTAACAAAAACCTAACTATCTATTTCTAAAAATAAAAGATGTCAACAAAGTAGAAGGCTAAATCAGGATGCTGTGGGTGGTCAAGTGTGAGCATACGCCAAAGATATGTCAGCTTGCGGCTCATTCTCCTCATTTCAATCCCTTTTATGCATCGAACCAAAGAACACACAGAGTCGACCTGAGGATTGAACAGCATTTTTGACTTAAGGGGGGAGTTTGGTTTAATGCATTTTGATTGAAACAGGACTCCACTGGCATGTGATCTTAAGAAGGGAAACGTAAAGAAGTTTCTAGGATATTTAGAATATTTGAGAAAGGAAAATGGAGAAAGACAATGCTGAAAGTAGATACTGGAAAAAGCGAAAGGTGATCAAGATCTTAACCTTCCAACTCCAATGAGTGACCAAGACAGAATTTCTCCTTACAATATCATTGCAACATCATGTAGACAAGTGATGAGAATAAAGAAAAATATCGCAAGGGGATTATTGTTTGATCCAAGACCAAATTCTCCAAACTAACAGCACGAAAATTGTATGGCAGACATTATGGAGAATTACGATTGAGATCTGGAAGTTTAAGGGTTAAATTAAATGGACTAGGACCAGTCAAAACAAAGTCTATTCAACTTACATCCTTTGTTATGTTTTCAGCAACATTTGCCACACTTCCTCTGTGGGTTTTTATTTCTCTGAAGTAAAATCTCCGAACACACTTAGAGTGAATCTAATTTCTCATATTTGTAGGTTGAACTTGAAATAAAACTTGACGAAATAGTCGTTTGAAAAAAAGAAGGGATTTTTATTGATAGAAAAAATACCATACATTCACAGACTTGTTGATAACGTACAGTATCCAATGGAGAGAGAAACTTCCTTGGTATTTAATTACAAAAGATAAAATAAAGAAGCAAAGTTAATGAAAACCACCCATGGACGAATTTTTTGAAGCTGCTGAACATATGTTGGAACCATTGGTAGAACTTGCCAGACTTCGCTTTTAAGAATTGTTGACTCTGAAATGCTTCAGTACTTCGTCCAAAATTAACGAATAACACGAAATGGTTTGGATATTGTAACATTTCTTACGCTCGTAAAGGACACAAAGATAGAACATGCGCGCGCACAGGTAGTCTTGGTTGTCCGATTAAATACAACGTTAGGCTATAGGCCTGAAATAGTATTGAAGATTTCGAATGTTTGAGCTTTAGAAGAACGCACCTGGAACGATAGGAACGTATTTTTATTCTTTATGTTACCACATAACTGCATAAACCTAGATATCTTGGTCACGAACAGATTCACGTGTGCTTTAGGGTAGAACTTATGTAACGGTCACGAGATATCACGGGAAGTCGTATAACTTTCCTTAGTCATGCACAGCTATAGGTTAATAAAAAGCTTACAACGCTATTTACTAACAAAAACAGAAGGAAAACAAAACGAAATCAACCAGTAAGCCATGTTAGGAGGTGGTATTTTGTCGTTGTATCACACAAAATCAAAATTTTCCCTTTATATGATATAACTGAGTGCTATACCACTTACCTCTCCATCGTGTAACTTTCTTCTGTACTTATCTTAGACAATATTTTGACTTGCTTTTTATTTTTAAATCTTCCGCGACTCAGATAAGAATAATTTTCCTGCAACGACGACGTCGAAAACAATTTTCTTTATCATGAAAAATCATTCTTCAACAGCTTGCTTAAACCTATTGACAAAACTGTATATTTTTAATGAAAGCTTAATGACTTCAAAAGAACAGCCATACTTGGAATAACATGAACATCTGATAAAGTCATTTTGCCCGTTTTAAAGCCAATCTTTCAGTACCTAAAGCTTGATGATATCCCCTCCCACTGTTCTCCACACTTTGCTGGCTGTTTTCCAGTAGCGGCGGCAACGGAGAGGGGACTCCCTAAATTGGCCTTCACACTTTGAACTCTTCCATCAGTATTTATATTATCCATACTATTCCTTATACATTACCCAGGGCGCGGACAAGGTTACTTTGTAATTTCTTTCTTAGTTGGCGATAATTTCCTTAATTCTCGTGATCTAAATGTTTGATTCGGTGATAAATTAGATGCTTCTCATTCTCCGGGACTTAAGTGTTGATGGGTTTTGCCGCCTTGAGTTTTAGATACGATTTAGCCATTTTTTTTGTTTTGAAAAGGTTATCTTTAAGGACCGAAAGCGTCCAAGAAAGTTTGAGTGGTGACAATGTGAGCTTTACTTGTGTGTTCCTAACAGTTCTTTTCTACAGCGAACTGTTATTGTTCTGTCTGATGTTAGATGTGGATCTACGAGGTCAATCTACACATTTTGCCTTAGATCGTGCTTTCTCGGGGCTGAATGATATCACGCTATACCTTTTTAAAGGCTTAGCGAGACACCCTAACTACCCATCCTTCCCCACCTCTAAGTTGAAAGATTCCCATCAGGTGGCCAGGTTCAACATTGACCCGAGAAGCCGTTAGTATGCATGAGCTTTAGTTATGCAAATTGCATCGTAGGAAAAGAATAGCTTTTTGTATCACGATAAGTTACGAAATGAAAATGGTTTGGCCTTGAGCCTGTTGAGCTCCATGCAGGGTGTAGTCTGGACAACATAAGTAAAAACTAGCAAAAATACAAGATACGTAGCAGGGAAGTCCTTGCCTAAGGACTGTTGAAGCGTCCATTGTATGGCGAAGTTGAGAGAATGCAGATTAGGAATATATTCTTTCGAAAGTGATTGCAACTCTTGTGGTGTTGCTGTTCTCCATATCGACGGGAAGCTGTACTGTAACAGTTAAAAAATTGTAATTCAACAACAATCCCGCTGAGAACAATGATCAAAAGTCATCCCAGGATGTTGTTTCATATCGCATAACCTTCCGGCTAAAAACATGAAATACGCATCCCGCAATAATTCACGTGCCTCGAGCAATTTGCCAATCACCTGTCACGAGATGTCTCGTGAATAGAAAAAGCCCACCAAGGCTAAGACAAAGAACAGAATTGCGAGAGCAACTCCTCTGCCGCACCCACATCAATTGTATTGACGATAAACAAACAACAGTCCAACATCTAAAGGTAACCTATGTCAACCACCTGAGCGATTCTTAATTGTTGATCCTACCGAAGTTCATGAGATAAAGAATTGGCCAAAAAACAAAAACAAAAACAAAAACAAATCAAGCTGTGTACAGAGAGAAAGTCAAACTTGAGAAATTGTGCATTATCTGTGTGGATTTGGGGATTAAAGGCGGAGAAAAAAGCGCAAATCACAAGAGAGTGTAGAAAACAGGTCCTATGTAAAGGACGAACTATCCGCAACAATGGAAAACAAGGTGAGATTGTGGTAACTGAGTTTGAAATGATGAAATTTTTAGCTACGTAATTACCTCAAGTACTTCTAAGTAGTTTGTTTTCACATCGTAAATGCCATAGAGTTACCAAGGTCACTGGAATGTTCCCCTGTTAACTGTCACTGTATCGTAACAGTAGAATGTTTGTGGGACTTAACTAGATAATATCTATCTACTTCAAAGTAACAAAATTTGTTACAGGAGAGATTTTTGAGAATTCAGGAAACAATCAGTAACAAAACGCTCATCTTTCCTTCATATCGTCATTGCCTTTTTGCGAAAAAATAGTAAAAGAGGTAATACCAATAACAAATTGTGATGTGATTTGAGCAAGTTCTTTAAATTCTATTTGGCATTCTTTTAAGGACTTTGTTAAGAGAAATAAAAGTACACTCTGCTTCAAATCGAGCTCAAACCATCTTGTGACGTCGCAATCGTTGATCAAAATTTAGCTATAAGGCAAAAGACATGGCAGATCTCTATGTGTTTTCTTTGATGATCATATTTGAGCCAATAACGGACAGCGTGGGCAAGGTTAAAGATTTGGCGACTGGATAGATCCACCTGTAATCGTTACAAATTCTTTACTGAATCTCTAGACTTCAGTCCGGTTTGACTTGCTAAGGCCTATCCAACTGTAGAAGTTTCTTTACCTTGGGAATCTTGATTGACATATTTGAGTCTCCGCCCACTCGGCCCAAGTCGAACGAATTGAATTTCAGATGAAAGATGTATGTAACATCGAGACGGAGAAACTTATCAAATTATAAAGCTTCGTGGAAGTATTTGCGAATTTTTCTAGGTTCGTGATTTACAATCAATGTTCATTTTCTCCATTCTCGACCAAAGTTGTTTCTTATTTTCAAGTTTCCTTTTTCAAAACGACTTAAAACATTTTACACTTACGTTTTCATCGTGATTTTATTATTTCTTTCCTGTTCATTGCAACTATTGGAGAAAGAGTTGTAGCTGCTAAAACGCACAAAATTGGAGCTGCTGTAACTTAAACCTTTGAAATTATTGATAAATTTTTTTTTTGTGTCATCTGAAAATATGACTCGCCAGTTTCCGAAGGCAAATCTTAGTGTTCAATTCAGTGGAATGCTAATTCATTTGTATCGGTTTTTCCAAGGGTTTCCTTCATTATTTTCCTTTTTTTTCTTGTTAAGATTTTTGAAATTTTTGTGGAGAGTGTTTAGTAAGATTATACATTTTGCAACACTGTTGACACATGCTGTGCAATAGGTTTAGTTTTCTGGGCCTGTAAAGAGACACTTGTCAGAAAGAACCAACCCGTCATCCATAGTCTTAACACGTCAAATTATCATTGACAGAAACGGTTCCCAAATTGCTCGTTTGTCTCAATACCGTTTGGGTTTGTCTGCACGCGATCTCTCATCTAAAAATAGTTCTACATTATCTGATTTTCCTCTTTTTCGTTTTAACCTAAATATGACGGCGATCCATTGACAAGAATGTTTGAAACACTTTGAGAAAGATTTTATGCTTTATTGAGATTTTTCTCGCTCTAACTGAAATTGACAATTTGCCAGGAAAACTCAATTCGAACACAGGGGAGCTTTCTTCATGACCTGTCCAAACCTCCAACATAGCTGACAGTTCTATTATTAACACTTTTACCGAAGTCATTTCCCGCACGCGAGGATTTTTAACTCTCCACTGACATGACTCACTTTGTTGTAGCTTTATCTACTATACAGACCATTAGAAAAAACCATAACATAATAATAAGTGCTGTTCAGTTGCTCTCTTTTATGGACTTTAACATTGTATAAATTTCACAGAATAAAATACAGAAAAAGAACCACCACATTTAACACCATAACGAAGTCTTAAAACCCTTACACTCCTTGAGCAGACCCAGTCTGGGCTATGAAAGATCTCTGAATGAAAACATTTCTCTGTAAATGCTATTGACGCGCGAATGTTTCATCGAAAGACATGCTAAATTCATTGGAAGTATGAATCGCTTAACAGAGACAGCTAAATTAGTAGTTAAATATCATTGAATGGTCTTGTAATCCGCTGGGATAACCCATCTTAATTACATTACATGTCAACTTGAGGAACGAATTTCGCATGTGTGTATTAATTAACTTTTTCCACTGTATAACACCCTATTTGGATGAAAACTGAAAGATATTTAACAGAATTCGTCTCGTCGTGCGTTACAGTATTAATAATTGCTGGTAGAAAAAAAAACTATCACAATTAGCATATCCTGTTGACAAGTACAGTCCTTCAACTAGATTTGAAAATGTCATCGATGCAGTGATTGAAAACTAATACTGATACATGTCTTATTATCCGAAAGTTACGGAAGCTCCTTGCTGAGGTTCTTCCAGCTAAAAAAATGTTTAGAAAATCCGCTCAATATTTACTGACAACACAGCGTTACAACAAAGTACTGTTTCCGATCCTAAGCTACATAAAAGAACAAAGTATCTTTGTTTCTATAGTAATATGTCTAAAAGGAATTGGGATTAATTTTTTTTTTGAAGTGATGTCTGTTCGTCTTTCTCTACTAAGTTATCAGTTGTTTATTTTTTTTTATAACAGATTAAATATGACCTAGAATCACCTTTACAAATGCCACGTGTATAATGATAGTGATGATAGTCACAAATGGTGTCATAAGCCTACATTGCTTAAATTACTTGTGCAGAACGTACGAGAAATCTCAAAAGTCGAGACACAGGAAAGAGAAAGTCATATTACAGAGCGAGTGCATTTTTTCGTTATTACGTTCCATCTGTTTGCTTAAAGTGGACGTTGTTTTAATTAAGTCACAAGAAATGTCACGTTCATGTCATCTGAACGATGTTAAGATTGTACTAGAGGGAAAAGGATAGGTAACGTGATCTTTTGGGGGAACTGGTTCGCTTTCGATTTGATAAGAGTTCGAAGGCTGCACGTGAACAAAGGTACGGAATGTTCGTTCAGAACCTTTTGAGATTTTGTTTTGGATACAAAGAGAAGCGAATAGACTGATTTCTGTGCCTCAGATTTGTCCTGAAATTACAATCGAGAAATTTTTACCTCTGTAGCAATGACAACAGCATTTCGATATGGTGAAAATATTTCAAGATTGTTACATCTCGGTAATCTTATCAGAAACTATCAGAAATGTTATGAAAAAACGAGAGAAATTGCAAATTCTTGAGATCAATGATATTGGCATAAGTATTTGTAGTTTTGGATTATGAAACCAAGCAGACGATGAAGATAATATTTGTTGAGGAAACTTCCTCCGGCCCAGCTCTGCGAGACAACGAACGAATGATGTTCGCATCACTTTTTCTGTCTTTCACGTCTTTTCAACCAAATGTTGACTAAATTAATATAACTATAGGAACTTTAATTTCTTCCGTTATCAGTTGAGGAAAGGACAGAAGTTTGATGCATTTTTATGGAGGAGTTACAAACGCCTAGGCTGCATATTTAAATGCGTGGCCTATACTCCCACCGAAGAAAGTACGTCAACTGATTTTCAACCGATAACTGTACCTCGAAAGTTCATCGATAATTTTCTCATGCCACAGTACTGTACTCATTTCTCATTCAATCTGTCAATTTTCCAAAGTCAACTACTTGTGAAACATTTTAAACTGAGGAGATTGATAAAATAGCGGGACCCATAAGTTGTTAAGTATCACATAACCGCCAGAAAAATGAAATTTACATCATGAAATGATTACGAACATTCCGTTTTGCCCGATTTAACTGACGGGTTTGAATTCATGATGCGTAGTTGGAATAACTAGGAGAAAGTCTCGGAAAGATAAGCGAATTGCGAGGGTAAATCTTAGACGCACCCAAGTCACACCCACAGGCGATTAACAGCAGGAACCCTAAATCAAAAGAGTGACAAGTTTCTGTCCACTGTGATAAATCACTAGACGCCAGGCTGTTCTGTTTCACGCAAAAGTGAACCGCATTTATTTCAAGTAACCCTGTGGCTGATATCTTGAACCTGGGTGAAGATAGGGGTCAGCATCCCAAACATCCGTAATTTTGTTTACCCTAACTCATTGTCGGAATAACAACCAAGTAATATCACGGAAAATGCGAAAGATAACGAAGATATAAATAATTTTACCGACGAGGTTGGGGCAGTTTATAAAATCAGGTTTACATGTACATAAATGACCGTCGTGGTGTCCACAATCATGGCGAACGATTTCCAGGTGAGAGTGATTTAATCGCTTTCTTGTAAGCTCATTACATGTCATTCAGTTTACAAGTACTTGTAAGAGCTTTGTTGTCTCTGCCAACTGAATTATGATGTATGGATCAAGGAATATTTGTGTAAAAGTTCATATGCTCTAACTGCACTCTGGTCAAAAATTTGCAAATAAGTACCGTGTCCTTTGCAGATCGTTTTCCACCTTTCTTGTTGAAGCGGAGTTAATATCATTCCTTTCTTTCTTTCTGAATTATCATCAACTTCTTACTGTATTTCCAAAAGTCAAAATGATCGCATAAATACACTCTTATTCTACGATTGCGGAAACAGATGAACTAAGAATAAACGCCGGAAAACGATGTTAATAAGCTGTTTTCATTAGAGCAAACTGAACTATGGCCAATTTATCAGCCGAAGATTATCAAAGCTTGTGCAATAACATAAAATTGGACGATGATCAATACAAAAAAAAAAGGAAGACTACGTCAAATTAATTGTTTTTAAGGTACATTAATTGTATTTTTGGTTCTTATGACGTTACTCTTACACTCCTGTGCGATCTCAAATCCGTGCGATACAACCATGGAGGTCATGCATTTGCTCCGTTGGAAATTGTAGAAGAGGACAAATTGGATTTTAGAAATGAGAAGTGCTTTCACTTTTATTTAACTACAGTCTAATCTTCGTGTGAAGCATATGGATCGATGATGTTTACATTAGGTCTCCTCTTTAGTTTAGATAGATTCTATTTAGAGCCGATCATTGTTTCGAGCAAGCATCGACTGTAGTTCCCAGTGAAAAGAAAAATGGATTGCAGCACAAAGGCTATAAGCAGATTAGTTCGCGGTTTGCATCCCACAGAGTCACAATCTGGAAAATTCTCTGTGAAAGGTGAAATGTTGGAATGAACTTATAAAGCGTTCCTGTAATTAGAAGTAAAACGATGAGGTCGATTGTTTTTTGTTTTATTATTGGATAGGGTCTGACCTCAACGATTTACTGTTAAAATGGTATCACATGCAGATGGCTTATTTCACAAAGTTGACTAACATTTCCAAAGATCTATATTAATTCTTAAATAGAAATTAAATGTTTCTCCTTTACTTTCTTCCTTTCTAAGGGAACCTTTTAGATTTCACTTTAGTTTACTCAATTCTCATGGAGGTCTTTTTATATATTCCAAGAAGGAATCTCATCTCTTTAACACTTTATTAATAAAAGGTTATTTGCAGATCCTCTAAACTTATGATTATTTACCAAGAATCTGATCATTCTTTAACTATTTATTGCCCATGAAATGGTAAGGGACTGTCTTGTAAACGGAGCAGTTCATGTGCCCTTTACAGTACATGATTGCATAATATTTTCGCCAGCTTCCAGACGCTGATGAAGAGCTAGGTGCTCGGGTGCATTTCTCGAAACTTTTTCTACAACGGGACAATGCAAAATGACTGTAGCCTGACACGGCAAATTTCTTTGTCCATGCTTTAAGTCAATAAAGTCAAATCGGAGCATGCTAAAATATCTCCTCTGCAGTGTAATAGTGATCCACACCTTAATTAAGTCTTGGTGCTGTATTAATCTCCGGAAAAAGTTATTTTCGTTGCTATTACTTTCATATTGTTTATCTTTAGGCTTAAGAAACTGTAGGTGCCTCTTCATCTCTCTTAATTTACAATTAGTAAGCTGTGCCAAAATCAACTGAAGTATCTTCTCCAAATGGCATGCCAACATTCTGCTCACGACAGCTTTGATCGCCTTAATTCGGAACAATGCTTGTTCGCTTTTATGCGTTTTCTCACGTATTAGGGGACCTCCCTAACCGCTCCTTTACCGACATAAGCCCACAATATGTCGTCTTGCTGCGTCAGTGTTTCCTCATCCTCAAGTAACAAGGAGCTCGAGGCGTCTTTCGTTTTTAGTCAAGTCTTGCACGCGTAGGGAAAGTTTACTTCAAGTAAACTTTTCGGCAGGCTTAACTTGGACTTCTACAATGGTTCTGGTGCTCAACTTCACATCTCAGGGTCAAAAGGTACAAGAACTTAGTGAAGTGTAAGTGAATGAGGAAGTTTTTTCCTGTGAGCACTGAAAAGTTACCTCAAATCAACAATTTATTAACAACAGATTTCATGCAGTAGATATACAAGCTATAAGTTGAGCAAATTAGTAGGCCATTTTGCGCATGGTGACCACGGAATATCTAGTAGATTTCTACTTTAGGAAAACGGGAAAAAGATGAAGGGAAACCTCTCACGCGGATTCACGAATTTCCTGTAATTATTGCCCATCGTACCGACAAAATTGTGAAAGTTTGTTGAAGATCCTGAACATGAACATTTAACTTTCTCACCATTACGTACTCTATTATGATGCCAAAACCACGTAAGAATTGGTCTCAGTAAGATGCATTTGGAAGTGGTTTAAAACTCGTTTTTTATTTTTGTTATCTCTGCTTTTATTCCCCTAAAACAACTAAACTTTGAATCGGCCTTCTAGACCTTTTCACACAGGAGTTGTTATTCTTGTCTACAAACTGCGATTAATGATGATTTTATCGCAACTGAAATTATTGGGCAAATCTTGCACCGGAATTTCAGTGTTATCGGTCAGAGATTTCCGCGGTGGACATCAGTATTCGTGCCCAACAAGGAAATAAACTACGAACCTTAGATTGACGTGATCTTTCTTGTCAAATAGAGACCTCCGTGTCTTAATAAGATTGCATACCTGTATGAGTTCTCTACGGTTTTAAATCTATCACTAAAAATATTTTGACATCAGCTGGAGATCTGTCTTCAATAGCTTATGGGCAGGTAGAGCACCTTTAAAAGTAAATAAAACAAGCTGTGCGTTTCCTGATACCGCAGCAATGTAAAACCTTTCTAAAATTAACGAGGACACCGGTGTTCGTCACTTTGGCCGCAACGATGAGAATTTATTTCGCATCTTACAAATTTTTTTTTTTATGGATACAGCCACAATCTATGGACGTTACTCGAAGATCAATAATTTTTTATTAAAATGCTGCCTTTTTCTGGGTGGTGAAAAGTAAACGTCGATATGACAGTGCATTAGTGATGTTCTATTTTGAGGTTTAGTCACAAATTTGGATTATGTAACTTACCGCCACGCTCGGTGTAATAATATATAGAATCGATTAAGAAGACGTGTTTTCGTTGCTTGTTAAGACTGTTTATCTAAAGCTGTTCTGTTTATTTGCTTTGTCATACTCTATATATCGTTAGAAATTCCTTGCGTAGATGCACATTGGTGGTCTATAACAAACCGCCTACATCACCATAATCGAGTTGATCGATCTCTTAGCATCACTCACATTCCTTCCTTTATTTGTAGCTATGGCCGTTTTTGACAATAGGCCTGATTATGGTGACATTTGAATCAGCCGGTGGCGCAACTGTGTTTTCCCTTCCCAAAAAAACTCCCGACAAAGACTGCCAGCCCGTCAAACGTGATTTACTCAGACAGCGGCTCGGCACCGCTTACAATGATCGATACATGGCTATGGACTCCACGGATCTTCAAAACCACTTACCACCACAAAATCAATATCACGTGACCAAACGTAACATTACCAAAAGATCCAATTCACTCACCGTGGAGGAGATAACTGACCCAGCCCCCTGGACGTGCCAGACGCGTAAAGTTTGGAAAAACTTGGGCCCAAAATATTTCCCTCGTCACGTGAGGTCAGTCACGTGTTCAACTGATAAGTGTTGGTTCGATCACTTCAGATGTCGGCCGAAGAATTACACAATCAAAGTACTGAAGAAGAAGGAAGGCCAGTGTTTACGGGTGATCTCCAGCACAGGGACACCAAGATTCGAGGACTTTTGGGAGTTGCATGACTATAGAATTACTGTGGGCTGCGAGTGTGGACATTGATGATAACGTTCTGTTGTAGATAATTAATAAACTAATCCTGTTTGTCAGAAGATAAATTATTAAACGTTTTATCGAACACGATTCAGTTAAACTGCTCCTATTGACTTTTAGTTTCACTCTTTACACCCCAACATTACCCTCCTCATTGATCTCTCTACATTTCCTGTTGTAATGGCTACGAGAATTCGTTTGACAATCAGGAGCTTCTTAAATCGGTGATCATTTCTTTAACTCTCACGGCCTTTACATTTGAAGAAATTAGAAGCAATTCACTCATAGCTAAAGGTTGAAGGGTTAACGTCTTTATTTAATACTGAGTTAGTCAGATCCCTTTTTTCTTATGTCTCAAATACTATCGAATTAAGTGCTCTGTGTGTCCGGGTGATCGTCTTCTTCAACACCTTACTTGAAGTATGTCCTTTTCTAGCTTTTAAAAGCTCATTTAACTCGCCTAAATTCTCATTTCCTCTGAGGATAAGAGTTACAGGTAGTTGTTTAACCACAGTATTAGCCTTACACTCTCTTTAATTAAGAAAATAACCAAAAAAGTAAGATTATTCGGAAAAAAGCTTATATCTAAAGCCAAACGGTATATACCAGGTCAATTTTCTCAAATGCAAGGGTAAACTGTAGTTATTTTTCTTTCAACACATGGCTCTTTTTGGGCGCTCCACGCAAACGTGCGAGAAAAGAACTTTAGCGTACCAAGGGGGAATCTAGGTAATTGCAGGTATCGTATGTGTCAAGTCCACAACGAATTCACGGTAAAAAATGTTTTTTGGATACTTCCACAAAACTTCTCATTTCTAAGCTAAGTCAAGTTGCTTGGCACATCTTGGCCTTTCCTTTCATCCCTTTGCTAAGTTTGCGCGCGTTTCTTGGAAAACCAAGGTTAGACCATGTGCTTATCCGTGAAAATCGGAAATCATGCCCATAGCTTCAGCCTGACACCAAACGTTAAGTTGATGATAATCACTCAATTCAAATTCAAGTGGTTTTATTTGGTACAGAGACGTTAGGTTAAAGGTCTAATATTTGCCATTGTGGAGCCCTCACCTAGAACGTCGGCCCTTCCGAAATAATTTTTACCATGGTCTAGCCAGTCCCCGCGTATCATGCACACCAATGAGTTTGCAATGGGTAAGATATTCAGGTAAAAAAATCTTGATCTCATATAAAATAAGGTTACATTTTGTGGCAATGTTAGATCTATGGGGAGGGATGAGGATACGGAATAACATATTCCTAATGTCCTGTTGTAAGAGATTTCGGAAGCAAATATGCTTAAAATCGCCGGAAATGATGAAATCTCGTTAAGCAACGACTGCGCATGTGGTGGGTTTCATTTTCCTCTCAGTAGTTTCTTTCAGCGACCGGACTCATGCTTCAAATTACAAGTTGGACAGGACTCACTAATTCATGTGTGGTTGAACCGAATTAAGGTAAGTAGATTATGATCAAAATTAATGAGATATTGCGGCTAAGTAAAGAGGCATCGCGCAAATATGGCCCTCGTTAAATTTTAATTTTGACCCTGAGCATAAGAATCTTCTCGTTCGATGAGATGCTGGGCACTGAAGCACCAATATACGTATATAGGTGTGCTACTTAGAACGGAAACAACGCTTAAATAAATTTATATAATCCTCTATGGAGACATTTTACAACGCGAATTTCATTTAAATGTGATAACGTGCACAGATGTAGGGTTGCCCTCCGGGCATTTTTGTCTGCAGCTTTCTTAAACCTTCACTGAAGTAATGTATAGATGGTTTGCAACAAAGACACCTTTTGTCAGGAAGGAGCAAATACAAACCAAACACAGGTTAGTTGTGACAAATATTACGCGAGGGCGTCTTTTTCTACGTAAGCGCCCTCAAATGACTTTAAATCCAATTCGTGGAGTGGCTGCTGCGTTGGTCTCCTTAATGGTCCTGTAATCATAAACTCGCAAATAAATTGAGTGGCTGAGTGGCTGAGTGGCTTCACTTTATATTTTTTAATCTGTGCTTAACGGAACGGATACGTATTAGCATGTGAGGGCGTCTTGATCTTTATAAGGGCTATAAGCCTACTGACGGACAATAAATCCAATTTTATTAAAAGTGACCGCAGTGTTGGTTTGTAAACAACAACTAGCGGATGGATTGTTTTGTTTTAATCCGCGCCTAGCGGATAAGTATCAGCATAGCGAAAGTTTTTGAATGTCAGAAAAGAGAGACTTCAGGATGGCCAGTTGTATGAGGCACTGACGGGCTATTCAGAAAATAGCCTGGTCACAGAAAATGTTCTCAAAGCCTTATCACCTTCTGGACAATGTCGAAAGCACCGTGGTTCAAAGGTCATGAAAACAATTCATATTAACTTAACTCCAGACAATTTACACAGCAACAAAAGATGTAATCTGGTCATTTTGTATCTTAGGTGTCGTGTTGCATAGATAATAATTTCACCGAAGACGTGGATGCAAATCCTCTTCACAGATCACCATACCATTTCTTGCATTTCAGTTATAAGAATTTAGTGTTTCATCTCCTATGCACAATCTTGGCGATGTAAATGTTTTTATGTTGATCTGTTAACCGATAAGGTAAAGCCCTCTTCACTGTCGGATCATTCGATTTATTTTGCAAATTTGCAAGATGTAGTTGAGTTCAAATTCCATTTTTATTAATAATTGATATTACTCAGAAAAAGGAAAACCTGTTGTGATGGCCGTGAAATGGGTTGGCCCAGTTCCCGTATCTTATTCAATCTAGGCTTGTAAATACAGAGTGCTTTTAAAACCTTCTTCCTTTTCTGTGCTAAGAATGATGTATTTTTCTTCCAAATGAAATCATCTCGACCTGAATGGAAACAGGGAAAGTGGTTTTTAATGGTGGTTATTCGATAAAAGAGAATGTTTTCTTTATGTTCAGTGGCATGGATACACCTTCTCATCGATTCATGAGTGGCGACTTATCGTGGTGGGGGACATCATCTTTCAGGGTAAAGCCCTTTTGACCCATCTTAAAAATCTATTATCTAGGTTAACGGAAAGTCAATACTTAAGTTTCCTGAATAGACGACCTTGATTTGATCTTGCAGGCTACAGAGTGATTAAGTTTGAACTCGAAGCTACGAAAAGTGATATAGCTATATCAACACCTGAGCCTATTACTTACCTTGCGAAAATCATTTAAACCTGATGCGGTCTGTGAGCGATTTGATACTTGTAATATATCAAACTTCCATACTTATAGAAAGTATATTTATTCTTTTGCATATATTGCCGTGAGCTCAGGATATGAGCGCTAGAGAAATGAATTTATTATTATTATTGTAATTATAATTTACTTGAAAAAATTACGCGCGTCTGATTGGCTGAAAACAAGTGCATTTTTCATGTAACACGAGTTCAAAGTAGAAACGCGAGTGGAAAGTTGTGACAGAAGTGCAAAAATTTCTTCCGTCTTGACTCTCTGTTATACGTTTTTCCTGTAAATTATTAGCAAATAGCAGCATGGCTGCGAGTGCAATTTGGTGTTAATAAGCAACTTGTAAATTTTTTTTAAAGACTACAAATTGTACAAGCCCTACTGGCTCGTGCAATTTTGAAAAAGTTGCTTATTAACACCAGATTGCACTCATAATCATGTTCTTACCTATACTTGTTATTGTTAATATTATAAGTTTTATTATTATTGTTACTATTACCTGAGAAGAGGTCTTATTTTCTTGAATGGGAACACTTGGCGAACTAAAAAGCGACTGACATGTTCAATCAGGTATGCCTGATCTAGTGCACGATTTCCTTCGGTCTTAATTAGCTTTCAAGCACTTCGTTCTCAAATGGTTCTGTTGCCAGGACATTGTAAGAATATACGCACGACTCATGTTTTTTTCTTGATGAAGGCGGCGCTTTCCCTAAGTCACAACTCGTTGTGGAAATTCATATATTCATTGAAAATTTTTCGTGATAACTGACATCTGTGAAAAACTACTTTACATATGTTAGACGGTGAGAAAAGATTCCTTGTCTTAACAAGACACAAATATTTCAATTAAATCTAAATCACTTAAACAGCTGAAATGAGTTTGATTGCTCACGCAACCTTGTTTACACACTTTTTGTAGGCGGGTTTGTAATTCACCTCAGAAAAAGTTTTTAATTGGTAGAACTGAATTTGCTGTACGGAATACAGTCCTTACACTCTAAGGTTGACCGATTGACATCGTAAACCTTGTTTTCAATGTTAGGGAATGTAAATTGTTATCAAACTCGAAGACTTCCAAAACCTTAGTTTTCGATATGGCATCTCTTTGAAAAAAGTGACCATTTTTATCTAAACTTACAGTAAATGAGTTTGAGTTTGAAAGTATGTCAAAACAGTCTCGAACGGCAACATTTCTGTTCCTCATGATTATTCATGCATCAATGAATTGAAACGCCGGAATTACCACATATTGAGATGGAAGAGACAATACTATACGGAAAGGTAACTAAAATATCTAAAAATTTGTGACACAACGTCCTTGCCGCCCTCTGCAAAACTACATTAAAATGGCGCGTGTTTTTGAGAATCCTTACCAGGAGTTTTCACACTTATTTGTAAAAAAGTTCGACGCCACCTGTTCAAAAAATTTAACTTGGACAAAATTCTAGCTCCGATCAAAACAAACTGGTGATACTGACGCGGGGTATTAACTCTATTCTCCTTAAAAGTTTTATTTTGCAGCCAGAATAAGCAGTCACTGCTATATACGGCTTATGTAAGAACTTTTTAGAGCTAAATTTAGAATACCAGGCTTTTTGATACTAAAAACGTCAAAAAAATATTTTCATATAGTCAAATTTTCTTTATTCTGCCTTCTTTTCTGGACATTAAATTCATATACCTCACAACCAGGGTTATCTGCGAACCAGAAGACCGACTGAGTTGTTCCAAACGCGATAAAACTTTGATCCTGGGATAACTGCATGAAAAACCCAAATGCCATGGCGGTTAATCCAGGATTAGCCGCAGATAATTGTGCTTCAAGCAACTCGGCCCAGTACTTTTATTTTGGAAGGAAATAGCGGAGGAGGAACACGGGAGAGTAACAAACATGAAGAAAACTACTACGTCACTCAAGGGGGTTGGGAGATCAAAGAAATGATCAAAGAAAGCGGAAATTTTAAGAATGCTTCTCAGGGAAAGAAATGTTTAGTCATATTTAGATATACGTATAGGCGTATGTAGTACATTTGTTTTGGAAAGAGCTTGATATAGGTATCACTTTCGCAGAGGTGTGCTGTACAATCTAGAACAAATGCAAAAGAATATTGCTGACGAATTCCCACGGGCGGGCAGATTTCTAATTGTTCATTTAACAAAGTTATCACGTAATCGAATACTTGTCGGAAAATTTTTTTTTATTTTTTGATAATAAAACAGTTTGAACATTAATTTAGGTGATTTCGTTTTAATCACGATGACAACTCTCGATTTCTTGCGTCGACTTCACGTCAATGACACAATTTTATTTCTGATTTCGGTATGAACTTTGTTTCTGATATTATTTCTCTTTAAAAGCGGAAAAACTTTACTTTCTGTTGTGAGGGCGCATTCCAGAGAATTTTGCAATGTCCTTTTCGAGCATTCTATTGAAAAGAAATCCCTCTTTTCTCAGAACAATGATTTTGAACTACGCCCGAACAAAACCAATGTACCTGTTTATTGTATCATAATATATTCGTTTATTAAACACTCCTTTATACTAAGTAATTGCAAAATTGTTCAAATTTATTTGTCTAATTGAATCATAGAGTATTTTAAATATTAATTGATTACTTTGCGGTTCCGATATTTATTTTTCGATATTTTGAGTGCTCGACACGCCTCTTAAACAGCGTCTCGGTTAACTTTCCGTTAATTTATCTGTTTTCAATATAACTTTCCGTTCCCGAGGGCGGGAAACCTCAAACCTGTCTAATGTACAATCTCTCAATCGTTCCTTAACTCAAACTTTACTAAGACAAATTGCCAATTCTAAATATTAATAATATTCTTCCCTCACTCGGCCTTTCGACCTGTTTTAAGTCTGTGTTTACAGGAAATAAACACTTGAACATCAACTGCCGCCGTCAACAGGTGGTACAATATATCTTTTGGTGACGCAATTGCGTGGTCACACTTTTCCCGTATATATACTTCTGTATGGGAACACGAATTTCCTTTTCTTTCTTTATTACCCGTTGACCAGCTAAACCGCAGTTTTGGACCCAGTTCTGGCACAAGACGCAAGAAACATTCGGTGAGTTTATTTTAAAAAATTCTTTGTTGTCACCGAAGATCGAAACTGAAAACTAAAGTTTTACATCAACCAGTTACCCCTTTCGATTTCAGTAGCTTTTTCATTTCGTTAATGCTCGTATACCTCATTTCGAATATTAGCGGACTCGTACTGAAGACACTGAAAAAATCTTAATCTAGGAATCTTCCTGTGTCAATTAGACTTTTATAGCAACTTTCCTCCGGTCATCGAAAGGCGAACAAAAAAATAAACTTGAAGAATGTTTTTGTTTGATAGTATGAGTGAAATTTTCTTACAAATATACAATCCGGTGGCTTCTGACGCTTCAGCGCCCAGTTCCGCCGAAAAGATTAAAAGAACTCATAGACGAACAAATAATTTTATTCAAATGGTAAATCTGGAGAGGCACCTTGTAGCGGTTTAATGCCAATAGATGTCATTTTCAAGATTGACAATCTTTATAATTTTGAATTAATTTTTTTAGTTGCATTTCGTTTGCGGTGTTTGATTGGTTTCCGATGACGATCAAGAACTTTCAGGATAAAAGAAAAAACACACTTATTTTATATCCTGCGTAGCTTTTCAAAATTTCTTTGTTTTCCATATGTAAAGTATGTTTTTTTAATCCCTTAGCTATTAATTCAGCGGGAATGCCTTCTGCTGAACAATTCTTTGTTTGCAATGTTTTACATTACCATACGGATTAAAATATGTTTATGCATTTCATTGGTTGTTCGTTCTTGAAAAGCTTTTATCATGCAGCATGGAAAAACTTAAAGGGAGTTTAATGAGCATTGTTTTCGAGTGAAGAGACAATATAATAATCACAATACATCTCTCATCGGCTATTTAAGGCAATGGCGTTCTTTTTAATTAATGCATAACGCCGATTGTACAAAAGTTGGCAACGTTTCGTTTCGCTACTCGCGTAAAGTCAAATTCAGGAACCACGTTCGAAAACTTGATCAGCATTCAGAGGAACTGAGGATTTTGCTTGCCATATTTCAACACCGTGGTAAGTGTTAGAGTTGATTGTGATGTGATCCGCAAGGAAAGGGGAAATTGGCAAAATAAATCGCACGAAACTAAATTAGTCTCGCGGCAAACGTCTACAGACATGGTTTTCTTTGAAATTATTCGTACGCTCGGGAGATCTTCGTCGTGTTTAGATCTAGTACACAAAATTACAAGTTTATCTTAAGCGACAAGGTACTTCATTTGTTTTAGAATGTACTTACCCATGTACTGAAGTCCTTTTATGTTGATAAATTTTGCAAAGCGATTACAATTCTCGAAGATGTGTATAGCGGTTTCGTTGAGAGGAAACCATACCCTGTGTCGATTTTTTTTTCAGATCGCGTTTTTCTTCTCTCTTTACTGAGAGCATTGAAGCTTTGATTTTTAGCCAACCCTTATTGTCGTGGCTATGTCGTCTTCTAAGGCATAAACTCACCAAAGTATTGTCATTTTTTATATTTTTTTTTTTACTCGAGTCTAAACAGTATTTCGTTAGCGTTCCCACGTGCTGTGAGGTGACAGCTGTTAGGCAGAATCTGTTTTGAATATGATTTTCTAGCTTTTTCATCTTAACATCTCATCTAGTTTCAGATTTTTTCAGCGCAGTTTAAAATCTAACTGAATAAATTATTGCGTCGGCCCTTTATGCAGAAGCTTTTCGGGAATTACTTTTAGGATTTGCTTTACCAACTAAATCGGCATTTAAGAATTTTGTAAGAATTAAGATGTTACCTGCTTTTAGTAGATATCTGAAAGCCTCACAGCTGTAAATCGATCTGAAATCTAACAAACGAAAGAGGGCACATTTATTTTCATCAGATTTTGTTACTTTATGAATTGCGTGATATAACTTGCTACGCAGGGAAATATTTTTTTAACTCCATTTCCTGATAAATCGGTACTGATAAAAAATTGTAGTCGTAAGGTAGTAAACAATAAGACAGTGTGAAAATCTATCAAGAGCATTCAGCATTTCGGGGTTAAAGCGCTCGAGTTCTTATTTCGACGTTTGTCGTTACCAAATGCAGTTATCTTTTTTGCTATCTGAACATATCTCGGTCTTCACCACACATTGGACTTGAGTTTCATATTTTTTCGTCGGATATCTGAACAAGTTATTCCTGAAACAAAGCTGCGATTCGTCTGAAAACTGATAAGATCCTCCGAGTGCGAATTGAAAATTGTGGTTTTGGGGGTAATTGTGCTCCCAATTCCTCGTTCCGTAAATGCAAAGAAAGTCACTTTGTTGAGCTTCATGTCTTTATCATCATACGACCGGCGACATTCGCATTGCAATACCTTTAAGCTTTTTAAAGTAAATCTTTCACTTATGACCGAGTTTGAGGAGTTTTGCAAAGCTTGTTTTACGTTTGATGATGTGCAGGAGGTTCTTAGCAATGACTACGTAGTAGTTCCAAAGATTTAGGTAGCCACTCAAAGAACTCAAGTAAGTCTCGATCATTATTTTACTGAGAGCTACTTAAAAGAAACTCTATTCCAATATTTTGAAATAATGCTTTTATCAGAGACTGGAGTTTCAAGGACGACATGACGAAACTCATTGAACCAGTTCATTGTAAACAAAGGACATACGTTTTCACAATAGAATTCTACGCCAAACGCAAATAATCCGATAATTGCACGTGTGAATTAAGGAGAATGTAATTAACAGTTCCTGTATTCATTTAAACATATTAGAAAAGAGTACAATTGATTAACCAAGGCCGTTTTAGATTCTGAGACTCTCAGATAAGTAGTTTTAAGCTCTTCATGTCGCGAAATAACTGTATATGAAACCCGGCCTTAAATGTACTATTCCAATCTATTTTAAATCTTTACGTCAAAAGAGACGATGCATTGTTTTAGTTACGTAGAATACTTTTTATTACTAAATCATGTTCAGTGATGATTCCAAAATAAAGCAAGTCAAAGTGCTTTAACCCTCCGATAGAAACGTCATAATACACGTATTGTAGACAGAGAGTAGTTTTACACGACTACTGTCCGCATCCAAAACAACTGAATGAACGCGTGTATGAAGCGGTAACCATGGTGGATAAGTTGTAATGGATTAATGTATCCAGACAGAATGCTCGCTTTGAAATTTCACAACGCATGTATCTTAAGCCCTCAATTTTAGAATTAAGAGCTGTTTCTTACCCTTTTGAAAGTACTTGGACGATCCTTAAACGGGTGGGTAACAATTGTGCCTGTCTATAAAAGTTAATAAGGCAAACTGATACGTGAGAACGATAATTTTTAGTCGCATCATGTGAAAGCCGATTGCATAGCACTCTAAGAGTGGATCTTTGCTTCAACTTTTACAGCTATTTCACCAATTTAGTTGTCCCAACAATGAAATCTGCCAGTTACATCGTTGAGATCGAAAACGAGTAGTGTGCATACGAATAGTTTTCTCCTTTGACGTAAGCACAGTAAGGGAAAACCAAAGCGTAATGTATTACAACTACTTCACAGTTATTACGATCATAATTTCAAAGTATTTCAACTGATTTTTGGCTCACTTTGGTAACTTTAGCTGGCTCTAGTCGCACTTTAGGTTTTTCTTATTACCAAGGACATGCAGATAACTACATCAGTTCTCTTGAAGAAGTGTTCTGATGCCATTGCTCTCTTTAAATTTCAGATTACTCGGGAGAATTATCAAATGAGGCATGTTTCAAGTTGGTGTGGGAAATAGACAACATCAATAAAAAGAAAAGACTGGTTCAATATGGAGGAGGAATTTGCCTCGAACGACGAGGGCTTCGACGAAAACATTTTAGAGGATGAGAATTTCCAAGTGGCTCCTGACCCTTATAATTGCACTCTACAAATACACGTCAAAAAGGGGGAGGCCAACTCCCTTAAAAGGCTTTATTTGCCGTTTCTCGAAGGAATGGACCCTACATTTCAATTCATTTCAATCAATGAAAGTAACGATGTCAATGCCGCATTGGACTCCTGGACAGATGAAAGTAATGATTCCAGCATTTTACAATGCCAGGCGATAAGCATTGTTCTATTTCTTTACGAGACGTTTGGTCGCTTATCAGCCATTGATGTCCAAAACAAACTCAATTTTCCTCCTTGGAAATTCCACCACAGGGTAGAGTTGCCTGCGGACGCAAAACCTCGAGTTACTGCGCTTCAAGACTTTTACCAGACTATTCCCGGGCTTCCTCTCTGGTCTGTTTGCCCGGTGCATTATGGGAACGAACACTTGCGTTTTCATATATTTACGCGGAACTTTATGCAGATGAGATCGTTCTATGAGATTTTAACCGGGAAGAAAGCCATTAGCGGATCGCCTGGATTTTGTTTCTTTACCATTTATTCTCAAAGCGGCTTTGACGTTCAGCTTTCCCTAAAACAGTTGCAGCAGATATGCCCCAAACCGTCGGAATTTGTGCGGTTAAAGTTTAAAATTAAAGACATTGATACAGTGTTACCTTATCTGGGCGAGCAGCCTCTTGTACAAAAAGAAAATGGGTGGTGGATTGTGACTGACCCTGACGGTAATGAGCTGATCATAGAGGAGACTGAGCCGAGTCATACCAGAACGAGGACAGGCAGACTCCTGTCGAGTACAAGTTTAGAGACCTCAGACTATGACACAGCGTCCATCGACACGGAGAGTTTAGCAGGGAGCATGAATCATTCGCCTCACGGAACTTTAAATGCAAGTTTTTCAGAGAGTTTTACGCTATTCTGAGAGTTAACTGACCCTTAACTTACGTAATGAGTCATTCTGATTCAAAGAGACGGAGGGAAGTGTTGTCGAATCATCTCCTCATTGAACACCTCTTGCGATCTGTTGACCGCTATGATTGCCTGTTTAGATTTTCGAGAGAATGTGGTGTTACATCGAGCAAACACCCTACAAAGGGTGTATTCTCATCCCTTTTTTACTAGCTAATATACGGAAATTTTCAGAAGCTTTTTGTTTAGGAGCCGCTGGGTTGATATTGCCGAATCACCCTCCTCCCCCCTCCCGACTGACCCCCACCCCCAAAATAGAACAACACCAACTTGATAACAACAATTTCTATTTTTCATACGTCTTTCATGATGGTGGGCATGAATTTTACTCTTAAATTTACATGCAAATAAGCCATCTTTGCCTCGCTTTTGAGAATGCATTTTACTGTTTTTAAACATGTTGCCGATACCAGAAAGGTTAGTTTATGTGAATGTGAAAAAATGGCAATAGGGCCCGCAATTTTTGAAGATGTCTATTCGATATGCAAAACTTAGAGAAGCCATACAATGTTTCGTACTAGCTATTCTAGGAAATGTCAGTTTCACTGCTTTTGTCGTGTTTTGGAAATGATAAACTATAGTGAGAAGCAGATTTATCATGATTTGAATTTGACTCTATGGATCACAAGCTGCGGTCAAGAAGTTAACAGTTGATGAGACAAAACTGATTTTCTTTAATATTTTTGTGTGAATGCTTACAATTGATTTTGAACTAAGACAAGATATTTTTGTGTTTATGTAAAAAAACCATTCACCACGCGACGTGGTTCATAAAAGGAGGTTAATAAATACTCTGTATGAAGTTGATATGAAACTAATGGCTCCAAATAAGAATGTTTATAAAATAAGCTCGATAAGCTGGAAACCACTCCGCTTCGCGTCGTGGTTTCCTAAGCTTATCTCGTGTTCTCCCAACCTCCCGCGTGTTTACATCAGGCTATGTAAACACGGAAACCATTTTACATTTCTTCAGTATTTAACGATTTTTAAAATTTCGTTCATTAATTTTACTAGGATATCAATCAAAGGAGAGTTCGTGTTGCTCTGCCTATATAGGTGTGGTTATGAATAGGTCTGACTTAGTGATTATTTGTGAGGTATTTTGAATTGATGTCACTCGCAATTCACTCCTGCTACGATTCAGTACAGGGCTGTAGAAGAAGGGGGAAGCCCCCCTCTCCAAGCAAGACTTACCAGTCAGGAATTTTAAGGTTATCTAAGATTGATATGCTTTGGAGTCAGAAAGGAACTACTATTTCCTTCCAAAAAGTGTTGTAATTATTTTTAAACTCTGACGACTGCTAAACTATTTTCTGAAAGCCTGAAATGCCATTTGTATCCGGATTTCTATCCAATATTAGAACATTAAGGCGTGTCTAGAATTTCGCATTTCTTGGGGAAGGATGCTCCCTGGATCCTCCTTCTGAGATGGGCCCTCGGTCCATCATTAAACACCTACATCTCTGCTATCTATAGTGTCTCCTCAGTTCAAAATTGGTTCCTACTGACCTGCAGCAGGAGCCTATCACAATTAATGGGCTCCTGCCTGTAGTACATTTAGTTTCATTCAAAATCTTCGAAATACATCACTCCTTTTACGTACCGGCTGATCGTTTCGATTCATGGCGTGTTCATCTTCCAGCCTGCTTATCATTCGAGAGTTAGCGTTCTCTTCAGCTCTCTATGCTCCTCCGCCGTCAGCTTTTGGATGAACGGTTTCCTCCCCACCCTCTCGTCCCGCTTCTTTCGTATTTTTTTTTTCAAACCTTGGGTACCATCTGACTCCTATTGGGGATTCGCAACGCGTGAGGAGAGTGCTGTAGATGAGTTACAATATATTTTAATTTTATATAATTCTTATTCAGCGATAAAATAACTTAGCAAAACATGACAAAGTTTGGATAAAAGACTCATTATATAAAACTTACTCCTGAGAAGCTGGATAATATCTTTGATCGGTGGCAAAATGAATCCTTGTTAACCATGCTAATTGCTGAGAGACTATCTTCTCCTTTCAATGACAAAATCATAGATTCTTGTCAACTGCTTAAAAACCCCTCTTGCGACAGATTCGGTTTCATGGCAAGTAAGTTTCGACCAACGAATTAGTTGGTGACGTTCATTTATTGACGAGGAAATTTATCACACAACATGCAAACGAAGTTGGTTATCGCCTTTAAATAAAGCCATTTACCCTTTTCTATTATTAATAAGCTCTTGTCTCAAGCTCGATAATTAACTAGAAGATGGAAATGTTGTTTTAACAGCGCTTCCATCTTGTATTAAAATACAATGACCATTAAGAAAACCAATATTAGAGCTGGACGAATCAAATAACTTCATGAAAACTTAGACATCGTGCAGATAGATTTAGCTTAATATTTTGATGATATTTCATAGAAAATCTGTCGGGAAAAGAATAGCATACAATGTGTGTCGCTTGTTTTTTATTATCGTTTGTCTGTTAGAGTTCTTTTGTTTGCTTTCAATTATTGATAATGACAATTCTAGAACCAAAACCAATTTACTTGAGTCGCTTCTTCACTAAGTCTAATGTATGTAAATTTGAAAATTGTCTCACTTTCATACACACTGAGATCATTTCAACTTCAATTATTTCCCCTTCAGTTTGGATTGTTTCGCTCCAAAGTCCTTTTTTTAAATAGATGTAGCCTATTTAGGATGAAGTAACTATTTAGAACAACCATTCAACAAACAGTTTTTGAATTATTCAACGTAGGAACTTTGAAATTGTTTGAAAACTTTGCATCCACCTGCCGATTTTTTAGCGTTGCCGTGTCAACCCTTATATTCTGGTGAGAGAAGTTAACGTAAACAGAGTCAGCGAGGTTCGTTTCGTCTAGCTTTTATCTCTCGAAAATGAATTTTGGAAGATCGCGGCGTTCGATGAACGTAACGATGATCCTCACTCTTCGCTAGAACACGACGACCGTGAGAAAAAAAACATACACGCATAATATTCGCGAGTTTCAATGGCGACTGTTAAACTCAAAATGGAGCAAAATTTGGAAAATGAAGCAGCTCGGACTTTCTATAAGCCAACACAAGCCGACTTTGAAAGGATATTGGAGAGATTGAGGGCGCAAGTAGATAGAATTACGTTAAATATTTCTCCAACTATTTTGGACGAAGGAAACGAAACAAAACAGGAAAAGCACGAAAGACTTCGACAAGAAGCTCTCCAAAGGGATCAATACATTTTGTCGATGAGACCAAATCGGCATATTGTTTTTGCCGCCAAGTTCGCCAAAATAAAAAACCGTGGTCTTACTAGAAGTTTTGAGAAACGAGTTCACATTTGGAGTCAAGAAATGGAACGAAATTTTCGCCTGGTGAGCTCTGATGTTAAAGCTTTGGAGATGGAATTGAGGCAAACAGAAGGACAGGAAAAAAGGAAAAATTTTCCTCCATTACGCAAATCCGATTTAGAGGAGAAATTTGAAAGACAGTGTAGGCCTGTTAAAAACAACGACGTAAGACTACCTAAGCTCGAAAGACACAAAGTAAAAAGGCATGGGGCAGAGCGTTCAGATCACGTCAAGAGTAATAGAAATTTAAAGGGGACAGGAAGTGAAGATTTCGACAAAATTAAGTTGAGTAATCCTACGATTAGATTGCCACCAATAGAGAACAGTGAAAAGCAGGAGGGATTTGATTGAGTAAATATATGCACAGCCAATGTGTCTCCTGCCAATTTTGGGCCTGCAGGTTTTTAAACCTTTTTTTAAGCCGAATTTTAACGTATCCAACCGAAACATTTCCTCTCTCGACCTTTTATATTGGTTACCTGTTCTTTATAAAAAGCCTCTAGGTATGAAATTGGCAAGAAATGTTGCAAGTCGTAAAATGTTGTAATGTAAATTCCATTTTTATTTTACAACCCTAATTTTGGTAAAACAACGTAAGTTGGCCTGATTTTGCACTTCGTAATTGGTGTTTTAAGTGCATATACGTGAGGTTATAAGTCTGTTGTGTTGGAACAGGAAGTAATCAATACATGATACATATTGGCGACTGGTAAGAGTCTGGTAACGACTTACCCTACGTGTTTAGCCAAGCAATAACAATTTTCTTCTTTTATTTGGATCGTTAAGAACTCAAAGCATCAAAATGTAACGTGCACTAATAAGAAAAAAATGTGTTATCTAATTTTTAAGGTTGTATCTTTTTCTTCAGCAAAAATGCCATTACTGAAGCACCTCTGCACTTGTAATAAAAGTGCAATTTGGCTAAATTCCCTTAATATTTTGCATTAGTAGTCTATTCCTTTGGAGGGTTTCTCTTCTAGATCAAAAAAAGGCACCAAGAACTCCCCATAAGATGGGATATGAATGTTATATCTGAAGCCCAACTTCATACAAGGAACTGGTAGAGTTGCTACTCACTGACAAAAAGAGTCTGGTTTTGAGTTAACTTCAATGTCTTCAGAATCCAATAATGGCTATGTGTTGATATTTTGACTGCCGCCATGTGCGTACAAACGCGTCGGTAACAGAGTAAAAATTTTATTTAATTTTTCGTTTGATTTGGAATCTCTAAACCATCAACACTGAGAGTTTGGAAAAGCAAGTGGAAAGGATTTAAGTTTATTGGTATTAGTACCCGTCTTTAAACTCTTCCTGTCCGAGCGCAACATTACCTTCAGCCCTTCAACCAATCAAATTTTGCCTCAAGTAACAACATAAGAATGCATAGGCAAACAAGCGTGTACTGCGTTATTTGTTATGATTAAATTGATTTGGAACTGACTTAAAAATGCTTCGATACTGATTTGCTTTAGTAAAACGTTCAGAAGCAATGATGCATTCAGGTGAGCAGGTGCTAAAGTGGTACGAACTACGACGTCCTAAGATTGACTGGGGTGGGGGATAGTGGTAGGGAGGCTAGGCTTTGACGAAGAACGGTATATGATCTCTTTAAGACTGGTTTGGACTGAAACGTAACTTCCTCTGTGTGTGGTTTCTTTCAAACGATACAACTGACGGTATATGCAGGAATTGAGAGGGTTCGGATTAGCCCACGCGCTGGTTGCTGTGTTTCCTGCTGCTTCATCGTGCTTACGCGATCTAGCCCTGTAGAAACAGCTGTCTACAGTTGCTCTTTGTCTTTGAGTTTTTCACTCTGTTATACCGTTGTCGCCTTACTACTCCATGGTGCTCAGTTTGCGACTAGTGATTAATACTTGCGGTCTTTAAAGTTAAACATGCTTTTGTCACTTGTGTTAAGTTGTAACGGGGACGATGAGGATAAACCCTCTAGCCCGCGGCCTAAGAGTGACTAGCATCTATTTTCGCCTTTCAGAATCGCCCTTGAATTAAACATTAAGATAATGAGAGTAAAGGAAATGATCACCGATTAAAGAAACTCTCGTTATTAAAATAGTTCCCCTTACCAGTATCAAAGGAAATACATAGAGAACAGTTTGAAGATAAACATGAGAAATTAGGATGTAATATGGGTTAAGTAGCAACGTGTGGGCGACAACACACACTGAGACAGGCTGGCGATGGTATGAGAGCGATTTCGCAACCCGTTTGTGTAAAAACCATCTTCAACTTCTGGCCCGAATGTGACACTCACAGGATAGGAAAGATGGATGGATCACTTATAAAAAGGAAATATGATATATGTCTGGTAGAAATTTTTTTTTTCGAATTTCAATTAATTTCTAATTAAATTTCTTTCAAAAAAACGTTCTTTGAATAATTTAATCATATTTATCTTTTTAATGATGTTATGTGCAATTCTAAATTCCTCGGTTACTTTACACTTATAGGTACACTTTCCATAATATCAACCGCAATTCAGCCCTAATTTTATCATCATAAATGAATGAGTATTGGGTATTTTAAATTTATGTTAAGCTAATATATAATGCATCTGCAACCACGGGAAACAGGTGGAGAGATCTTTTTTCAAGCTCTAAACACATTAGTCTTCAATTTGCTGGTGTTTAATTCACATGCATCTTAGAGCCCTTGAAAAATAAAAGCAACGTCCGCGGATGTTATTCAGAGGCGTTTCGTCTAGGCTTTGTGTCGCGGCAGACACCGTTCTAAATTCAGAATTTGGTGCCATACCAACCCCAAACTGATATTTCACAAGTATATGAAAATTTTTCCAACTTGAATCTTAGACTAAAAACAGGAAGGTTCATAGGTCAATTTATTTACTTTTGAAAAACTAAATTATCTATTCATTTATTCTGGACACATGCAGGCTGTATCGTCAAATGAATCTACTATGTTTGACATCAAGCTGATGAATGGAACTTATAGTGAGATGTACATTAGTATCTCATTAAAATGCCTAAATATTCCCAAATTAGCAAATTAGTTCGAAAAGCAAATAAGTTGATCAACACGAGCAAATTGTATATCATCCGATTGCAACAGCTTCCTATATCAGTGCAAATTTTCGAACTAAAATACTAAATTTTCAGACCATTTTCTAAACACGCGAATGCTTATTTGATCGATAATTTTACGGAATGAAACTCAGTTTTTGAAAGGTGGTCGAATTTTCAATAATCGATGCTTGGAGAGTTTGGCTAAAAGCAGTCTTTGAACAAAGCAATTATCAGGGATTTGCCCCTTTCAAAGCTACCACCACTAAGATGCTCGAGTAAGCTAATTTTAAACTTCCCAAGTATTGACATTTTATTTGAACTTAACAACGACGCAAACGGAGTTTAAATTGCCGCCTCATGTTTAATTCAGTTTGTTTTTTTTTTTCGTTCTTTCTGATGACTTTTCACAATTTTAAATCCAGTTTTAAATCCGATATTGTAACACTGCGGAGTAAAAACTGTGTACTATTTCTCTTTTGCGGAAAATTTGATAAAGGAATTACAACTTCCTCAAAAACCTGAAAGGGATAGCGCACGTCAGAATGTCATGAGCTAATTTTATTTCATAATTTTAAGTTTATTCAATATCCATCAGCCACATTAGAATACACAAATGCAGTTTCATCTTTCACTAAGATGCACACTTCGAAAGAAAGGTACCGATCATTGGAAAACTTTCTACTCATACTGTTTAGATTAAATATGAGTTTACGCACACAGAAACTTCCGAAGTTATATTTAGAATAAATATGGAAACCTCTTGGATATGCACGGCAGGAGACTAGCACTTTTTACCTCATTGAAAAGAATTTGATTAAAAAAAAAAAGAGGCTTAACATCTTTCGTGCGGCTGACGTGGCTACCATGACATTTTAAATAGGATCCTTTAAGCGTGTAAATTACCCACAAATGTGGGAACTAATGCATAATGGCTTCCACTAAGTTTAGAAACAGAAAAAAAAGCAAATTGACCGACCTGGAAAGGAAGTAGCGATGAATTGGAATCGAGAAAATGTTTCAGTAAGGCACAAAATTACTAGAATTACATGGCAAATTTTTACTACTGATGTAGTTTAGTTATTGTCATATTTACCAATAGTTGAATCAAGTATGTCACCCTTAACCATCTGTCCTCACTAGTTAATTTAGCACTTCCTTAACTTCCTTAAATCGACAAGGAAAACTTTCAGCTTTTAAAAAAGCTAAATTTAAGCTATGAAAGGCCAAGATATCATCATCTGTGATATGTAGATCACGCTTTCGCAATCCTAAGTAACCCTGAAGAGTTGCTCTCTGAAAAACTTCTCCAGAAAGTGAGAACAAAAGCTCTTAAGAACCACCTGGTTTTACTCCAAACAAATATTAAAAGGAGCTGAACGCAACTGAACGCCAGTGTCTTTCGGCCGACGGAAAAGACAACTGTGAGGAAACGTAATATCGAAATGCTTCGCTTCTTAGCTCACGTAAGTATCAGCTATTTGCCCTCTACTTGTTAATTTTACTTTCGGTTGGTTTTTCGGTCGTCATTTTATGCGGAAATCGTTCAATGTCAGGGGCACTTATACGAAGGCGAAAAAAAAGAAACTTTTTCGTTACACAGTTTTTAGGGGCTTCGCAACAATTTCAGTGAACAAAAAACGAATCCCTCTTATTCTTGTTGTTATAACAAGTTTAGATTTTATTACAGTAATTTCCTTAGTTACGAGGTAGACCGCCAAATTCTATGGCTTTGTTAATTTGGATGAATTCAAGAAATTTTTTTTAAGCTTTCTGAAGGTAGTCAAACTGACAACGTTTAAAGATAAAGATGGACCAGTCTTTTCGCTACACATATTTCATGTTAATTAATGCCAATTTTTAGACTGTTAGGCACTAAAAATGCTAGGCTAAATCTATGGACGAAATTCGTTTTACACGTTGCCAAAAAGCCTAATCATAAATGTCCTGGAACTATTGTTGACTTCTGTGCATATTTTCGGCTGAAAACAAATTGCAACAACAATCAAACTTATGCAATAAATTTTCCTTCACAATTTTTAATTCTTATAAGCGCATGCTCACTAAAGCACACTTACCTTCACCAACGACAGGTGGTTCTGATTTCCTTTGTTCTTCAAGTTACCATGGCAATGGGAGATATAAGTAACGACGAGTTACTGTTGACCGGTGTGCCTGCTGACGCCTTAGGTGACGAGCAAGTGGACGAGGATCTTCCCAGCGAGGGAACGGGAAATAAAGAGCCAGAGATTTCAAAGTATATTCAACTTAGCGAGTTGTTTAAAAGACGTCGGTCTTGTGTCAACTCTATGCGACAGAAGGTTGTATGCAACGAGTTAAAACTTGTGTTCGATTGCTTCTCATCCGGTCAGGCAGCTTGTCACGAAAATCAAGCCCGGTTTTGTGTTCCAGAGATGAGGACTACACAATGTGGAGAGATAATCACTGTCGGTTGTAAATGTGGGAAAAAAAAAATTTTGAAATAAATTAATTCACCTGACTCTACCAATTACATTGATAGCAATAATTGCCAAACTCGAAGGTGAGACCATTAAGACTCTGAGATGGATGGTTTATGCTGAGTATTTTCTAGTTTCAATGCTTGCGGAAGACCTTGCTTCAGATAACTTTTAGTTAAAAACGTTTTTGCATTGGAATATTTTGTTCTATGACGAGGTTTCGAAGTTATTTGCCATTGCGTTATTTTCATGTTTAAACCCCGACGAGTACAACTGCTTGTCCTGACTATCACTCTAGGCCAAGTAAATCGACGGAACTTCGTGCAATTTTCGGTGCATTCATCATCGTGAGTCACTGACGCGAGGTTAGTTCTAAACGGATTCGAGCACACTCGGATTACTTGACGAATTCGCATAACTGAGATTAACGCGCATTTTATTTACGTTATAATCGTTACGAAAATGAGCGCATGTAATTTACATACGAAGATGTTAACACAGTATCAACCCTACTTCCAGGTTCTCTAAATCTTTGCCATCACTTTGGTAGCCCTTCCTTTTCGCGAAATATTTCTTAACTTTTAACGGTTCCCGCGTCATCTACACATACCGTTACTATTTTCAGATATTTTCACGTGGCAATCGATCTATCAACTTGCAGTCGTCAGGTTTGTGTGAATTGGTTACCTAGTTGACGCTACTAGATAAATCGATTTGGTTCATAGCTCCAATCAACACGTGCGGAGATTAATGAAACTTTGACCAGTCGAGGCAAAATAAGAAGAGTCGTCCAGCTATTTAAAAACTGGCACTAACTCCCCAACAAAAGCAACCCTAACTCATCTCAGTAGATGATTTAAAAACTGCGAGGAAAGAGCTATCTCGCTGCTGCACGGTTTGTAAAGTTTAGAAAAATTTCGCCTAGACCTTTCAAGTTTGCCGTCGGATAATTTAAATGCCAATTGATTCACTCTGTTAGTCACGTTCTTTGATAGTTTTATTATTATACTACATTTCTCATTTATTCTTTCCTGCCAGATGTTTGCCTTTGTCGCTCCCTTTAATTTGTTTACCATAGATAAAAAAAGAAATTTTCTCCCTTGCAGTGATAACATAACTATTTAGCATGACGTTTCTCCTTAACACCGTACCCGACTGTGTTTCCGGTTGCATTATTATTTTACTCCCTTTTTCGTTTAGCAAAAATTGTCCACTCATTTTCAAAACATGCCCAGTGGTCTGAAGGAAGGAACTAAAAACAGTATAAATGTTATGCTTGCAACAACTTCCCTTAAACAGTTAATATATTTCTATTGTCTGTTTTATCCCATGAGCATTTGGTTATACACTTTCAACTCAACTTTGTGCTTTGTATAATTCAGAACTGAAGATGACAGAAGAACTGTCGAAACATGTTTTTAAAAAATGTCGTACATGTTCCTAAACTAGCATATTTCCACTAAGAGCAACCACGCAAAGTTTGAATATCCCTTACTCACATTGGTATACGTAAGATGCACGTGTATAGCAACATTTGGGAAATGATAAATTAAAAAAATCATACAGGGCTTATACTATCTGCACATTCAAAAGCGCTTTTACTTCAAATTTCTGAGCTCAAAGCTTTCTTAAAAAGGAATGTTTTAAGTTGTCTAATCGATAATTGCTACGGGTTCTATAGGACACGAGCAACATCTGTGAAGACGCGATCTCCAAGCGTAAAGCAGTTGACTGTTGGAGCGAACAGAAGAGATTGTGTTGAAAAGCGAAGAGCATAATTAGAGGCTTTTTTAAGACACGAAAGATCCTAAATGTAGGGTGGACTTATATTGTTTAACGACTTAACCATTCCTCACTCATAAGGAAGGCAACGGACAATAATGTTACACAAGAGCATATTTGTTTGAATTTCACTCTTGAACGAGGTAATAACGTTGCACTTATCAAAGAAATATACCGAATGGTTTACAATCAAAATCTTTAAATGGAATAATCTCTACGATATCATTATTCATGGCGTCTAATTTTTATTCAGAATATTTCTAACATTTTTTCTAGCACTGAATTTCACTGTTTCACGTTCAAAATCTTTATTTATTATGGATTGGATGAAGACCACCACAAATTATTTATCCAATCTACAAGTGGACAATTCTTTGCTCTGTTCCTAAAATTGGACAATGTTTGTCATGATATTAAATTTGCATTTTATTCTAATGTTCTCATTTTGTGCTCAACCACTCGAAATGTGTATTTAACTCAAGAGATGAAATCTTAATTATATCTGCAACGATTGGAAAGAGCTAAAAATACACATGTGGTAATGTTTGAAATCATGCATGATCCTTTGCAATGATAAAAACGAAAACTTTCTTATAGATCAGCAGCTCTGTTCTAAAGTGGTGCTATATTATTCTAAAAAGTCTTTATTAATAATGGAACTAGCACCCGATTTCACCGGCTCTACTAGAAATTATGCTTTCATATTGTGTACAAGAAGCTCATAATAAATCAATAATTTGATAACTTAATCTTGATGTCCTCATCATAATATTGAAAAATTCTGGAATAGATTTCTCTGAGCAAGAACTGTAATTTAGTATTCGTATCTACATTGTACTGAGTCGGAGCTTGAGAACCCAAACATACAAGGGTAAATCCCAAGCAAAACTCAAAAGCAATTGCATTTTTATAAAAACTGTTCCTATCAGGCAACAATTCAATGCTGTCCTTGTGTTCTCATTAGTTGATTATACAATTCTAAATACTATAAGCATTTTCTAGTTATCAATTCAAGATAAACTGTACTATTCCAATAGATTGGAAAGGGCCCGAAACTGACAATAAAATCTCACGTTGAAATTAAAACCATTTTAAGTTAGCCAAAATATGCATGCAATCTGGCAATTCCATTTACGTGATGTTTTAATTCTAGGTTTAAAATTCAAATTGTAACCCAAGATGAAATATGTTTCGTCTGCTTAGAAATATCCCAACATTAATCTTTTACGGTACAATGTTTTGCTGTGTGATCATTATTACTGAATCGGTAGTATCCTTGCAATAATTTTAGAAACTTGAATGCAAGCTCTCGATTTCAACTTGTGAAGCAACATTGTGACACTGGCACGAACAGATTTATATTTGTTCCTATTATGTAACAGTTCCAATCAGGTTTTTGGCTGATGTCTTTCATGTCCAACTGTGTGATCTATGTTTTATCTTATTGAGGCAATTGTCGGCAAAAGTGTAAACATTTTCCTTGCCTACTGCTGTGCATATAGGCTTGATTACGCAACTCTGAGAAGGATGTATGGCCTGCATACAGTTTTCCTCGAATGTTGTCAACTTGTACGGCCTCCAAATTGACTGAGTAGTCTTTATGGTCTTACTGTAAAGAAAACATCGATCATCTTTGACATACTGAAGCAAAAATATTGATGGTCACTTGAAGAAAATTCCAAACGTAGCTTCATGCAGCATGGTTTTGACAACGCCACATTGAAGCCGTATAACCACAATTTCGGGTTCTGCCTTTTTCATTTCCCGTCTCATTACATGGCAGAAATGATTAGTCATAAGAAAAATTCCTACAAGCAGCAAGCAGAAAAAAAAATGTTTACCACTACGTGGTAAACTTCCCTTTTTGTGGTAAACTTTCCCTTCTTCCCTTTGTTTACAATCTGGTTGCTATGGTACCTGATCATAAGCCAAATTTATATCACGTCCCGTAGATCCGTGTCACCCACGCAAAGTAACACGCAAACGTCGAGTGGGCGCAATGTAAGGAACTACGGACAAACATGAGAAACTAACGCCTTATGTTGTATCACACAGGAAGTTTTTGTTCAGGTGCAACAATATGTGGAAGTCGGCAAAGAAACTACTCGTTATTTTGCTCGCTTGAGAGGGATGCTACAAATTAGACCTGTGGCGGAACCTTGTTTACACCGTTATTTACTTTGAACTAAATTAAACTAACTTACCTGTTCAGTGTGCGAGGCTTTTAACGGCTGGGTTACTCCAACTGCCTAACTTAAAGCAAAAGCAACTTGAATCTCGACATACCTTGGAAAATTAACACGTTTTTGATTGTGCCGAGAGTATTTTGTGGTCGATTTTTGGGAACCAAGGCAATGAAATAAACGTTGTCATGTAACCTACAGGGACCAACAACTGTGTCGTAAATGCAACTGTTCAGCAGTAAAAGAACTAGAGAAACAAATAAACAAAGTAGTTCTGAAAAACAAATGCTTTTCATTTGACACTAATGCGAGACTAAGATAAAAATAGAGTCTCCCTCGAAGATTTCAACCCTAAGGGTTCTTTAGTAACAAACTTCCTGCATACCGCCAGGATCAGCATTGTCGCAAAGTCGTATGTTTAAATAGATCAGAACACGCTTTGGGGGTCGTTTTGTCAATGGAGAATAAAGTTTCGGCGATATGGCTGCATTCCTTGGGTCAACAATCATTGGCTAGAAGGCTGAAGGCAACGAGTTGTCTTCCAAACTTTGCAGGAGAAGTCCAAGTATTATGTATCAATTTAGTAATTACGCAGACCAACCTGAAGGTTGGTAAGCGTAGACGAAGGCTGTAACGATCTTCTGGACACTTCCACAAGTTGATTATTTTTAAGTGCTAATCTTAGCATCAACAAAAATGGGATTTCACTTCGTATAACCCTTTCAACTTCCAAGTCAGTAAGTTTCCTCTAGAAAGTCACCTCGCTAAAACTAGCCGTTATGCAAAGAATCATGTGAATAGGCTAACAGTACAGCTAAACGGAACTCTGGTGAATTTTTCCTACACATTCCCATGCGCATCACAAATAGCGTCAGACAAAGACGATCTGCTTCAAGCAAAAAGTATTAATTATTAATACAATGATCGAAAAAAGAGCCTCCTTCACGGCGAACTCTTTCGTGTGTCAGTAGAGCTGCAAGAAGAAATATCTACGGTCTTGGGTTTCGGGTCAAGTGAATCATGAAAGCTGTTGTCCGGATTGATGAGAAACGGGACATAAAT